TTGATACGATTTCGATATTCAATTTTTTGTATCGGATCAAAATATATCGGCCAAAAATGTCGCTTTTTTAAAAAATATCGATATTTTTTCAGCATCACTAGATAAAAGTTTAAAAGTACTTTTTCATTGCTATTGCTATTCATTATTTATATTTTATTAGAGTTCATCCAGTGTTGTTGTCATTGTTATTGTATATGAATATTAATGTTACTGTTATTTTATAGTTATACTAAAATTTTAATATTCACAGTGAAATATAATAGACAGATTACATTATCATGATCGATAATTATGAACACTTACATAAACAAGAAGTATATTATATCCTTGAAAATATACCAGGCCCAGCTGATGAAACTGAAGAATATACAGAATTAATTAATAATTTTCATTCACAACTTGCTAATAAATGCGACTGCAAAAAATACTGTTTAGATGAACATTGCTCTTGCATTAATAACTCACAAGGAAGAAACTATTCTTTTTCTAATAACTGTAATCTGGAAACTTATAAACTTATCAGTGATGATAAAAGTACTATAGTTGAATGTAATGATTTTTGTTCTTGTATAAATTTCTGTGGTAATAGGTTAGTCCAAAAAGGACCGTATGATAGTTTATATATACAAAACTGTGATACATATGAAAAAGGTGTGGGGTTATTTACAAAAAACTTAATTACAAAAGGTTCATATATATGTGAATATGCTGGTGAGCTTATTACAAAATCACAAGTATTTAAACGACATAAATCTAATGTCATTAATAAAAAAATGAATTTTATATTCTGTTTAAATGAATATTCAAATGGGGAAGTAACCCAGACTTTTGTCGATCCATCAAATTTTGGTAACATTGGACGTTACATTAACCATAGCTGTGATCCAAATTGTAATATAGCACCAGTTAGAATAAATTCTCCAATACCAAAATTAGCTATATTTAGCCTATGTGAAATTTTACCTGGCCAAGAATTAACAATTGACTATGGGTCAAATAACTGTTGTAATATTCAGGACTTTAAAGAAGTAGATGAAAGAAAAAAATGTGTGTGTAACAGTAAAAATTGTCGGGGAATTTTACCATTTGATTCATATGTGTAACTTTTTCAAACTACATTATATCAAAATATTACTAAATGCTTAAAATGAAATTGTTTTAGTTTAATAAAACAATATATCATTTTCGTAAATACATTTATCATTTATTATCAAAAGTAATATTTTTATTTTATAATGGGGAAACCAAATCCTACCAAAGAAACCAACCGTTTTAACTCTTTTTTTAATAAAATTTATGTTTCCTCGAATGTAACCCAAGTTTAAATCATTCACTCTATGAATAATAAATTTGGCATAAAGATTAAACTGAAAAGTTGTGTTCAAGTGATGATGTAAATTTTATGATATTATTATACTCTGGGAAAATTGGTATTCCATGTGATTATATATGAAACTCTTATATCTAATAAATGAACATAGAATTTGTAATCAATAATTTCACTAGCCAATGAATTGACCTAATAACACAACATATAGGGAAATTTGTTCATTGGTGTTGTTAATTTTTGACAAAAACATTTTATTTAAACATCTTGAAACAAAAAAAAAAGAGTAAGGTGCATTCGGCTAATTGCTTAAATTGGGATATTCTGATAATAATAATTTTTATTATGAAATATGGTCATATTTTTGCTCTGGCAAAGCTCACCTAGCCGCCATCATAATACACTTCCCCACTTCAGTTAATTCAGGTAGCTGTGTTGTGAGCAAGTGCATGTGTTAAACGCAACATTTCTATGATTGAGAGCAATTTCCCGCCTTTTTACCTTAAAAATTTATGCTTTTATACACTTCTAAGTAGAATTTGAAAGCTATCTCCACTTATTATGCTTTTTTCGGGATTAGCCGAAGACATTAAATCCGAATTCTCTATAATTCGGATTTCCCCGATAGTGATTTTTTCTAAGAAAAGTCAGTGGTTCTAAATATTTAAATTACTGTTTGTTGAAATGGATTAGTCTATTTTCAAATTGGTGAGTCTTTAAGGTACACCTTAAGAAGCGATCTATTTGAATTGTTAATTATATAAATAGATAAATAAAGAATACAAAAAAAAACTTCAATTTCATTCAATTTAATTGTACCCTAACACTTAAGATGTACAGTGATAATTTTCGGCTTCATAATTTTTGAATATAGCCAATTCTTTGGGAAGTCACGTTTATTGCAGCCTTAAGGCATAAGGCTATACATTTCAAAAAATTGAAGTGTCTTTAGATTCGTCGGTAGAATAGTAGTGAATTAGGTATTTTTTTATATATTTTCGGCAAAAATCTTGCTAATTGTACTAATAACGTTTTAAATTAATTATTCATAGTTATAGATAAATTTACAAGATTACGTTATCAAAAATGTGACTCGAATCGTCTGTAGTTTGCAGAATATGAGCACACTGTCTGAATTTTTAGTTAATGTTTCGAACTGAGTGACAAATTTTTTTCAGTTATATTTGCCTCTCAGAACTCAATAATGCTATGAATAATTTATGTTGGATCTCAATAATTCCTTTATTTTATTTTAAATAAAACTGATACTTCTTAATTTTTCACTTTATTTCACACATTTTATCATTTACCATGGTGCCTAAAGTTTGGGAACCGTAGACCGAACTTGCACTAAATAGGTATAGAGTAATTCCGAAATATAAATGTCACATGAGTATATTTTAGCTACTAAGGCTGTAAGGAACAATATATTTTGCAAGGGTAAATGAGGGCGAAAAAGAAATATGTATCTTTTGTTACAGCTCAGTAAATTTCAGTTTTAAATGTCATTCAGAATTACCCAAACATACTTCGGAGTTGCACTTACAACAAAAAAAGAATCTAATTTTGAAATAGTTTTGTTGTAAAATACTGAGGATATTAATAATATTCATTGGAATAATGTTTTAAGATGTTTATTCAAGTAAACTAAGCGACCTTAGTTGACAGCATTAATTACACCAATTCTGACTGGTAAACGAAAATTCTAACATACCGTCAACTATTCTCAAATCCTTTCGTAATTACTCGAATGGACCTAACTTTATTTATTTTAAGGGTATTTTATTATCATATTTTAAACAGATTTCATGAATAAGTTAAGTAATTTTGAATCTTAATTCTTAACAGGATATAATTTTTTTTTTGGGCTGGATGAGCCACTGTTGGCCTTAGGGGCCTTTACAGTTCCGACGGGCTCTTAGGGCGCTTTAGCGGGCGCCCCATGGAGTGATCAGGCTCAAGGGTCCCCGAGAGGGGACCTTGGCTTAGGCTGTCACTCAACACGCGTTTAGCATTCCGATTCGAGGGTGCCCGAGAGGGCCGGACCTCGGCTCGATCGGTAGATATTATCTGACTGGGGGAATTACTAGAGCTAACATTACTACCACTTCGGAGAGCGTTGGCGCTGGGAGAAGAAGTGGCGGAAGAAACTCCAGCAACGCTTCTATCATTAATAGGGGAAAACCTGCCAGGTACGTGGCGGAACCTAGTATATGTTTGCCGCACTCGCCGGCGAGTGCGGTGTGTGTAGGTATGAGCATACAAATAGGATCCGTTTCATTTAAATACTAAGCATAGCAACGATTTAATTCTTTTATTTAGCCTTGAGCCGTAGCGACTTAGCGAGTGACAAAATTAACTATCTGGGTAATCAAAACTGTTTTATTTAAAAATTAATTTAATTAATATACTTGACCTTGAACATTTTTCACTGACTTGAAAAATATTTCTACAAATTAAATACATTTTATTGTAACGTTATAATCATTTTCATTATTTTTAATATAATTTTGAATCAGACAATAAACAATGGGAATAAGCATCATTCAGTTATAAAAGATCTGAATTAAACATGCCTTTAAGCTCATTGTCTTTTGCCCGCTTAGCTGCATATCTATGAACATATCGGATGGCAAGAGTTTATGGTGGAACAATTTAAAATACTACTTAGGCCCATGCAGCCAACATTGATCACTGTTATATACAATATACAATGCTGCCAATACCATTTTATTATATTTCGTGTTTAAAATTGTGTAGTTTTTTTTTCAAATATGTGAATAAAATTTTATTCCTAAAAATATTCCCAAAAAACTTCTCCTCCTAAAAAACTTGACATAACCTAAAATCATCGATAGTATTGCTGTTATCAATAGTATTGGCACTTGGAGAGCCATCGATACTATCGGTAGTATCGACAGTATTGACTTAGACGACAGTAACGATAGTACAATCGATATCCTGAATAGTTATCGAGGTCAACTATCGATAGTCAAACTATCGATGGTTGTGCAACACTACTCCCCTATATACTATCTTTGACTCATTGCACAGTTCACATTTCCCTCAACATGATAAATATAGGAAGCGGGCGACGTCATACTCGTATCGATACGATTTTTTTTAAAATTTGATGAATCACAGAACCGACACAGAGCGAATCTGACTCAGATAGAATATTAGAAGGTTCAGGCCATAGATAAGACATATATACTGAACTGGTTCAGGCGTGAGCGCAGCTCTTGGTTATTTTCTATATGCCCACTCAGAAATATGAGCAGAATTATTGACATATTGATAACAAAAAATGGCGGATTTCTATAGTGAAAAATTAAATAGTAAACGGAGTAAATTCTCGAGTGAGAGAATGTTAAATGAATTAGAGATTATTTTTTATGCTATGAATTTTTTTAGGCTTATTCCACTCAAATAAATCGATTCTTCAAATAATCGATTTCAGATGGACATTAATCACAATATTCACAATTACAATCATTATTTTATCTGTTATATTTTTATAGAACATTTGTTACAACATTTTTAATTTTAACTGTTTAATTAGATGTGTCTTTAGATTTGTATTGTAATTAAATGTCTTCCCATAAATAGGAGACAAGTGCGTTAAAGATTCAAATACTTTCAGAACAGATAAAATTGTAAACATAGTAGCACGATGTCCGATTCAGTAAACATGTCGTTAGGCAAGTTAAAATCATAGTAAAAGTTCTAATTCAACTCAAAAACTTCAAAACTTTAATGGAATTGTCATTTCTTACTTTATTACTTTCAGATGATATAATAAAACAGAATCGTAATAATAAATCGCGTGGGAGGGGTGGCGGTACTATTCGTGGCCGTGGTGGTGGCGGGCGTGCGGCCCGGAGGGGTCGGGCAAGAGGTGGCGGATCTATGCGACCAGCTACTCCTGCTGCACTCCAGGGTCGATCGCGCGGCAGATCTCAGTCTCGTGGGCGATCTCAGTCTAGAAGTCGTTCACAATCTAGAAATCGTTCTCGCTCTCGTCAACCTAGACGGTCTTTATCTCGGGCTAGGTCTGCATCAAGGTCACGATCGGGATTAAGAGGGTTGACTCCCAAAGGTAGAGCAGGCCTTGAAGATCAAGAAACGGAAATACCACAACTAGTGCGAAGGAATAGTTTTAATAGAGGTAGAGGCAGAGGTAATATTGAAGTTCAGGCTTCATTTGCATTGGCTTTGCAATAGATTATTTAATATTGTATTTTAAATATTTTTTAAATTTCCTACAGGGGGTCTTCAAAATAGAATTCGTCGTTCCAATTCAACCTCTAATCTGCAAACAGGAGTACATAGTCGTCTAGGAATTACCACTCGCAGGGGGAATAATATTCATCGACCACTTGCAGTTGCTAAAAGGGGTATTTCAAAACGAGGAAGAGGATTTACTACAAGAAATAGATATAGTAATGTAGGACTGAGATCTGATCAAATAATGCAGCAACAACGTCAAAATCTTATGGTTAACAACTCTATTATTAAGTCCCAGACCTTCACACGGTCAAGAAAAAATTCTTGCAGCTCTCCTTCTCAACTAACTGTTAGTGTGGCCAATGATTTTGCCAAGAGACGCAGAAATAGTGTCGGTAATTCTAATTACTTGAATCTACGAAGTTTAGCCCAACTCAATAATCAATATGATGGGTACAGGGGACGAAGGGGACCTGGTAGTGTAAAATCACTAGGTTCTAACAGATCAAATAGGTCTAGTCGTTCTAACCAATCTAATACCAGTAACAGATCAAGCAGCCGGGGGAGAGGCCGTGGCCGTGGTAGGGGTACTAACCGAGGAGTTGGACGTAAGTTTGTGAATAAACAAATTCTTAATCCTAAATTACAAAATGAAATTGCTGCTATACAGGGTAAAAATGTTGGCACAAGTTCCAACCAAAATGAAGCCCCCACTGGAGTGAATTTTACGCCAACTCCAGCAGTTACTGGCCAAACTTTACATCAAAGATTTGCTTGTGCTTAATTTTTATTATCATTAACAGTGACCACAGTATTGTAACACATTTTCGAGCAAAAGCTATTAACAATCTATATATAACCTTTGTCATACGAGAGTTTTGTTTTGGTTTTTTGTGACTAATTAACATTTTGTTGAAACTTGTCTTTAAAACAAAGATATCTTGATTTTTATATTTTCTTGAAATATGTTTGCTCCTGATGACAATTTCACGTTTTTTTTTTATTTGTAAGTATATAGTGGTTATAAGATGATAAAATAAAACTACTTTGTACAAACTGTAGACTTAATTTTATTCCATAAAGTAAATGTATCAAATACCCCTATAGTTATATGTCAATTTTAAATATACGGTTTTACATTCTGTGTATTTTAGGCATCATTATAAGTGAATCTGTAACTAAAAAAGAAAATTATTTTAATTTCGAAGTAATGTTTCAATTTAATTACTTCAATATTTTGCTATGGGTTAACTTAATTACGACAACTAAATAAACAAAATGTAATCAAAAAATGTCTGTCCAACACCTGTATGTAACAACTTTTTTTAAATAACAGCTGTTATTTAAAAAAAACTATCACAAATGAGATAGCATTGGACTACAGTAGCAACTAGCAACCAATTTACATTTTTAGAGATTTTTTTTTTATGTGAAAAGCTGTCAAATGAGCCGACGGTTCACCTGATGTTAAGTGAATACCGCCGACCATGGACATCTGCCATACCCGAGGGTTACTGATGCGTTGACAACCTTTTGAAAATTGGGCTCCAGCTACCTCACTCACCAGACGAAACGCGAAAGTATTTGTCATACTTCCACTTTACGCTGATCTTCTGTGAGGTCGTGGTACTTCCTAGGATGGGCCTGCCCGTTCGTGCAACAGCCGAAGCTACTGCATGGCCCTACCACCATTAATAAGATATTCTCTTTGTGATCTTCAATTGCAATTAATGGATTATAAGAATGTGTAATTTCTTACAGTGCTCTCCTAGTATGTTGCTTACAATTAATCCATGAAAAGAACTAATGTTATCTTTAGACACTTCTTTATTACTTTTAAATGTCCAGCCTAGATGCTGTCCACAATGTGGGCAAGTGCATATTTGCCATGTGTATCCAGGATACCAAGAATCTGCACCTTGATCCTGAAAATTAATTTATATCAATAGATTCAATAATGTTAATAAATTATGTAATTTTAATAACAATAGCCTAAATATAAATTCAATATTATTTACAATCCATGTAAATTTCTGGGGATTTAAATGATAATGAAATACTTTATTTACAGTCTATTATCATTTATAACACCTGTCTCACACCTTTTAACCTAAATGAGTAGACAGAGTTGGGTAATACCTAATTACATCAAATTGCTTAAATACTTAAGTAATTTTTGGCTGAAAGACATATCATTAAGTCCATAATTAGAAATATAATTAAAAAGCCATTGGGTTTGTTTTAAATTTATTTACATGGACATTTGTCATTCACTGAGGCATTGCATTGTGAAGGTTATCATTAATCCCTTACATTATCATCCTTATTATTAATATCATGTTTTGAAAAAGCACGATTATCCGTCTTCAAGTCAAGAATGAAAAGGCTGTTTCTGAGCTAGTGCATTTACCAAATTACACCTGACTATCAAGTGCGTTAGTACCCAAGCACTAGCTGTTTTTTGAGTAAAAAAATTACATAATTTGGAACACATTATTTCGAAATGTGTAAGATGTTAAAAGACCGGATGTGTAAATCATGAAATATGAGTACCTATGAAATTTCTTTTTTTTTTTACTTGTATGTAGTAGCTTACTAGGATACAATCTGACCAATAATATTATAATGCTTAGATTCACAACAAAATATATGTAGAGTAGAAAGGCTAAGGAATTATAATAAGAAAGAGCTTATGAGTAGACTGCTGTGAATATAAACAACTGTTATGCAAAATATAAAGTAAACCATTGTACAAAAAATATGACTACCTCAAATTCATAAGATTGGATAAACCACGTGAATTTCAATTTACTAGTATATTTGTTTTCTGATTAAAAATATATTTTTAAGAAAGCATGACAAAGGGTGGAACTTACTGGTCCTATATTTCTACATCTCGCTTTTTCCGAAGTAACAATGTCAAAGTTAATGCCATATGGGTTTACTAATGTTTGCACTGTTACATTAACCCTACCGAACAAATTATGCTTTTCAATTTTTCGTGCGCCGGGGCTAAGTTTAGTAAAGATAAAATGTGAATCCATAACGTCACTTCCACATTTTCGGCAAAGTATTAACTCTGAAAATAAAATAATAATTCATGAGCAGACCATAAATATTGTTATGTCCACCTTACTGTACCTACCTTGACCACGTTTATTCAAAGTATTATAGTGGTCATCAAAACAATAATAGTTTGATATGCATAATAATAACATTAAAAAAATAATAAACATTCCGTAGAGTACTTAAAATATAAAACAGCGGAGGATAGAAAATCGGAGCCTTTATTTATTTAGAACAGATAAGCATTTTTGTATTATGTGAATCTATTTGTACTCCAGTGTAATATTTGTATTACAGTCTCAAATGTAATGTAAAAAATATGTATTTTTATTTAATTTATTTATATTGTTAAATCTTATCAATTTTTGTGATGTGACCAGGGATCAAAATACCGGTAAAATACAGTAACGTTATCTGGGCCAGTGTGAGATAACGTTATTTTTTAGAGAAACGTTATTAAAAACGATATTGTGGAAAGCTTTGCAGGCGCATAACGTTATAATTGCGTTACGTTACATTCGTAAATTAAATGTTTCTAAAATATTGTTATAAAAATAATAACGTTATTATTTATTGTTCTATGCCATCTCTTTTACTCAAAACGGTTTACTCTTTTTTGCGAATGTTCTGTCTCTTTTATCTTATGTTCTGTCGCGCTTATATTTTGGTCGTCGGTACAGCAATTCAACTAACAGAAAATTTTGCTTAAGTTACTAGGAATATGAGAGGTAAAGGTAGTATTATTTCTTTTGCGGGCATCTTTATTCGCTATCTACTTAGTACCATCGCTCGCGTTCACTTAGCGTTTTCATCTAGGGATTTTTTTGAGATAGTACATAAAAACATAATTTAAGTGCTAATGATAAAATGGTGTGCGCAGGTACAAAGTAGTTAATTGGCAATTTTCAAATGTTATGTTATGTTAAATGCTTTCTTTTAATATGATTTTATGCATTATATAGTTAATAATTCTGATTCGATTTTTTGTTGCATTTAAAGTCGCATGTAGCACATTTTTAATATACAATACAAGGTACAATTAATATCATCGACCTTTTATACTAAATGAAATCTTTAATATTATATATAAAATTCTTTAATACTGAAAAAAGTTTCGACTAACTTGCGTTGTACTAAGTGCAACACGCGCCAATCCGAATTTTATACTAATTTACTTCTAATCAATGAATCGATACGTGGAAAGAACGAAAAAACTGAAATAAATTTTTTTTATAAAAAAACATCTTAAAAGCTTTTATTTATAAAAATTGGGTATGCGATAATTATATAAATAAAGAAATAAGATGCGATAAGATAAGATGCGATAAATATATAAAAAAAAGATAAACTTCTTTAATTTTTCTTTTTTCTTTCTTCGGTTTTTCTTTTAATATTATTTTTAACTTATTATTTTATATTTTAATAACTTTACATATCAATTGTTTATGGAATTACTAGTTAGTTGTTTGTAACATTTCACATTCTATCCATTTCATTTAATGCGTAAATATTATATTACATTACACGTCCACCAAACCACCACCACTCACCCATTAAAAACGGTCCACCCATTAAAACTAATCAAACTCGATGTGGTTGTGTCGCTTAATGATTGAGTCCCTATGGGCACCTTCCAGCTCCATCATCAAACCCTGGTTACCATCAAGTACCAAAGTACTCGTCAAGACGAAGCCAACGAGCCGAGACTCGATGGGGTTGCGTCGTTCCATTATAGAGTCCCTATGGCCACCTTCCAGCTCCATCATCAAACCCTGGTTACCATCAAGTACCAAAGTACTCGTTAAGACGAAGCCAACGAGCCGAGACTCGATGGGGTTGCGTCGTTCCATTACAGAGTCCCTATGTCCACCTTCCAGCTCCATCATCAAACCCTGGTTACCATCAAGTACCAAAGTACTCGTCAAGACGAAGCCAACGAGCCGAGACTCGATGGGGTTGCGTCGTTCCATTACAGAGTCCCTATGGCCACCTTCCAGCTCCATCATGAAACCCTGGTTACCATCAAGTACCAAAGTACTCATCAAGACGAAGCCAACGAGCCGTGACTCGATGGGGTTGCGTCGTTCCATTACAGAATCCCTATGGCCACCTTCCAGCTCCATCATGAAACCCTGGTTACCATCAAGTACCAAAGTACTCGTCAAGACGAAGCCAACGAGCCGAGACTCGATGGGGTTGCGTCGTTCCATTACAGAGTCCCTATGGCCACCTTCCAGCGCCATCATCAGATCAGTACCATGTCATTATAATATCGCATTGTTACGCGATTTACACATGTATGCAAAATTTCAGCTCCATCGGTACCTAACCGGGAAATGGATCAAATTTAATTTGCAAGAATTGATGACAAACATCGCTACAGGTGAAACTAAATGAAAGCTTGTTAAATAAAATTCGTCGCAAGGGTTTACAAATGTTTTGGCATCGTTTTAAAACATTACCGTGCTGTGCGGGGAACCCCCATCCGAGCTAACAGTTGGATCCCCGCTCATAAGACGCGCGCTTTAGAAATAAATAAGTTTGGCAACGTTGCGTATTTATCTTTATAATACCGTTAATAACGTTAATTTCTCTGTAATAATTTCGTTCTGTTACTCGTATAACGTTATACAAAAAAATTGATAACGAAATGTTTTCTGAGGTACCGATACCATTATAACGTTATGATATCGTTATAAATTTCGTTATGCATAACGTTTTAGGTCCCTGGATGTGATTTTGTTTTGTACCAGTGTTGCACTCGCAGTGTTGCCGTTTTGTATATGGAAAAATGCTATACTTTGGTGAAGGAAATGCTAAAAATGCTATAATGCTAATAATGCTAACTGCCAAGTCTTGTTTAATAAATATAAGTAGGTAGTGTAATAAAATGCACTGTAACTTAATAATATAATAGCTCTTCAGGAACGTTATAATTATTAATGACTATGATAGCATTTTACTGATCTTCTTGGGCCATGTCTGACGTGTAGAATCGACTTCAGTGTATCTATGATTTCTTAATTTTGTTTTGACGACATCCATTTGGCTGAATACTCGTTCTATCTTAGCATCCGAGTGTGGCAAAGAGAGAATAGATAAGGTCAAAGACGCTAAATGGGGTATTATCCCCTGAGTCTTTTTATTTATGAACATCCGACCAAAATCATTACACATAGCTTCCTAGTAATAATCAACTTCTCACCGGTCGTCTGTGAAGTCGTGGTCCTTCTTACCCGGACGTCCCTGCATTTCTGCAACAGCGAAGACGATAGCGAAGAAGATATTAGATAAATTAAGTACATAAACACGTAAACAGTTTAACCTTTGTTAACAGTTGATTTACATATATTTTTTAAAAGTACTCATACTGCCTTTTTGTAAGTGTAGACTGTAATTGTTATATATGAGAAAAGGATTGTAACTGGCGGTGCTGATAGCGGTCACGGTCGGCATGCAAATTCATTGTTTTGTATTAAATTCCTTTCCCTCCTTATTTTAATTGTATGGAGCTGGCCGGCCTATAAAGCTAATAATATGCTAGATGATTTAAAACGATAGTACTATGACCTTGATAGTGGCCTATACAGTAATACAAATAAAATAAAAATAGCCTTCTAAGTATATAAACTTTTTACTTAAGGATAATAAAATATATAATAAATTTAGTGTGCATGCGTTTTTTTTTTGCTTTATGTAATTAATTATTATTAGGAGTAGTTGCGTCATCGGTGCAGACCTCCTAAACGTCTCCAAACGTCTCATTTACGTGCGTCTCGCATCCAAATCTAAGGGTAAAGATCTCTCCCCACTTTCACTTGGACTTCCTGTTTTCCTTTTCATGTCTTTTGGAATCCATTCCATTAGGCATTTTGTCCTGCCCAATGCCATTTGAGTAGTCTTGTTCTTTTCTTTACATCTACCATTTATGTTTTTTCCTGACTTTGATATTGCTGACCTTATCAAATAATTTTAGACCAAGCATGCTCTTCACATCTCTGTCCCAGTAATCCTGCTCAAATCTCCTTACATGATTCTAAAAATAAAATTATTAGCTATAATCATGTTTAAAGAGTCTGTCGAAAGTTGTTAAATTGTGTGGTATCGTATACTCTGGGTATTAGGCAGAAGTGGTTAATTAATAATTGTCATGATCCATAGTTATTGAAATTCAGCTCAACAAGGTAAATAATCATACATCCTTGCTGTTCTAGCACCATTCTGAAGGGATTTTCAACTTTTAATTACTTAATTACTTATTTAATTAATTAATTACTGCTTAAAGGTGGACACTTGTAGCTGTTCCCCCACTTCGACGTTGATCGTATGAGAAAGTGCTCTTAACGTTCACCTTCCATAGTATACATTGTGACATGGTTTATATTGCAAGAATATGAACCATGTCATTATAAAAAACAAGCAGGTCAAGGCAGTCTTTGTGGACTGCCGATAGAAGTGAAAACTACTTTGCTACTATATACTCACATATTTTATCTATGTACATTATGGCAATCAGCCACAGAACACTTTTACTCAAAGAGGCGTTTAGAATAGTGGCTAAAGCGTCAGGGTGCAAATCCCGAAGACGTGCGTTCGATTCTCACAGCGGCGAAAAACTTCGTACTTTTTTCTACAAATTTTAATGTTTAATCTTAAGTGCAGAGATTAGCACTATAAAAATTTAACTTTCTAGAAAGCAACGGTGACATCTCTTGTTCGAATTATCATTGTAAAACAATATTCGAAATTTTTGGTATGCTGGAAAGGATATAACATTGGATGTGTCAAGCATTGCTTCAAATGCTAAAATATAATGTACTTATCGGACGTTGAGATTTTTGTCGGTGTGGCAATCAAACGTTTAGCTTAGTGGCTAAAGCATCAGGCACGAATACCGAAGACTTGGGTTCAATTCCCACTGCGGCGAAAAATTTTCGTTTCTTACTTTACTTTTAATGATTAATCTCAAACGCAGAGATTAGCGCTATAATTTTTAATTTCTAAATAATTTTTAAGTTAAAAATAATTTATGTATGTTATACTAATAATAATTTAAATAAATATCAAGCTTTCCGTGAAGATGGTGCGAGTATTGATGTTTTAGTAGTTTATTAATGTGTTAGAGTATGTTCACCCAAAAAATGCTCATCGCACCTAAATAAGTTTTTACTTCAATAAAAAATGCCGCTTCTGTGTAAAACACAGGAAAAAATATTTAGTTGTTTTTCTTTTGTTACGTTAAATAAGTATAATTTTATCGTGCGTACCTATGTACAAAAAACGCTTATTTAGTTCATTTGATACTTTGACAAATAGCTTATAGCAGAAACAGCATCCATAAATCCATAATACAACTTTTTCCCCTTCATCCGATCATCACAATTGGATGACCAGCAAAATTCATATACCAGTTACCGTATAAAATTCACTATTTAGGCTTAATAAAAATAATTTTTAGATACATTTCAAGAAAAGAAAAAAGACAAAGTTTTTTTGATGCATATCCGAACTGCACTTATTTTTTTTTTATTTTTTTGACATCTGTTATTTGTATGTATATTGTTTACCATTATTCGCAATTAGTATTAATGAAATAAATGATGTATCGTAATGGATATTAACTTTTATATCACATGATATATTTTAACGAGAATATACGTAACAATTTAAAATTATTTTATTGCAATTGCTTTCACTAAAGTATAAAAAAAATGTCTTTTTTCAAGAGTGTTGCTTCCAGTTTTAATAAACAAAGCCGTGATTCTATTCTTAAGGAATCATTAATAAATAATTTGTCAGAATGTGTCAAAGACATACAATACAATAGTCAATTTGAAGAAAATTTCCACAGCGTGCTTGGATCGTCAGATTCTACAAATACGTTATGTATGGCGTTGGAGGCTGTTTTCCTTCATGGATTAAAAGATACTTTTTTACGAAAAGCTAAAAATGTTATAACTAATGATCCTGATTATCGCCCACAGTCAAGCTTTTGGCCTCTAATACTAGTTTTATCGCATCGTCAAAATATTGACCAGATATCTTCATTACCACAAATAAATACAGAAATAGGTCAGTGCCGTGCTTGGTTGCGCATTGCTCTTAATGATTGCTTATTATCATCTTATATGGCAACTCTCTTAAAGAATATAACGGCAGTAAGACCATTTTACAATAGATCAGCATTTGTCTGCGACTCTGAAATATTAGAAGTCGCCCAGAAACTTGTTGAGGGGTTGGAGTCATGTGTTCAGTTTAACTTGCCAATAAATTCAAGTTTATTAAATCAGTGGCCAGAACAGGTGCTCATGCAAGCTGGGATATGGGTTAATACTATCAAAGCTGCCCCGATCAGTGCTGGGCTCGATGTTGCCAGTACCCTTTCTGATGAAATTAAAACAAAGTTATCAACAACACCAACACACAGTTCAAGTCTCACTGGGTTAGGAAAAATGTTAGCTCTGAATGAAGATGAAGCATTAGATTTCATTCTTTCAAAGGATTCAGATGACATTACTAATAGAGATGAAGGGACACATAATATAAAAAATAAAGTGGTATCAGAAAAAAAAGAGATAAATAATGAGAGCGCTGGATCAGGTTCTGTTAATATTGAAAAACCTACTACAAGTCAAGAGAAAGAATTTCAAGTATATCCTTCATCCATTGAATCAGGGGATTTCATAAACTCATCAGAAATTGTTATTACAGGAAATTCTTTATGTGGAAAAGGATGGTCTACAGATAATAAAGATGAATTGAACACATCAATTAATTCAAACTCTTCTCATGGGAGTAGTCTTATAAAAACTCCGGAACTAAAAAGTCTATCATCCTTAATTGACAATTCAAACTTTGTTGACACTCATCTGAATACATCAAATTTAAGAGATATGATGAAAGATATTCATAAAGAATTGAAATTAACTAGTGAAGAGAGTGATATCTGTGATTTAACATTAGAAACAACAATGCCTGAAGATCTTGCAATGCATGGTTTAGATTTCGAAATTGTTCCTAACATTTCTACTGGCTCATTTTCTGTACAGGAATTGCAGAAATTAGTTCAGCAACTTGGGACATTATCAAGAGAAAAAGGCCTAGACCATCAAAATTATCAATGCAAGAGCTGTCAAGACTTGCTTGGCAGCACTGTTTCCAAAGCCAAGGTGTGTGCTTATACTGGTGAATATTACTGCTCTAATTGTATGGATCCAAATGTATTCATAATTCCAGCACGGGTTATACATAATTGGGATTTCAAAAGGTACCCTGTATCAAAAATATCTGCACTTTTCTTATTAGAGTTTCAACATAATCCATGGATAGATATGAAGAAGCTTAATCCAAAAATTTATTGCGGTGTCTCTGATATGGCACACCTGCAGGAGTTAAGAATTCAGCTTAATTTTTTGAGATCTTATATCTTTACTTGTCGAGAGCCAGTAATTGAAGAATTACAAAAGAGAGTTTGGCCAAGGGAATATTTGTATGATCATGTGCATTTATATACAATATCTGACCTTGCTCAAATTCCCAATGGATCATTAGTGTTGCAGTTGGAAAAGGTGGTCAACTTTGCTAAATCACATGTACTTGATTGTTGGCTTTGTAGTCAGAAGGGTTTCATATGTGAGGTATGTCGGGATCCAAAAATCTTGTATCCATTTGAAACAAGCTCAACCTACAGATGTGATGAATGCTCAAGTGTCTTTCATGCTAAATGCCTTAATGCGAGCATACCTTGTCCAAAGTGTAAGAGAAAGCAAGAGCGTACCAATGAATGTTCTTTAATTGATGCAGTTCATTTAATGAAGTGAATTCTAAACATAACAAATTAATTCTGCAAACATGTAAGCATTCTTAGATTAGAAAGAAATCTTTCTACAATATGTGTAATTTGTAAAACTAGGTATAGTTTTACCTTAATTATACAACAATAAATGTTCCATTAGCAATCCATATACATAGTGCTTTTTCTCTGTTTGTGTCAGATTTATTTACAATATATAATATTTACAAGATACTGGTCTTTAATGCATATATGCAATAAATAAAATATATTTCAAAATGCATATATCCCGAAAAAACTTATTTTATAAGATGTATAATATGTAAATGTGATTCTAATTTGCTTGTAATTAATTATGTTTTGTATAAATATGTTTACTTATTGCATTATTTATGGAATGTGGATAAAGCATTTTAATGAAAGCATAATGTCCTCTATAATTAAAGGATGTATTTATTGATAATAGTTTTATTTCATATTAAGGTTTTGTTTTATTTATTGCAGGTTGTCTATCTGCCTAAAGGCTTGACTTTGATGTTTTTTCTTTTTTATATAGCATACATATCACCAAAATGCTAGGAGCTCTTTATAGAGCAATGTGCATAGACTTGGTTATTTTTCTATTTATAATCACGTGAATTGGCACCTGTCGATTCACAACCTCAAATTACAATTTTTTTTGGGTTTTATAAAATTCTGACAAGTCCATCGCATTATAATATTTTCAGGCGTATGTAGACAATTTCGAACCCAAAAAGTAACCACACGTGGTTAGAGTAATTTAGGTCAACAATATATGGACGCTAGTTATGTCCTTTGCAGAAAAATGACGAAAAGATTTTCACCGCTGCGGGAATCTTTTTTTTTTACGTGATAAGATGGCACAACGAGCTGGCGCACAGTGGTCGAAACTGCTATATGAGTATTTTTTGTTACAAATTCCATTTAAAAAAATACCTGTCGAAAGATTTTGTCATTCTAATGAACAATTGTTATTAAACGTTTTACTCTAAAACTGATAGTTTGACCGGAAAAAAATATTTTCAATTTTTAGTATGGAATGAAACAGAAACTGCTAAAATTTGGCCAAGTCTTGACAGATTCTGCTTTAAAACTACTTTATGTCTCTTCTTTGTATTGTTGGCCATGACTACGCTATCAGCGCGCACCCAAAGGTATTTCTTTTAAATGGAATTTGTAGGAAAAAATCCTATGTCCCTCATGTATCAGTTTCTACCGACTGTGTCGCGGTTCACCTGGTGGTAAGTGATAAACGCCGCCCATGGACATTGGCAACACCCATAAGGTTGCAAAGGCGTTGCCACCTTGTAATGAAGTGGGCCCCGGCTACCTCACTCACCAGACGAAACGCAGAAGCATAATGCTTCTACTTTACGCCGGTCTTCTGTGAGGTCGTGGTATTTCCCGTGACGGACCTGCCCATTCGTGCATCCGCGAACTGATGCGTGGCCCACTGTAAAAAAATCAATTTCGGGTTGAATTAAGCGCTATATTCTTACATAATACAAGTTATTTCAAATAAATAAATGTGAAATACCGTCGATTATACACAAAGTACACTTATCTATTCCTATTCAAATTTAAAATATCACTTAGGTAAGTAGTTGCGTTTTCTTTTTTGTGTCTCGCTTTGTTTACTTGATTACTCTTTTTGGCGCCATTTTCATCGACATCATAATGTTGACCATTTATCGAGTACTCCTCAAAACACTCGTCTAGCAACTTGTCAGGATCGTCCTGTTTTGATTTCTTCCTCTTCGACTGATAACTAAGGGAGTCCTTTTCGAAGTCTAAGGGGACGATTCCGAGATCACCGCTGTAACGGTTCTTCGCGACTTGCAAATATTTTTTACCGCGCACAGCTGTTAATCGTTTGTCCTGCAATATATAAAAAAGTAAAGTAAAGTAACAGCCTATAAATGCCCCACTGCTGGACAAATGCCTCCTCTATAGGGTACCAGGGCATAGTCCACCACGCGACCCCACTGCGGATAGGCGGACTTCACATATGAGCACGCGGTAAGTCAGCACTTAAAATTAACAATTTCATTCACTCAGGTTGCTCGAGTAAATTGAATTAAAGCCGAGCGCCCGGACACTGAGCTAACACGGGTGCAATATATGCATAATATTAATACTTAAAATTTATAACGATAAATACTTGATGGCCGTGGTAGGGTCCCCCAACAGCTTTTCCTGTTGCACGAATGGCCAGCTCGTCCGCGGAACTGCCACGGCCTCGCAGAAGCCCGGAGGGAAGTTTTATACATCTGCATTTCATCCGATGAGTGAGGTAACCTGGCGCCACTTTATTAAAAGGTGGATTATGATGACGTATTATGATGTTATAAATGTGCACGGCGGCAGTCATCACTCAACATTAGGTCGATAGCCATCTTCTCACATAAAAAAATCTTAATACAATGATAATAAAAATAATAATAAAATATTTATTTTTCACCACTACTAATAGCTTAAAATAACATATTATGTGTTTACACTTCGTTCCACTTCAAAGGACATATTCGTGATGGAAACTATGTTTGATTCAGATTTTTATCAGGTATAAATTGTTGGCAACTCAGCAAAAGGTTGACCTGTGGTTTAGGAGAGGACCGCTGTCATTGTACACTCAACGCCAGAAATATTTATATATATTATAAATTACACTATTCTATGACGCCTTTATTACCCAATCAAGTTGGCCTCATCGTGCAATAGGAGCCGTTATGTTGTCGCTCTACCCACGGTTAACATTTCTTATTAATTGTTTTTTAACAATTATAATTCACTAGATAATTATTAATATGTTTAACGAACAGGTAATGAACTGCGATAATTCATCTCGCGCCAAAAATGTAACATTTTTGAATAACAAAAAGTATAGGTAAGTTGCTTCCGACTTGCCTGAATTATAAGTACGTTGTCCGCTTCCTGGGACGCTTTGGCGCTGCCGAAGATGGAACTGGTGGACAAGTCCTCCGATTCACGTTCCTGTCAAATTTTTAGAATGACGTTACTATTTCGGTGTTTCAAAATCGTATAAACTATCTATTATGTTCATGAAAATATAATTGGGTTTACGTTTTGCTTTTCCAGTATTTCTTTATGTTTATTCAAATTTTAAATGTAATTCAAATGTAATGTCGGCCTCGCACCGACTAAAATTCCCACGATGTTCCTCCTAGGGGCATATCGGCAGGGCCACGGGAACGCTTTCGCACACTTCCGCTACCCTGCCAGGGTTGACCGCCTCAGCAGCCTCCTACCAGGGAGCAACTCCCCTCTTCTCCAGGTAAGGCGCTCGGCCAACGAACTCCCCAGAGTTCGTTGACCGGGGCCATGGGAGCCAGGAGAGCCAGTTCTATAAGCAGCAAGCCTCCCAGCCCCCAACGGCGGACCTGGTATGTGGCTCCGCCGCTTACCACGTTTCGGCCGCAGAGGGTAGGGAGAACGGCGCACCGCAATACCGACACTCCTCTTCCCCCCGCGGCCTCACCACCACTGCATCAGCGGTGCAGCCCCACCGAGTCGCGGAGGACAGGGAGAGCGGCCAAACGCAATAATCGGTTGAACAGCCTGCACACTTGACATTTCGTATAAAAAAACAAATGATGACGATGCTGGCCTGAAATTGCCACCTCGGGTGCATGACGAGCGTGACGTGGCAGTGGCGGGCGGTGGCGAAGGTGCGGAACGCGGCCACCAGGTCGCTAGTTGTGAAACTATGTATATATTTATTTGAATAAAAAACAAAAAAAAAGAAAAAGAAACGACGATGCAGGTCTGCGATTGCCACGCACCTTCCTCGGGTGCATGACGAGCGTGACGTGGCAGTGGCGGGCGGTGGCGAAGGTGCGGAACGCGGCCACCACCGCGTCCTGGCGCTGGTAGCGGTCGCCGTCGCGCTCCTCGCCCAGGCCCAGCATGAACTGCACGTTGTCCACCACCACGTGCGCGATGTCGTGCATGTAGCGCGCGTGCTCCACCGCCTGGCGCGTTGCGCGATTATAGAGCGTGCATCGATCGGCGTAGGGCTCAAATTGCAATGGGTCGGCGACCGTGTAAAAGAACAGCTAGCGAAACAGCCGTCGAACGGGAGGATCTTTGTTAGATGTACGTTTTGTTAGTTGTCAGTGGCTTTTGTAACTTCTATCACAACATAGTATAAAACCAAGTCGTCCCGCTGTCTGCCAGTCCCAATGTATGCTTAGATCTTTAAAACTAACCAACGGATTTTGATGCGGTTTTCTTTAATATATAGAGTGATTCAATAGGAAGGTTTATATGTATAATTCATGTATAATATAGTAAAGAAACACTGATAATTTTAGAGGTTTCTAATTGGATTTCAAAAACAAACATTCAGCATTGCACCCGTGCAAAGCAGGAGCGGGTCGCTAGTAACTTACATAACTAAGCTTTATATAACTTCGTCCGAATAAAGATCCCTTGTTATGCTGTTTGAAAACTGACTAACGGTTTTTATAGCTCATCGTGATTTATTTACGTGTAAAGGTTGTAAACTGGCAAGCGGTCATCATATTCACCATCTACTACATATTTGGGCTTGCTAGTTGACTTTTTTGTAATGGGTGTCTCTCACTATACGAAGATCAAAAGTGCAAATAGTCAAATACTATGTCTCCTGTGAGGTCTGGGGTCTAGGACGGATGAGCAATAATAATCTTGAAACATCAGAAGCTGATGCATGGATCAGCATCTCCATTGATATCGCGTGATTAGCTTAAAACTATTCAAAAGTGACTTCGTAAACCTCCTGACCACAATTAGAGTCAATCATAAGTTTATTACTATGCTTTATTATGAACATTGAAAAGGGACAAACAAGTGTGAATCGGGAAATCATTCATATGTAAACCAAACTTCACTCGACTAAGTAATTACCATTCACAGCTAAGTGACAAAAGATTGGACGGGAAACGCTACCTCCATTACAACTTTGATTGGTTGCTGTCCGTGGAACGCCAAATAGTATATCGGAAGCTTCTGGAAGTCGTCAGCGTATCTGTTGAAGTCCTGCAAGTGCTGCTCCAGCGGTACACCCGCGAACTGCTGCAGCATGGTACGCGCCAGCCGTGAATTGCGTATCTCGAAGCTTCCCCATAGTGTATTCACCTTAAATACATTCGGTATATTATTAAAACTATTTAGCTCCCTGAAAGTCTGTGGTTGTATTGTTAATAAAATACAATGATTGATTCATTCAACAAACAATGTAGTTTGATGATATTCTCATTGTATACTACAAAAGTTCAAACACTTTTCAGCCGACTTCAAAAAAGGAGGTTCTCAATATTTTTTTTGTGTGTCAAAACGGAAGTCATTTACGAGCAGTTTTTTTAAAAAGCATATTTGCTATGGGTTCGATGTGATCCTGTATTAATTTTTTTTAATTGGTATTTGACCTTTGACTCTCTTTTACTTGTTAAAATACAAAGTACCATTTTGCAAGTTTTATATGTTTTTGTTATGGTTTGGGTTATAAGAATATAGTCTTGAATTCGATGTTTCGTGAGTTGAAGGATGATGGCGATGATGACGAGATATGATTAAATATTTTTTCACTATTGATTAATTGAATTAGCTATTACATTAGTTTGTTTGTCAACTCTGAACATTATGAACAATTCTTTAACACTGAGCTTCGCAAATGAACAAATATTTAATGCTAGTTAACTGTTTTAAGTCTCTGAGTTCTGATTTAGATTACTAAGGTCTTAGCATATTCGGTATACCCCTTGTTGGGCGAGATCGAGCGACATTTCGGCGCACAGTGTGGTCTTGCCGCATCCGGTGGGTCCAGTAAGGATGGTCAATTCGCCGCGCCGGTGCCCACCCAGCAGACGGGTTAGGGCGGGAAAGCGACGCCATTTTATACCGCGCACCTTTAATAAAACAGATTAAAAATGCATTCGAAGTTTTTAAACAAAAATTAAATGAAAGGAAAATTTTGTAAGTTATAATATTATTTATAAGAAATAACACAAGTTGTATAAATAAACAGTAATACACCGAACTAATGTGAAAGGTTGGACTGAGTGACACCGCACTAGTCTAGGCATAATTCGGCAATTTAATACTTATGAGTTATTTTCAGGTTAGGCCGAAAAAAATGTAAAATTCTTATTTTGATAACATAAATACAAAAATAAAAGCGCAAACTGAAGTTATTTTAATGTAGCCTCAGTTTTCTTTTGTTTTTCTTCCGCAAAATTTCCTCGTGGGACGCTTACAATTTTTTTATTCCCTGTTTAGTTGAAGAAATACTCTGTTCTCGGGAGACTATATTTTCTTAAATTTGTAACCCCTTTTCAAATAAACTGAGCTCAAATTTCCAACCATTATTCGATCTTCTGATTGAACTGGGACTAAAAACTCTAGCTGTTTAATGCTTTGATGCCGTTCACGCATTTCTATTGGCTCATCAATATTCAACTCCTCATTTTGGGAATCCAGTAGTTCTTGAATAAGAAACAAAAGCCAAATCGACAAAGTAAGCGTACGTCAGGGTGGCCTAAGGGGAGGTATTGCTGTATACTAAGCATCTCTAAAATATTAAATTTTCTGGAGGTTGTATAAACGCTAGCTGAATTAAATTTTCATACAACCACAGATTAGCCAAAGTCAAATTAAAGTATTTAAAATAGACTACTCACTTTTGGGACTCGCACTATCTACAATGTTGTGTGCAATAAAAAATTTATGGATTTTTGTTAAGGTAATGCACATCTACACACCCGGAACTAGCATCTCCATGACAATAAAAACACATGCTCATATTTACCAATTGAAAGGACAATGTCTGTTGGGAAACAACTAACCTTATCAATGTTCGTTAGTTCTGAATAGACGTCGTCCCTCAAAGCGGAAAAGGTCGTTATAGATCGATGGGAGGCAGGCTTGGCCTCCGACACCAGCGTCTTCAGAGGTAGATTAGCGGCGGCTGTTTCTGATGCTGTCACTAGCCCATCTGTGGGTCTAACGAGTTGCGTTTTCAAATAAAGACACAAATGAAAATAAACTGCGGCAGAGCCACGCAACAATGTTCGCTGTTGCACGAATGGGCAGGTCCGTCCGGGTTAGTACCACGATCTCACGGAAGATCGGCGTGAAGTGGAAGTGTTACACTTTAGTGTGTTGAGTGAGGTAGCCAGGGCCCACTTTATTGAAAGGTGGCAACGCATCTGCAACCCTAAGGGTGTTGCAAATGTCCATGGGCGGCGGTTATCACTTAATATCAGGTGAACCACTAGAACGCTGGCAACTATCTCGCATAAAAAAAAGTAGATCGTAAAGAGGAACGCCGTTCAACGGTACCTCACGAAGCGGCATCTGTCCTCGCCCAGTTTCTCAGCGACCGCACGCATGTTGTCCCAGTCGCCCCACAAGCAGAGTTTCTGATAACCTTCGAGCGTCGGAAGAACAACCGGTGGCAGATTGCAGTTATTCAGCCACACGAGCGAACCTGAAAAATGAGCGTTTCGTGAATAATTGACTACTGACAATGTTCGTTCGAAAGGTAATAGAGAAGTATCAACAGTAGCTGTGTCCATGCTATGAATGGGATGGGTCCTCGGGAAAAGTACCACCTTCCAGGCGAAAATTTTTGTGTTTATTATTAGGAGCTACAATTTTTATTTGAAAGAAAATTTAATCATATTATATATGGAAACGTACTTAGGTGCAACTATTTTGGACGACATTTTCTCATAAATGGGATTCAACTTCATGGAAAAAGCAAGCCCAATATAGGCTTCAAGAAGGCAATTGTTCGTTTTGTCTGCTTAGATCAGAGATTTCCCCTATCCTTACGTATGGCACTGTCTCTGGTCGTTGGGCTTTAGCTCATAAGTTAGTTGAACTTTGTATGGATCATAATTTTTCGAAACAAAATCCACAAAGTTAAACGACGCGGGATGGACTACTTGGGATTTTCTCGCACACCATATTTAATATTCTATAACAATCTTGCTCTTCTTGACGTTTAGGTGTTGCTTTATTTCATTGACCCGGCTGTCGCTAATTTTCCCATTTAACAACGGAATGTGTACCCTACAGGACGGCCACAAATCCCTAAATTGGGTGCAGCGCAACTAACAGAACAGTGAATTAATTTTGATAGTAAATTATAAACAATGTTAACACGCTGTTAAAACATGTAGCATTTCTTACGCATTTCAAGACTAAATATTATGTCTAAAAAATTTGATACCTTACGCTGTAAAAGTTCCAACATCCTTATCGAAAACCCCAATAGTAAGAAAAAAATATAGCTTTACCTACTGTGAGGTAAAAGAGGTTACTCCAATAAATCCACTATCCAGTTTGTTCACACACTTATTTGAAAAAAAAATTAATGGTTATGCACCTGGAACTTTGTGTGCTGCTAAATGCAACACATCCTGAATATTAGGGACCAGAACAGCTTGGGCATTGTGACTGACTTTGTGAGCCTTACACCAGAATAGGCCCGTTGTGTGTTGCCCATAGTTTTCTGCTTCCTCCTCTCTCCCAGCTTGAATTTTACGATATCCTATCACTATATCAAGTGCATTTTTCAAAGGAAAGTACAATATTGTGTTATCTGCAGAGACTCTTACATCTAATAGTACTTTACAAGCATCTGGATGGTACTGAAAATAAAATTTGCTTATTAAAAGTCCCATTTGGTTTGTTTATCAGAATTCTTTTTAAGTTTGATCTTATAGTGCGTGTGGATTTACACAATTTACTTTAAAATATTTTGTGTGTTTCTTGACAAATTTGAAATTATTTTAAATATATTATGAATATGTTTATAAGCTTTTGTATTTATTACTTCAAGGGAAATTTAAAATTATATAAAATAGCAGCTTACAGGAAATTCAAATAGTGTAAAAATATCTAGCATTTCCTTTTCACTTAGTTTTGACAATGAGGTAGTTTCTTCTTTAATTTTTTCCCAGTCTTTTTGAAAAAGACTGGTACTTTGTTGCATTTTATCTATATAATCTTTTATTGTTGTTTCCATTTTGGCTCGTTTCACAAGTCTTTCTAAAATTTTCCATTCTCCATGAATATTGCATTTTGGGCATATAAAATAACCTGAAATTAAAATTAAATTTCACTATAGAATGGTCTTATAAATTATCCATTTATACCAAGCCAGAAACAAAATAAACAACAGAAAAAAAAAGTGAGGTTCAGTCAAGGTATATATTTAGAATAAAACATACATAGCAAAATACTAGCCTATTAAATGTATAACTGTTTTTTTTTTCTAAATTGCTTCTTCACATTCACATATTTTCACCAGTACTTATAAGAATATATTGAATTAGTATAACAACTGTTCTTTTTACTTCCCAATCAGAACAATGGTACAGTGAGCGTGATGCTGTAGGACACGCTTCAATTCAATTTTTTACTAACGAATAACAAAACCAAAAATTTCACTCTGTATTCATTTTATAGTTGATTTTCAGGAGTTTCCTAATTATCTCCGGATCCCATGATCCAATACCAATGAAATTAATAAGGGACCACATGGGAAGCACCAGCTTTCAAATAAAAAAGAATTATCAAAATCGGTTCACTCAGTCAAAAGTTCAAGGCAACAAACATAAAAAAAATAAAAAATACAGTTGAATTGAGAACCTCCTCCTATTGAAGTCGGTTAAAAATACTGGAAGTCATTGGTATTAGCCATGGAGGTAATAATAATAGGTAGGTAATAATAATAGGTAAAGGTAATAATAATAATCACCCTTTACTTATTTACAAACAAATATGTCTGCAGAAAAGGTTATGTTTATATATGTACTAACCGGTTGCTTTGTTCACATACACTTTACTATCACCACTTTTTTCATCTCCAGCACATATTGTGCATTTTGTTATAAATGATGTATAACCATCTTGGACGGCAAAGCCTTTCTGTCGTAACAATTTTCGAATATCAGTAAATGATATTTTAGGTATGTCATGCAGGCCGACATCGTGTATTACACGTTTATGAATTTTACAATTGCACGATTTTGAAGATAACTGTAAAATGCGCCATCGTAAAGACTTATTACTAAGTAACATTTTTTACTAAAATGACAAAAAAATTAACAATAATAAAAACATAACCTATAAACATTTGGTTGACAAACAATTGACATATTGATATTGTTTTTTTTTTATTGATATATGAGATGTCAATGACAATAGCAATTACAAATTACAAACCGACTAAATTGACTAAATTCAAACAAAAACTTCCTAAATGGAAAATTACCATTGTTTTTTAATATTGAAGATAAAATCTGATAAAAATAACTATTTAATTAAAAGTCGTCAAGAAAACTTAATATGAATTTTTTTAAAACATTTAAAAAAATTACACATTAATCTTTAGAATGCACCCTGGTTAAAACATCGTGGGGGTTTTAGCCAGGGAGCGCGGATATGCGTATTCCTTCTATAGAATTAATACAATTCTGTCGGTTAAAGCTTTCCGCCCCACATCCCCTCGGACCAGGTTATGTCATCCTCTAGATAGGTTCCACTATGGATTGCGGTCCAAACCGAGGCTCAAACCTCCATTATCAATTCATCCCTATTTTTAGATCGTGTCCTGCATCTCTCATTTACAAGGGTCGCGGAGACGTAGCGCAGTGTACGGTGTTATCAAGTGGTTGTCACATCAGATCGTAGTTTTTACTGAGTCCGTGGAGATGGACATGAAAGCCACCGGGCTAATTACCTCGATCCAAGGCCCCCTTTTTTTAAACGTGGGAAAAATTCGATATGAATGCCACCGATCGAGGAGTGGAAGGGTATGTGGGATTACTGGACAGAAACTGGTACTTACTAAAAAATCCACGTTGCACCTGTTTGTGTCGCATCGGGCGTGGACATGGTAACATGAAAACGCAATCTTTTGCGATCTCTATATTTCATTAAGACAATTTAATTGTTTCATGTTCAACAGACTCAAACAGGCTGAATTGGTGATAATGATAAAATCGATTTTCCCCCAAAATTGTTTTTATTAAGCATTTTTCGTATTCAATTGACCTCCTTTTAATTTTATGAATTAAAATCCAATATCTACATATCCATGTATTTAAAAACTATATTTACAAATAATTTTATTTACTTAATTCTAGTATCATTTATTTTAGGGGCTTGTACCACATTTTACAAAAAATAATCTACTATCACTATATTTACGTCTAATGACAATACAACAAAGGAATAAACATAATCGATTACAATAAGTATTTATAAATATAAATAAATAAAAATTAAGATGATTTCTTCAGAGTTGATAAATAAATTTCATAATTTCCTTCAGATGTTAAAAAGATCGTAAAAAAGCAGTATTATATATAAATACAAATATGATGATGAAATTTCTCTGCATAATGTGCTTTTTTGAGTATTCTTTATTTATATTCTTCTTATTGCTATTATTACAGTAACAAAAAAATAATATGTACAAAAGTATAAAGTATAGCTTCTCTAAGAGAATACATATTTCACATTGAATTACGTAGTGTCTCTTATACATAGGATTCTGTATATTTAATAGAGTCAATTAACAAGGTTGACATATAAATATAATTTCAAATGGCTACATGTCATCAAAAATAATGCAAATAATTACTTATATATACTATTATCTTATTGGAAACAAAGTCAGTTGCAATTGGTATGTTAATTGATGCATTTCACTTTACGTGTTTGTAATATTGCCACACATTTCTCATGGCGACAGTACAATTGCAATGCTGTAGTTAATAACAAGGCAATGTCTTTTGCAGTTAATTCTTAAAAGTACTAAAATCTACATAAATACAAATGCGTTTTGCATTTATCCAACATAATTACAAAACAAATTAGCCACAAATATAAAGCAAAATTTTAGGGTAATTAAAAAAAAAGACTAAATGTACAGATTAAATTCATGGGTAATCCATATGCAAACAGTCGACGTGCACATCGATGTATGAGTTTTTGGTGTGTTTGTTAATCGCCTAAGCCGCTGCTCGGGAACGGTGCTCGGTAGGTGTTTCAGTATGGCGGCTGGTACTGCTGGCGTTGCAGGTGCTGCACCAGCGGGCCCTGCTGTTGCTGCATGGCAAGCATTTGTTGCCGCATCCGCAGTTGAGGCGTCAGCTGCTGTTGATACTGAGCGCCCTGCTGCGGCTGCATACCGCGCGGATAGGGCGGCGCCGGCCCGCCCATCGCCCCCATCGTCACGTTCGGCGCCTACAATGAGTTTTTTATTAATACTTTTAATATGGCCCTTGTCGACTTGTTAAATGATGTTGACGAAAGATTAACGCCCGGTTTATGAAACACTGAAACAAGAGATTATCCATCCTTTTGGCAACTCAAATGACATTTGAAAAGTCATTTGACAGCCGATTAGTTAACTTCTACGATGATCAGTGTTTCAGAAACGGCGGTAATGAGAGAAAACTGGTCTATGAAAAATAATAAACAAGAGACGATGTTTAAGCTTAACAGAGCTGCAATAGTCTCCGTTATAACTGCCGAATAACGCGATGTGCTTACCTGCATGTACTGTGGTCGCGCATTCTGTCTTTGTTGCGCTAGGAATGCTTCCTGACTCGCTCTACCGCTCATCATGTTCTAAAGTAAAAAAAAACACGTTTATAAAATAGGAAAAGAGAAGAAGTCTTAAGTCCAATTAAATATTGGCATTATGGTTAAGCAGTATATGATACAATGAATATGATATTACAGTATCTTCTAACAGTACCTGTTGGAATGATTGTTGGCCAGGGAATCCACCCATGGCATTTCCTCCTTGTGGTCCCATTGACGAGGCCTGACTGTTCATTGTTCCCATACCGCCGCCTTGCCCCATCTGACCCATCTGACCAATCGCTTGTCCCATCTGACCCATGCTCTGGCTCATCTGGCTCATACCCTGCGGCATTTGACCACCTTGGCCAACACCCTGACTCATCTGACCGACATTTTGTGGAATGGAGTTTACTTGTTGACCCATTTGGTTTACTTGTTGGCCCATTTGATTCACACTCTGACCCATGCCCTGCAAAAGAATCAAAAAATGTTTACTACATATATAAAAATTTAATAGAGTGACAGATTTTTTTTCATACCCAATAACAAGGTATGACTGAAAGTATTTATACCAAATTTCTGTAATTTCCTTGTTAACTTGTACTTTATGGGATAAAATCTAGTATAATAATTAATAACAGGTGGGTTATCATGATTTAACAATTAACAAAAATCATGGACACAATTTGATCCAGAATTTATATAATATATACTAGAATGGACTACTGTCCGTATATTGTATAATTACAATACATATTATGACTAAATAAGTTTCGGTTTCGACTATAAATACTGTTTCGGACAGTTTATAATATTAATGTACATATAATTTGATAGACTTCCAGATCAGGACGAAAAGATCATTGTCTGTAAAGATTTACATGTATGACTATGAAATGTTCATAGTAGATATGTGAATAAACTATCTCTTACTTGATTCATCATCTGCTGTTGTCCGCCTTGCATCATTTGCTGACCGTAGCCACCGTAGCCCTGCTGCATTCCGCCATATTGCCCGCCAAACATTTGGCCACCCATCCCTGGCATCTGACCGGACCCCATCTGATTGCCACCCATTTGGCCTTGACCCATTTGGCCGCTTCCCATCTGCCCGGCGCCCATTTGTCCTGGTCCCATCTGGACATTGCCTATCTGCCCCATGGGGCCCATGCTCCCCATCGCGCTCATTGGATTCATTTGACTGCAAAAGGTGAATGTTTCCTTTAAAGACATTGTTTAATTGAAAATCAATTCCCGCATCGGTACACAAGTATTTATATGATTTAGAAATAATTGTTTTAGTATGCTTGTCTTTCTACAGTCTAGTAAAGCAAATGTAGTATAGCTAATAAACATGTAATATATAAAATAATAATAATATTATATTATTATAATTATAAATTGATACATTTATAACTCACTTTGGCTGCATTTGATTCATTTGGTTTGGTTGCATTTGGCGCATGCCTTGTCTCGGGAACGGACCGCGTGCATGGGGCGCGCCGGGATATCCGCCGCTCTGTTATTCGAGGTTCAAATTAAAAATCATGGAAAGAATAAACAAAATTAAGAATATTTCAATAGAATAGAATAGTGGCCGAGAGTGATTCTACACATTAGTGGGTGTGTACTTCATGGTATCTGCGTGTGCGTCTGCTTGTGTGAGTTTGTGGACGCATGAACGTGAAGACCCATCAATATCATATTTTAGTTACATTGTGTTTAGAAAAATATTGACGCAAAAAGGTGGGTAAAAATGTATAGTATAAATATATCTGCGTACAAAGGCCGCCGGTATTAACAATGTGTGATTTTGTGTTAGTTGAAAAATTATAATCAAAATTGAGAAATTTATTATGTATAATTTTTTTTCTTAGTTCAAAAATTGGAATGCGCGACTCAGACAGCGAAAGTGTAGTACTTTTACTGAACGCCGGTATATATGGGATTCGAACTCACGACCCCTGCCGCCAGATCCGACATCAGTCGTGCAAGATTTTTACCTGCATTTGAGTCATTTGGTTGAAGGGTACTCGTTGCCGAAGCATGTTGCTCAGTGCCTGTTTGCATTGAGTTTGTTGAGGCTTGTGTAACGCCACGCGGACTTACACCAGCAGCTGTTAAAGACGAAGTAAAAATTTCATACAACAATGCTAGGTATTAATATTAATTTCTATTCATCTATAAATAAATAGTCAGCGACAAAACCATTCAGTACCTTAATCTCCTCCGTTCGCAATAGTTTTCTATATATTTTTATATTTAGTAGCCATTCATGGCATTTTGGTGTCTTTAATAAAAAAAAAATTATATTATTTTAATTAGACAAGGGCCTGTATTTTCCGTTGTACTTGTATCTTAGCTCAAAATAAACGAATACCTGCTGGATTGTAGTAGGTGGGCCCCGGTGGGGGGAACCACTGCTGCTGTGACTGCATGAACTGCGGCTGCTGGGCAGGTGCCGTCGCCATGCCAACCGTGCCGCTGCCGCCGCCCACCACCGCGCCGCCATTCGTCTAATTTTATTATTTTTTTAACAATTTAATGGGTGACGGCTTGCACATGATCAAAATGTTGGGCAACAAATACACAAGCATACAGAACAATACAAATAAATTTAGACAAGTATAATGAATAATAGAGATTAAGATGACAAAATTATTAATATTTAAAATATAAGATATATATATATATATATGCTTCTAAAAATAAGCAGTCCTTTAATCTGAATGCCAGAAGTGTTAAACAAATCAATTACATGTTGCTACTGGTATTATAAAACTGTTTTAATTATCAAGCTCCTCACTTTTAATTATTAGATGAACTATGAGACATATTACACTGTTAAGAGGTAAGAAAATTGTATGTCTGATGAAAATCATCATGTTTTCTACTAGCCTTTAATAGTTGCCTTTTCCCCTTTGAGCATGCAATACTAAAATTCACTAAGCTGACCTTGATAAATAGCCTAATTAAATCTATGTACTTAATATTATATTCACGTATGAGGAAGTAATTTATGTGTCAATAAGGTTAAACTCACTGGTGTTGTAACTTTTGCTTTCTTGGCTTTGTTGTTCTTGCAGGGCATCTTGCGTCCTTTACCAGCACCCGTCGGGCTGGAGTCCAGGCTGCCATTATCCTGGATAAAGAAATATGAACAGGTAAATAATTTAAAAAAAATCTAAACAAATAAAACCAACTTTTAGTGATAGGGTACAGATCATGACCAGAAATAATATTTAGCTCCAAGGTATTTTGAAAGGTTTAAACTTATCCGACCATGCAGGCACACAGAGAATATAACGAGTTATTAAAAGCATAGTAAGTTCAAAGAAGACTGAAGTACCTGTTTATTATCATTAGTCTCCAGATCTTCCGGTGGTATTGGCAGAGATTCCAAATAGTATGTCTGTGGCTTCACTAAACTGTGCGTGTGGAATTTTAATAGCCTGCAAATGAAGCAAAAATTAGTTATTAAGTGAATTACGAAAGAACACGTAAAATTCGATAAACAAATGCAAGAATTGACATCGTCTTGATCTATTCGACGAATCCGCAATTTGAAGTTGCTTTGCCAAGGCCACTAACTCCTCGAAAACAAAGTTACCGCTACACGGTTCCTCACAATGTTTCCGGAGCAGGCTTCAAATAAAATTTTTGAGTTAACAAAGTGTAAATACTTCCCATTTATAGGTGTGTGAGTTGCAAGTTATCAAAAGCGGCAGTTACTGATTTGTTTGACATATAAAACGTTTGACGTATGTGTATGTATGTATGGGTATATGTATGTGTATATATAAATATATATATATATATATATATATACATATATTTATATATATATTTACCTATTATTATAGTATTTATTTAAATATTGATGTATTTATTGTTGTAAGTGTTTAATAATTGTTATCATAATGTATGTATACATATTATATAATCCTTATATAGCTAGCACCTTCTCTCTCACTAACTTTCCTGTTGGCTGGTAGAAAATGCCTTATGGCATTAAGCCCGCCGTTTGTACCAGTTAGTACAAAAAAGTGTGCAAATAAATAAATAAAAGCAATATAGCACATTATAAAGGTAAGTCGATAATGCTGAATGTCGATGCTTGTAGACTCTACTTGGTAGCGGAGTTGCTAGGTCATTGGTTTCGGCGACGGGACTAGTGTGTTCGATTGCCATCGGCTCACGTGACAACTATGCGTGTGATTCGCGGATATTTGTTCCGGATCACGGTGCGTTTGCAAGGTTTGACGTCATTCAGACGGCCGATCGTAAAACGGGCCTGGCACAAAATCTTGGCAAAAACTGACATGTTGTGCCGTGCCTTGTGACGGAATGAGAGCAGGGGAAGGAACTTTATTTCTCACCACATCGGTTTGAGGAAGAAAGAAGTAGAATGTGCATACCTATGAGCGTTTTCGTACGTGAGCGGCTTCCTCTCGATCTTGGTGGCGGCGAACCAGGCCCAGGAGAGGGGCGCGGGATTGCGCCCCCCCTCCACTAGCTCCCAGCTTGACACCCGTTGCTTGTCCGTCAGCCGGAGACCCTGAAAGACAAATTAGGGTGTGGGTTCGATCCCATCTACTGGAAAAATATTGCGTGATGATCATAGTATTTTTCCAGCATCTGGGTGTTTTTATGTCTATATATAATAATACATACAGTATTTACAAAATAAAATTATGTTAAAGTATGTTTATCAGTTTTCTAGTGGGTAAGCGTTGTTAAGTTTGGGACTAGCGAACATTTTTACAAAACTGTTTTTACAGTGTCCGATAATATTAATATTATCAAAGAATTATTATTTACACAATACTTATGATTTATTCTCAGCTATATCCGAACGATGCTATCATTCAGATATAATATCGGACTTTATCTGTCTCCTATTTGGTTTAGATTATAAATATAACATTAAAAGTCATTGATTGATGTATATAGTATACGTTTTTTCAATTCTCACTGTTTACAATAATATTACCATACTGAGCAAGTAATGTTAATTTGATAAAATAACAAACATTTGCAGTAAATTGTTTTTTAGTATATAACCTACCAATATACTATGAAAATATGATTCAATTTAAAAATTCTCAATTGATTAAAAAATAGGAAAAACTAATTACATGTTTCTTGTCACTATCGAATCCGGAGATTTTGTTTCCTTTCTGGTCCACCAAGCAGCCCAACGGTTCGCATGCGATTACCTGTAGAGAGGTGTAAAGTAGTTTACAATATTCAACACTTAATTAGTAGGTAAATTTCACACAGGTCTCTTTAGAAAAATATCAGGTTAAGCTATTTATGTCGTATAGTATAGAAACCTTGATTATAAAACGAATTTTTCTGAATGGAACCATGTACGTGATTTTTTTTATAATAATAGTTAATCGATTAAACAAAAGAAGAAACAAAAGAAAAAATTAAAACTGTAAATTTTATCTCTTCCTAGAGAAGAAACAATAATTTTTTAATGTTTTGGACGCTATGTCAAATGTATTAGAAATTTTATAGTATTTTTAAAGTAGTTCTAAAAATAAGTGTTACCTTTTGCATTTAATGTGTATTATTTACATACATTGTTCAAGCTTTTGTTTCAAATCATTTAAGGGTTAGACTTATAAAAGGGATAGAGTTATAAAATTCTGAAACAGAGCTTATAAATTCCCAAAAGGAGATGGGCATGACTCAAATCAAAAACCTTTATTCGACTTCATAGATAGATTTTTTATATCCGATCGATTTTTGTAATTAATTCTAAAATCGCCTTTAGTACAGCAGTTTATGAAGGCGGCACCCTAAATCGAGACGATGGTTTAGGCAGTAGGGGGCGCCTATAGCACTGCTATGTATTCTGTACATTGCATTATTATAATACAAGAATGAAATTCAAGTCATGAGCATCCTTTTCAAACTAAGACCCTATCCATGATACTAGTTACATTACGGCGGCGCTCCTTTTGCTTTCTGCTGTTATATATAATACAAAATATAACGGCAGCGCTCCTTTTGCCTTGTAATATGCTGTACCTCGATGATGGTGTTCTTGGACAATGGCAGCAGCTGCCGCACGCTCTGCACCGAGGGCCCGTGCCTATCCCCGATCTCCTTCTTCAGCTTCTTCATGAGGTTCTGGTAGTGCTTGCGGTTGTTGTCGTCGCCGCCCTCGGCGAGCGTCGAGTGTATTAGAGTGGCAAGCATGTCGATCAATGTCGTGAACAGGTTGCTGCGACACAGACTGTGTTAATATTTATTGTAGGTTGACTGCCCTCTGGCCAAACTGCGCAGCGAGTTTGTATGCGGCGAACGGTTGCCGCGTCACGCATTACGGTGGCGTTTTGTTTTATGTTTACCGACAATGGTTCAACTCGCTGCGCAGTTCCCGATCGAAGCGCGCGCGTGAAGCGCAACATGGTAATGGCAGTGTTGTTAGTGCGAAATAGAGTGAGAAAAATCATGAAGGAGGATGATTCCAAGAGACAACAAGGTAAAATAGCAAAGGCGAAGATTAGCTGTAATTATTTTTGATAGACATACTCATTGTGACGTTGCAAGCATGAAAAATAGAAAACCTTCCAAACGGCAGTAGTGCACTGTTGCTCGTTACTCGTCATGGATCAATAAACCACCCCCTCCCCGTCACCTTCATGTATGGAGCAATGACCCCCACCCCCATACTACCCGTGCATCCCAAGGTGAAGTAGAACACTTTCGTTCGTTACCCTTCACGGACAAAGAGCCCCTAGCCTCGCCCCCAGTAGTACACTTTCGCCCATTGACCCCGCGTCACTTAACCCCCCCCCCCCTTTCCCTTCCCCCCCACCACGAGTGCATCCCGAGCGGTGGCAGCCGAGTTACCTATTGTTGTACGCGTCGACGACCTGGTGCGCGACCAGCTGGGTCAGCAGCACCGCCCAGTCGGAGGTGAGCTGGTACGAGCGGCGGATCGCGTCGAACATGCCGCCGGCGAGCGAGAAGCGCAACAGCAGCGCCTCGGGCGGCGGCTCGTCCTGCCACGCGTCGCCGCACGCGGAGCGCTCGTGGTCGCGCGCGTGCCCCAGGTAGTGCTGCAGCTGCGCGTGGATCGAGCTCAGCAGGCTCTCCTGGAAGGGGTGGAAAGGGGTAAAAGTAAAAGTAAAGTAACAGCCTGTACATGTCCAACTGCTGGGCAAAAGCCTCCTCTATACAGAGGGTATCAGGGCATAGTCCGCCACGCGGCCCCACTGCGGATTGGCGGACTTCACGTATCTTCGAAATACATTTTTTTTGTTATTATTTCGAAAATATGCAGGTTTCCTCACGATGTTTTCCTTCACCGCGGAGCACGTGATAGTTCAGCGCTTAAAGGTAAAAACTTTATTGGTGCCGGCACCGGGGATCGAAGTCGGGTTGCTCGAGTATATATTGAATTAAAGGCGAGCGACCGGACACTGAGCTATCACGGCTCTGGAAAGGGGTATTGCTCCGTTATGCGTCGCGATAGCTCGGCTTCCGGGCATTTCGTAACCAGGTGGTGCTGCAGCTGGGCGTGGATCGAGCTCAGCAGGCTCTTCTGGAAGGGACTGTTATCATATGCTCGGCGGTGAAGGAAAACATCGTGAGGAGACCTGCATGTTTTCGAAATAATGACGAAATAAAAAATTCGTGTAAAATTCCGTGATCCGCAGTGGGGTCGAGTTAGGGACTATGCCCTAATAAACCCTGTACAGAGGAGGCCTTAACCCAGCAGAGGAACATGTATTTTAGGCTTTTAGTTTACTACTTTATACAATTATTTGAGTTGTGTTTGTATTTTGTGTTGAAGGGGGTAGTGAGTCCAGTCCCCAACGACTTCTGCGACCTAGAAGATCTATTGTTTCTTTTATGGTATGACGTTATGCTGTTTTTGTAAGGACGTTTTACATACATAAATTTTACGTGAACAAACAAACACCCACATCCGAAACAGTTATCTGTGAGTAACAGAAATAGTTGTCCCGCGTGGGAATCGAAACCACGAGCCCCGGCGCCGAATCCAATACCTTGGCAACTGCGCCACGGAGTCATTAAAGTTTGTTGTACAACTAGTTGGTACCGCGACGTTCGTTCGCATTTTTTATTGTTTTGACAACTACACCATTTGCCCCACTTTTCCAAAAATACACATTATTGAACACGTAGTGGTTATAAAACTCGATGTTTCTTAAAACTTTAATGACTTTACATTAAAGGTGTCAATATAACTTTTCAAGTGAAAAATAATGCTAATATCACGCGTTTTCTAATTGAGGGTAATGACATTAAAATTTTGGAATTGTTTGGTTTTCTAATTTCATGCATTTAAAAATTAACATGCAAAAAATTTTTTTTGGATGAATTTAATTACTCACAATAATTGTTATTTGCTTTAAATTGTCATGAATAAAACAGTTTTTTTTTTCAATTTAACCTTTTGGTCATCCTGATTACGTAGGCAGGTGAGCACCAACGAGAGCAGGGGCTCGTTGGCGAGACGCACGCTGGTGGCGCCGCCGCACGCGCAGGCTCCACCCCCCCCCCCCCTCTTGCCGCCCCCACCACCGCCCGCCGAACTGCATAGCACTGAGTATCTGAGTGTCTCTCTCTTAAGGAATGTCTCATAGTAATATATATCATAATTTATAAAATATATAATAGCGGACCGGGCAGACGTTGTCCTGTACACACGACTTACATTTGACAACTGAGAAATAAGAAAAAAAATATAGTGGACCAAATTGCGAATCTAAACCATTCTCGAATCGACCTGAAGACACACAAAAAATTTCATTAAAATCGGTCGGGGATTCTTTCTTAAATAAATACATATTATAGATTCACTAGACACACTAGAAAGACACTATGTTCATTACACAATATTTTCCCAGTAGTGGGAGTCGAACCCACTCCCTGTAGCAGGTTCACTATCTACTACGCCACGTACCCTTTGTAGCTGGGACTCTGGTGGCTCTTGCAGTCCCTATGCGATCCGCCTCCGCCTCCGCCGCCGCTCGAGCAGTTCCCGCTGCAAGCCGCGCCCCACCCGCTCTCCAGGATCTAAGCACACACAGCAATCCCAAAAAATTATTGTGACGTCATTTTTTGTGTATTCTCAACACACACGTTTTTATTTGAATACCAGCTGACCCGACAAACGATAATTTGCTATATGAATTTCTAGGGTAGAAAAATAACTAAATTATTGTAAGTTCAGAAAAATAAAAACCTATTTAACAAACTCGAATATATGTAAAAATATTTAGTCACAAACATTATTTTATATAGACTGTGTTCTATGTATTACCACTGTTCGGCAAAGGCTCCGTCTATACATATTCCACCACATGGCCCACTGCGGATTGGCAGACTTCATATATCTTGGAAATATTTTGAAAATATACAGGATGTTGTCCTTCACCGCTGAGCATGCGAGAAGTCAGATTACAACTCGGGCTTCTCGATCGAGCTGATTATAATGAATTAAAAGCGAAAAGCGAGTGAAATGATCTAGATTATTAACCATCCTATCTGTTTTATTTCTTTTTTTTTTTAAAACATTGCCCGTACTTTAGGATAACATTATCCTGTGTTATAAGGAAGTTTTACAAACATAAATTTCACGTGGACAAACACCCAGATACGAAACAACTATCTGTGGGTCACACAAATAGTTGTACCGTGTGGGAATCGAACCCACGACCTCCGACGCCGAAGACAATAACTACGGCGCCAGGGAATCATCTGTTATGGTATACTGTCAAGGTTTTGGTCACCTGGCCGGCCTGTTTGAGCACCCGCCCCTGGACGGCGGGGGGCAGCTTGGCGACCAGCGGCGCCACCAGCCACACCGACTCCGACCACTTGCTCGTGCTCACCACGCCCCTATCGGTGCCCGTCCTATAAACAACTCTCTCGTCAATTGTACGCTAAGCACATACATTCAAGTTCTATTTTTAGAGTTACCGTACCCAAAGGGTAAAACGTTAATGTTTCGCCTTCTTGTCACCAAGCTGTAACTTATGAACCATGATAGTTAGACGGTTGAAATTTTCATGAGGTAGGTGCACGGATATAAGGTGTAGAATGATAAAATATTTTTCATAAACTAAATAAACGGACAACTTGATCATTGTTTTTTAATGTGTTATATAAATGGTTTATATAACACATTAAAAAACAATGATCAAGTTGTGGTAGAGTATAAACTTGTTGCTTATGTACCGGGATGAGCAGGGATTTCAGCATCCTACATTGATTTGTAACTAGCATTATTTCATTTCTCCACGTGCATATGTTTACGCGTACATTCATGGTAGCTTAATGTAAACTATATTTCAACTTTTCAATGTTCGTTAGGATATTGGGAGCGTGATGTATTTTTCAGTGATGTTTTTTATGTAGTACGCAAGAAGTTAATCATCATTTCGCTGGACATTACCTGAAAAGTTGTCTATTTGGCAATCACTAATTACTCGTTATAAATCAAAGGCGCTAGAAAGCGCCTCCGTTATTCTTTCTAGTGATTTCTCAGGACACAGTTTGAAAGTAGCAACAGTCTGCCTGTTGGTGCTAAAGTCTAGTTAACTTTGTATTCCATTTCCACCATTCGTTGGTGTACATTTGCGAACAATGATTTTACATATTGTATTTTCCGTGAAAGGGGTTGGGCAGTAAATCCCAACGACAGCATTAACTAGACTTCAGTACTTGACAGTACACGCGTAGCACTTGCAGTACCAACTTCGGGCGTAACAAAACTTCTCGCATTATTTGTTATTGCTTGACCAATCCACGCGACTTTTGCGCTTGACTGTACCCACGCAGTGCTCACTTCGGCAATGCAGCCAACGAATTAGCGTTCCGTCCCCGCCAGTACCTGTCCTTGTCGGGCGGCGGCGGCGCCGGCTGCTGGAACACGTTGATGACGGCGCGCGCCACCGTGTCCAGCCACGCGCTCAGTTCCGACGAGCCGCTGGGGAACTGCTTGAACATCAGCTGCAGGTCCAGCCAGGACATTCGCAACGACCACTGCTCCAGGTTCTGAACACGAATTAGAACACTTAACATATGATTGATTCAACGGTGGCAGGGCTACGCAACAGTGTTCGCTGTTGCACGAATGGGCAGGTCCGTCCGGGCTAGTATCACGACCTCACAGAAGATCGGCGTGAAGTGGAAGTGTTATACTTCTGCGTTTCGTGTGTTGAGTGAGTTAGCCGGGGCCCACTTTATTGAAAGGTGGCAACGCATCTGCAACCCTTTGGGTGATGCAAATGTCCATGGGTAGGCGGTTATCACTTAAAAACAGGTGAACCGCCAGCTCGTTTGCCACTTTCTCACATAAAAAATGATAATAAATAAAAAAATGCGCTTTTATATACATAAATATTTTATAAGGTTTTTTTACTAATTGTAACCTTGTGTTATCAATGTCTTAGTTTTTTTTCTAAACCAACAATCAATTAAAATAAAAAACTTGGTAAATAAAATGCTCATAGATGTTAAACATAAATGCATATATTTAGTTGTATTAGTTTAATTATATTAGTGTTTTATAAATGCGTTCTTGACACCGGCTAATTATACAGACTGATTAACATTTGAATAACAGTGCCAGCAAACAATGGTGTTATAATTATTTAATGTTAAGTGTGTTGCAATAATCCTTATTACAGCATTTGTACCATGAGCAGATAATGTTGTTGAGAAATATTATATACGTATATCTTTTTATTGTCAACAAATTGTAAAGGGCCCAGCTGAACCTGAATGAAAACCAATTTAAAAGATTCCCATCAAAATTTGTCTCTACCACTTACAAAGAAAAATAACCCGTCAAATTTTCTTACAGATATTGGTTTTTTATATTTTTTTTAAATTAAATTATTTCTCTCTATAATATTAAATAATTAGGATCATATTTACCTCTAACAAACGAGTAATCATGGTCTTCTGGTCGAGATCAGGATGTGTGTGACTCGCTGAATCAGGATAACAAATCATGTGTAACAATCTGGAAGTATGTTATTGATTGATTGACTGATCTTGTAAAGTTTAAATTGAAAAAAAAACTTATTATCAATCATTATTAGAAATAGTGTGAAAATATAAATAACAGAGCTTCACTTGATAAAAGTAAGTTAACCATAATATATTTGACACATGTAATAATATGTAACTTCACATTTACAATGGTTAATTTTTTTTATGTTAAGTGGTTATGTGTGATGAAATCGGTGGCGCAGTTTTTAAACATTGGCTTCGGCGTCCGGGTTTGTGGGATCGATTCCCTTAGGAGACAAGTATTTCTGTGACCCACAGATAATTGTTCAAGATGTTGTTTATGTATCTTATATTCATTAATTGTCAATGAACAGCTAAGTATATTTCAATTAGTATAACAAACATATAATAGGATAATTGTATTTCTATACTAATTGCAGTATAGTCGAGAGGAATGGTATCTATCGAAATCGAATTAAAGAATAGGAGTGTATCACCTCTGCGCCTGTCTCGGCGTGAGCATTGAGTCAAGCAACATGTCGGGCTGATAGAGCTCGTCCTGGTTCTGCAAGCACTTCTGCAGCACCCACTCCTCGGAGCAGATCTCTGCCAACACTCTCCTGGCTAGCGAGGAGAGCGATTGCGACGAGTCTAGTAAGGTTGAGCCGACGCCGCCGCTGCCTCTGCGATAACAAGGCCTTAATCTGTATTAGAGGAGCTGGTTGGTGCTGGTACATGGTTAAACAGTATTGATGTTACAAAACTTTTTTTTTTTTATTTAATAAATAAAACATTTTCGGAATAATGATTTTGGACTGTTTTATTTTAACTGTACAATATTTTAAACATATGTTTTTGTCGTTCAATAGAGCCGAAGAAGTGAAAAATATATATAATACAAGCTTAATGTTTTAATTGTTTTATAAATTACCGACTACACACACCGGCTAGACATTAACCCAAGATTAGAAAGATTAAAGAACAAACAAAAAAAGATAAAAGACATCGAAAGACAACACGAACAGGCGACACCCGGTGAACGTAAATTTTTTGTTACAGTGTATAAAGTGGCTGAGAGGGATATGTACAATGTTTTGTTAATAGTAAAAGTAAATAATCCCCACACGAGAGAGCAGTGAGTGAACATTCCAACCGATGCAATGGAGACGAGTGACAACAGTACATCAATGTGACCAGTTAGGAATTTACGTTCAGTGTGTCACGGTGCGAACCAACGAAGGGGGAGGGGAAGCGACTACACACAGATTTCCCATCGTCAAAACGTCGAATGATTGGAGATGAGAACCGGAACAGTGATGGGGCGCGGGTGGAAGCGAAGCGGGTGAGTTTTGCGACAACAGGACAGGTTTCCCGCCTTCTGTATGCGAGTGACGTTATGTCTTGCGGGGACTGGGATGTGCAACATTACAACTCAATATTAAAATAAAAACAAACCTAGGCGTTCTATGGCCCCCACTCATCTCTGAATCTACCATCCTATGAATAAAGAAAAAAATGTCTCGCGTCAATATAGTTCAATAGAGTTCAAGGTCCCAATAGTTCGTTGTATTTTGAACGAAGCTCTTTCGAAAATAGTCTTAATCACACATTAATATTTACTACAATAATTACGTCACAAAGGAATATTTATCTTGATTATTATAATAGCACAATACGCTATCAAAACCTATTATATTTTTTTAAAACAAAACCACGTCGTAAGGGACACGATTTCTTAGTGTTTTATTGAGATAATTGGCCATAAAAATAAATCTAGTACTCATCTACACGAATTATGAAATTCCGCCAGTCAACCAGAATGGAATGTAGCTATCACAAATTGCCACTTTTTGATCCGTACACATTACTTAAAACATCTTTCACTTCCGTACATCGACGCACGCACGCATAACAAACCATTGACAATTATATCGATGATCTAATATTGAAACATAGATAAATAAAAGCGTGATTTATGTATACACTTACGACATAAGGTCCAATTGGGCGTCAGTTGGAACGGTGTCGCTTGTACCTAAGATGTGTGAAAGCTCGCTCGACTTTTTACCGCTCGGTTTGCCTCCGTCTCGGGCCGTCGAGTCCCCGACCACTGCAGCGAAATATTATTTAAGAAAGCTTAAAGAATATTAATAAATAAGAAAAATAACAGATAATTTCCAGAACTCCGATAAGAGTGTCTATTATTCAAGATACTTCCATCTTCAAGAACAAAATTAAAGTAATGGTTGACATTATTAGTTGTGCTAATTTATTGAAAGCACTTAATTGGATAAAGTTTTATAGGGACTCCAGACGTGTTGCCCAAGGGCAGATTTTTCAAAGTCGAAGTCAAAATTTCTTTATTCAATATAGCCTTGTTTAAAGATCTAATTGCACGTCAGAAACTACCACCGGTTCACTAATCTAGACCTGCAAGAGAAGAACCGGCAAGAAACTGCGGTCATATTTTTTTTTTGGGCTAAGTTATCAAGGGCGATGAAGTTACTTTACTTTTGAATTTACTAATATTTGTGATTTCAGTCCGTAGACTGTTAAAGTTTCATCGAACGCCCACGTAGGGATAGGGCCACAAATGTGCTCATGCGTGCGTTATCTCAAACGGGAGATATGTCACCTAAGGGCCATCGAGGCTTGGTACGAACCGTGACTGTTTTAATCATACCGTTTCCTCTTCCTCGACTGTGTCGATGAGGAAGATGCACGGGTGGCGTTTGTAAATAGTTGCGTTTATGACGGGTTGGTAATTAGCTCCGTTTACAAACAGAGGATTGGAAGCGCCAGATGATTGGATTGGGGCGAGTAATGGCTTACTGAGTAAGGACAGTTACTGTGATAAGGCCACGTGACAGCGTCGGCCGTTGCACGAATGGGCAGGTCCGTCCTGGTAAGTACCGCGACCTCCTGCGTTTCGTCTGATGAGTGAGGAAGCCGGAGCCCACTTTTATTAATATTCATTGTAGGAGGCGGTTATCACTTAACATCAGATGAACCGCCAGATCGCTTGCTACCTTCTCATCTATACAGATAAATAAAATTGGAGTGTCTGTTTGTAAGATCCAAATAACCGCTGTTTACTAAATGGATATGGATGTATACACGGTACATATACCAAAATAACATTTTTTTAAATTTTTGTCTGTCTGTCTGTTTGTTCCGGCTGATATCTGAAACGACTGGATCGACTTTGACGGGAATTACACTGGCAGATAGCTGATGTAATAAGGAGTAACTAAGGCTAATTTTAGTTTAGATTTTTTTTTATTTTAATTTCCACGCGGGTGAAGTCGCGGGCACAGCTAGTATAGAAATAAAAGCTTACTGAGTATGGCCTTGAGCGTGGCAAGGACGGGACCGACGCCGATGTTCTTGTGCGCGGCGGCCAGTAGATGGCGGTCGCAGGAAAGTCGCACGCCCGCCGCGCCCCCGCCGGGCCCCGGCGAAGTGGACACGCTGTACAGACCTGCACGCCCAAAAGTTTTGTGACCACGCGGCGCAGTTGCCAAGGCACTGGCTTCAGCGCCGCGGGTCGTGGGTCGATTCCCGCTCGGGAGACATTCTTGTAACACAGTATGTTATCCTAAAGTATGGGCACTGTTTTTTTAAAGCGACACCATTAGACTCTCTTATTTGTCTATGTCGGATGATTTGGTTTTCAGCCTTGGCTTGGTATAAGGCCGCAGTCCATACGGACGTAGTACTATGTAGAGAAGCGCTATAGAAATCAGCGGGTCACCGGGCTCTCACTAGAACCGGGCGCATTGGTTTACGTACAGCAAAGGAATGGATAATTCGAAGTCGAATTCGAGAGTCTTTAGGGCGAAACGTAATGTTTCAAGTAGAGTGCGTCGCCTTTTACTAGACTAATTCTTTTCGACCACAATTTAAGCTGTTATGGCTGAACTAGTAGAACCAGACCAGAGATAGACAAATTTATCTACATCTTACCGAAATTCTTTAGCATTGTCGTTACACGTCGGTAACTAATAAGGAAAAGCAATTTCAGCACGCAATAAAACCGACCCGAAGTTTGACTTCATATAGCCCTTCCGTCGTTGCAACCACCATTCCATCACTAATTACTGTTGAAATGAATCTTCTAATGTGACTTCAAACGATAGAAAGGAAAAATTTTGTAAGAAGCTTCAGTTCTATCTCGATTTTTTGTAAAAAGTTGGCAAGCGAGCATGTGGACCGCCGACCCTATAGACGTCTACTATCTGACCGGTCGCAGAGGGGATGCCAACCAAAAAAGTGGGCCCCGGTTAACTCACTCCCCGGATGAGCCTTATTTTTTGAGCGTGTATGAGAGTCCCTATCAGAAACGGGTACCCAGAAAAAAAAAAGGTCGCACCTTTCTCGTACGCCGGGGACAAGGGAACACGAAGATTCAATCATCCCCGGACGAGCCCGCTCATCTATGTAATAGCACCCGCTGCTTGGCTTTATCATCATCATCATTAGCCTTAAGACGTCCACAGTTGACCTTAGGCCTCTCCATTAGAACTAGGCTTGGGCATTGGCGGTAATTTTTGACATTGATGCACATCGTTGTTTCCAAGACAACATCCGATGGCAACCTCTTTGTTTTCGACAACGATGTTGACACGACCAAGGCGACAAAATCGGTTATCAACGAACAACGATCGGCAATAATCGGTAATGTTCGTTACCAATTGGGATGTCGATATCGGTGACATCCGATGTTAGACATCCCACCAACACATCGCAAACTGACATGAGATATCAACATCGTTGTTAAAAAAACGGCCATCTCTAATTAGAACACCCTTACGACGCGGTAAGGGAAGGAGAACCGCAAGACATGTGGCTTCCACCGCGTGAAAATGCGACGTTCGCGCGATCGGTTACCTGGTTGCGGGGTGTCGACGGTTTTGAACAGCCTGAGCAGCAGGTGGCAGGTCAGTCTGGCGCCTGTGTCGGGCGAGGGCGCGTTGGCCGGGTTGTTGGAGGCGCCGCCGCCGCCGCACGCCTTCACCAGCGACGGCAGCGCCGCGTGCCGCACGAAGTCCTCCAGCGAGAAGCAGTGGCGCGCTGTCATATCAAACAAACAGCTGGTAATAATAATTTCTTGTATTTACGCGATTACACATTATAAATGAAACTAATTTTACGGATTTATCGCGTTTATTTTTAATTTTAGTTCCCGACGTTTCGAACCCTTTACAGCGTTCATGGTCACGGGACAGACAGACGGGAAATAAACGCGATAAATCCGTAAAATTAGTTTCATTTATAGCTGGTAATAATAATAATAATAAAGACGAAATAATCAAAGACGAACAACTATCGGAAATACATCCTAAGGGATGGCACCGTCGACATCTGTCGAGCTTGTCGCCATCCCGGGGATTCGCTTCGGCATGTTATCTCCGGTTGTTCCATGCTTTCTAACTCTGAGTATCTGTATAGACACAACCTAGTAGCCAAAATCCTACACCAGGAGCTCGCTCTGAAATACGGCCTCGCGGGTCGGCAACTGCCGTACTATAAGTACTATCCGGAAGCCGTGCTCGAAAATGACCGCGGCAGGCTCTATTGGGATCGGTCCATCATCACGGGTAGGAAGATTGTCGCGAACAAACCTGATATCGTGGTGATTGACCGAGCGCAGTCGAGGGTATTTTTGGTCGACATTACCATTCCATATGATGAGAACCTCGTGAAAGCCGAAACAGATAAGAAGACAAAGTATCTGGACATGGCACCCGAGGTGACAGACATGTGGGGTGGTGTGTTGACTGAAATTATCCCGATAGTCGTGTCTGCGAATAAAGTTGATCCCAGTCACCCTCTCCGAACATCTGAGGCAACTGGGACTACGGGACGGAATGCTCCAAGCTCAAATGCAGAAGGCGGTGCTCCTTGATACCACTCGCATCGTCCGCCGGTTTCTCTCCTTTTAGCCCTAACCCTCGGCCGTTTCGTCCCTGCCAAGGGCTTCCGTCTGGTTGGGTCCCATTTATGTATGTATTATAAAGTAAGGAGGAGGAGGGTTTTTATTTGATAAATCATGTATTTCGGATATTAAAAAAATAAAAAATAAAGGAAGCAATGATTCAGATCATTTTTAGAAATAAAAGCGTCATCGTTTGTGGTTACTGTTTTTTTTTCTAATTGAATTCACCTCTGGCCTCTATTCATTTATACAACAAAGAAACAATGCAAGTTTGAAACAAATATATTGTGTAATTCCAAACGAGGTCCCGATTACGGTACCACGCTGCTGTACCCAAGTGGTGCAATGATGATTTACAAATGGTAGAGTTCACGGACGTGTATAGAATAAAACAAGATAACAATGCAAAGTGACACTCGGTACAGATTTGAGGGTAGAATAACATATCACGGTGGTAGAGCCACGTAGCAGCCTGGAGATGAGGACGGCCAGGTACCACGACCTCACAGAAGACCGACGTAAATTGGAAGTATAATACTTTCGCGTTTCGTCTGGTGAGTGAGGTGACCGGAGCCCAATTTTCAAGAGGTCAACGCATCTGGAGCCCGCGGGTGTAGCCGATGTCCATGGGCGTCGGTATTCACTTAACACTAGGTGAACCATCGGCTCGCTTGGCAACTTGATCACATGAAAATAAAAAAAAAACAATTTCGGAACGCGCCCGCACCGACTAGTATGGAGGTGAAGACGGCCAGGGAGTCGTGCGCCGCCGCGTCGTGCAGGTCGTGGTGGTGGAGCAGGTGCGGGTAGAGGGGCCACACGGCGGGCGCGCTCTGCGGCGCGGCGGGGTAGTGCTGCGCGCCGCACAGCGCCACCAGCGCGCCCAGCCACTCGGCCGCCAGGCCGCTGCACCACGCGGTCATCTCGGCGCACAGCACGCCCAGCTCGTTCACCCTGCACCGCGGGCGGCGGCCAAATCGGTACGTCGATATTTGCAAAAATGTAGCGACTACGCAAGTGGACTCGCACGTTCAAACGCGCCCCCGGAATCGTATGATCATTGACGTACGGGTGGCGTGATGTGTGACGTACGGGCTGGACACTGCCCGCTGCTCGTTAATATCGGCCGCGATACATCGAAGAGAAAATACAGGGAGGCAAGTGTATCCCTTTTTTTTTCATTAAATACTTAGACATAAATAATGTTACATAAAAAAATGATAAATATTTAAAATTACTCGTAATTAATTAATTACATTCGTTTGAACTTATGGGCAACTCATTTATTTTACGCGCGATCATTCATAACTAACACGCATACAAGTTCGTTTCAAAGTATACGACGCATTTATGAATGACTTCCGCATTGTCAACAAGTTCTGTTTTTAGTGAATAGAATGGCAATTTTTTTTGAAAAAAAACTTTGTTTTTATTTCAATAAACGATTATACTACCCAGTCTGAACCTGCTGTGTGAATTTGGGCACCTTTAAAAAAGCCACCTTGTATATCGATTTCTTCTGCTCAGGACCGGTTGTCAAAAAAAAAAAAAGGTATATCGAGTTTTAAATATTTGACATCTACGGACTGTGTTCCGGATTCGAGTTTGAAAAAATGAGACGTATATCACTTAACCGCCAGCTCGCTTGCCACCTTCTCACATAATAAAAGTATCGGGTATGTTCTGCTAATGATGACAAATTAATAATGCAATATCTATTTGTCACCCGGTCGATCTCAGTTCCAATTTTAAAATAATATGAGTCCATGTTGAGAAATACTTTGTGTAGACAGAAACTATTACAATACACTAAAATTTATTTGTATATTGCAATAATTCTATTATCCTGCTCAATCAAATATTTTTTATCGTTACAAGTTCAAGTTTTTCTTTGATGTTTACCTATCATTATCTACTTCACGACAGACGGCCAACATCGCCGAACATACGAAGCTGTATCTGTTAGCCGGAGATTCGGCGACCTGGCGCGCCCACGCGATTTCTATTTTACCTGATAAATAATAAAACAATATATTATTTAAACATTGTGTATAAAAGTAAGCAACTTTTGAATAAATGAGTAGAATTTACCTTTACGTGGATTTGTGAAAAACTCGCTTAGAAATTGGGCGTTGTACGGGTAGTTCGACGGGGTCGGTTGCAATTGAGAATATAATGCTTGCCTGTAACAAAAACAACTCATTTTAATTTCTTAACCTACAAGTATGAATATTACAAATTTTAATTAAATTATTTTAATAATATTACAACGGTTTGTTGCATTATAAACTCTCGACGTTTCGAATATGTTACAATTCTGTCAAGAGTCTGACTTGATCTTGGAATGCGCTAGCCTCGTTAAGGAATACAAACTTGGTTCGAAAAAATAAAGGGGGGGGGGGGGGGGGGGGGGGGGGGTTCTAAAAATCAAGGGTCTGACTTGACTTTGGAAAGCGCTAGCTTCGTTAAGGAAAGCAAACTTTCTCTTTCTGAAAAAGGGGGGCGGGGGGGGGAGTTCTATAGATCAGGGTTCCGACTTGATCTTGGGGTAGGCGTTGGCGAAGGTGTCCGCGTGCGGCGCGTGGCAGAGGTGCGCCGCCGCCTTGTACAGGTCGTGCAGCTGCGCGAGCACGCAGCGCTCCGCCGAGCCGCAGTCGCCGGGGTTCACCACGCACTTGACCAGCCGGCACAGCTGCTCGAACACGGCCGACGTCTGCTCCACGCACACTGCGCACGCAAGCAAAGAGCATCACATCACACAGGTGTGCTCACGCTGCTTCCATCGTGGCATGTGTAATTTTATGTGTAATTTATTAATACGTATTTATATTTTGACTTATTAGTTTCTGTTATCAATTCAGTGTATACCGTTACCCGATACTACTGTTTTATTATCTCCTTTTACTATGTTGCCTGGAAGAAATAGCTTTTTAGCGAAAATAGGCCACCTATTGAACAATTTTGTATTATCTTTTGCTGGTTATTCAATATCCGTTGTTAGTGTACAATAAAGTATATTTCATACCCGGCGTGAGGTCTTGCTGTGGTGAGGCCACGCGACAGTTTTTTTGTGGCACGAATGGGCAGGGTAAGTCTGACCGGGTAAGTACCACGACCTCACAAAAGACCTGGCTGAAGTGGAAGTGTTATACATCTGCGTTTCGTCTGGTGAGTGTGGTAGCCGAGGCCCGCTTTATTTATAAGGTGGCAACGCCTGCATCCGCAAACCTACAGGTGTTGCAAATGTCAATGGGCGGCAGTTATACCTTAACATCAGGTGAACCGCCAGCTCGCTTGCCACCTTCTCACATAAAAAAAATCCCTAGTGTTCTTCTGATGCCTTCATCGTGTCACATGGTCGCACAAATTGCTTGTCGTGTCGGGGTTTGTCAAGGCCTGATAGAAGATCGGCGTTGACACTTTGATGTCTTCACGTGTAACAGGGGCCGGCATTATTTAATTATGTTTAAGTTAACTTGCAAAACCTACAGCATGAATGCATACAAACGTTTCATTTCGTGAATAAATGTTTTTAGTGCCACTTAGCTACTCGACTATGGAGAAATCACGGAGACAACTTCACTTAAGAACATTCAAGTTTTAAATGATAAAATCATTATTGTTTTTTTATATTTACGTATACACTACTTAATGTAAACTGTAGTTTAGTGAACTACTTTTCGATTCATGGGTATGGATAGACACAGACATAGAATTCGAAATAACTTAGGCTTACCTTAAAATTAAGTCAAATGTTTCTATACATTCGAGATATTATATTGAACATTTTAACGAGATAGAACGTTCTCTTACACAAAAGGCAGGAGTGGTATCGACGGAGAGCGCCGACTGTGTACAAAGCCAGGGCGGATGTGTAGGCCCTGGGAGCCGCGAGGCCGCTGCTAGGGGCGCCTCGAGTTATAAGGGCGCTTTCCACTTCCGACAGCTCTTTTAGTATCTGTAAGAAATTCACGGATGTATCTATCGAAATATAAGAAGTTTTAACACTTAAACGGTAGACAGTAGTTTTCTATTACTGTATGCCGCTTGTGTTTGGGCATGACGAAGAACAGAGAAGAGAACTCACGGTGGTAGGGCCACGCAGCAGCCTAGGCTGGTACACGAATGGGCAGGTCCGTCCGGGTAAGTACCACCTCACAGAAGACCGGCGTAAAGTGGAAGCATAATAAATACTTTCGCGTTTCGTCTGGTGAGTGAGGTAGCCGGAGCCCAATCTTAAAAAGGTTGTCAACGCATCTATAACCCTCGGGTGTAGCAGATGTCCATGGGCGGCGGTATTCACTTAACATCAGTAACATAAGGTGAACCGCCTGCTCGCTTGGCAAATTTCACATAAAAAAAAACTGAGAGGAGAGGAAGAAATGGAGGGAGGAAAAAGAGCATTAGTGGCGAGACTCGGAAATGGAAGAAAGAGACTGTTGTGACGGTAGAAAGTAAAAAGCGTGAAGGTATTGGAGAAAGGGTGAAAAAAACAGATGCATATAGAAGCGAGTGCGAAAAAAAGATGAACGTTTAAGTGAAGGTGAAAGTGAGATGGAACGCACAGAGGCAAAGGAACGTATGGAAGTAAAAACTATAAATGGGAAATAAAGAAAGGTTGGTGAAGGGTGAATGAGTAAGACAGGGTTTATTACGGTTCGACACTCTTTGCAGTTAAGGCATGAATTGCGTGGGTGGGAACGGGTTGGGTAATAAATACCACATGCCACTGCGACTTAGAAGATCCATTGTAGAATCTAAGAAATGGAGAGATGAAAGAGTGCATTAGGATCGAGACTGAGTCGTGTCACGGTGGTAATAAGAGGTAAAGGTATAAGTTGAGAAGAAGGGATGGGCATAGAGGCGGGGGTTAAGAGAAGAGATATATTGGTGAGGGTGAGAATTCTTCTCTCACCTTCACCTATATACCTCTTCTCTAAATTTCAGTTTCACCGAGAGGGATAGGTGAAAGGGGGGAGGGTAGGCGAAGGGGGGAAACGAGTAAGGCGGGGTTTGATACGCTTCTACACCATTTGCGTGTAAGGCACCGAGGCGGTCTAAATTTGGGGAGACAGCTAGCCGCACCTGTATGCATGTCTCGATGAGGCCGTGCACGTTGAGCGCGATCTCCATGAGGTCGAGCGCGAAGGCCACGTGCTCCGGCTGCGGCAGGTAGGTGGTGGCGGCGGCCGCGTACGCCGCTAGTGCTTCGCACACGGCGCCGCCCACCGCCCACGAGACGGCGCCCTGCTCGTACATCGACATCGCCTGGAAACGCGGCAGTGTTTCAAATTATACTGTTTGGGGAAAATCATGAGAGTGCATTTTCGCGATTGGCGATTCGCGACACACCGACTTTACGGTATAAACGTGGCAGGCGATAACTTTTGACGTTTACACTAGTTCCATTCACGGCCGGTTTCTGAAACACTGATCATCGTAGATGTCAACTAATCAGCTGTCAAATTTCATTTTAGTTGCCAAAAGGATGGTTAAACTCATTGGATTGATCGTTCTGGTCATTAGAAGATCATTCTGGTCAATTCAGAGAGTTTAACCGTCCTTTTGGCGACTAAAATGACATTTAAAAAGCCATTTGACGGCTGATTAGTTGACATCTACGATGATCAGTGTTTCGGAAACCGGGCGTAAGTTGTTCAATGTCTTTTTTTTTACAAACAAAGAGTATTGGCGTACAGGATAAAATTTATAGTGATTTTTGTTTTGTTACGCTAAAGAAGTATGAATTCTTGGGCGCATACATAAGTACACACACTTCTTTTAAGTTATTACTAACAGGAATATTTCGGCTACAGCCTAAGTTGATAGTGTAGAACTTCTTATATTTACGAGACAAACACATATTCCTAAAAAAACAATTTTTACGATTTGTCGCGTTTTTTTTTAATTTTTTTTCCCGACGTTTCGAACTCTTTACAGCGTTCATGGTAACGAGACTTACTGAGGAATGTCATTGTGAGCTCGGGCTATCACCAGTTTTTATATTATTAATTTTGTGTCCGATCTACGCAGCATGTACTAATTAAAGATTGTCTTTCAGCAGTGGTTCGTTTCAGCCTAGATTTTTTTAAGTGATAATTATTCTTAAATGATTATGTTGCTAATGTATGTTATTGTAAACAACTAATAAAAACAATACATATATGTAAATATTTTTAGCTATATTGAGATGTATGTATAGATAAGTTGCTTTTTTATTACACTTAATCAAATTTTCACCTGAAACTTATGAGTGACAGCCTCAAAATTAAATTCGCTCCGAGAGTGCTTCTTTATTTTCCCCCCTTCCGCTACGTCGATCGAAAACTTCTTAGAGAATAATTTGCAGATTTCTGAAAAATGAAATCATCCATTACTTAACTTTTAATTCATTCGAATGAACACCAAAAGATATCGACTTCAATTCAGCAAGATATCTCAGTGAATATTCCACTATGTGTCCACAATATACTTGTCCAAATAAGAATCTGTATTTCTATAAGTTGATACATATACGTATATAGAAACCTCCGAATGATGATTAGTGCAATCACAACACAAGGAACAACTGGCCGATCGATGCAACATTGGTCGATACAACAACGATTTGTGCCCGCTCCTAAGTAGTGTGTTCCTACATTCTAATCTAATGCAGACTGCCCGCTCCTAAATTTTTTTTACTGTCCATTTATTAAGACGTGATAGCTCAGTGTCCGGGCGCTCGCCTTTCATTTAACATAAATATACTCGAGCAACCCGAGTTTGATGCCCGGTGCTGGCACCAACGAAATTGTTAATTTTAAGTGCCGAATTATCACGTGCACAGCTGCGAAGGAAAACATCGTGAGGAAACCTGCATAATTTCGAAGTAATAATAAAAAAAAAATATTTCGAATATATGTGAAGTCCGCCACTCCGCAGTGGGGCCGCGTGGTGGACTATACCCTGAAACCCTCTGTACAGAGGAGGACTTTGCCCAGCAGTGGGACATGTATAGGCTGATACTTTACTTTTGTTCCATTTATTAGTATAGATAAATTGAGAGGGGGGGGGGGGGAAGGGAGAACCTTTGGTCATCTTCTTGACGGCGTGTTTGGCGTCGTCGCGCTGGCGTCCGACGCCGTAGAGCAGGATGTGGCGCTGGTTGGCGTCGTGCGGTGTGTGGTCCGGCTCGGCGGGCGGCAGGGGGAAGTGCATCGTGTAGTGGTAGTGGCGCGAGGGGGGGGCACCCCCCGCCCCGCCGCCGCCCACGTGCCCCCCCGCCATCCCTCCCCCGCCGGCGCCGCCGCACGCGCTGCCGCTGCGCATCCCTGCCGCGACACTCTCGTAGTAGGGTTGGCAACACAAAACAAATCCCATCCTACCGCACGGTTCTCATTTTCGAATTATATTCACAGATAAGGAAGTGCACTTTGTGTTGATTATAAATAATAAACGATACTTTCAAAATAAATTCATTTGTTTACTGAGGAGGATACTAAAATTATAGGCTGAGCAGAACAGAATGAAAGTGACCGCGTTTCGAAGTTGACTGTATGATTTAGTAACAACATAGAACTTTATAGATAGTCAACTGGCCAGTCAGAAACGCGTTCCGAATTAATGGCATCTTTACTATTTTATTATTGGATACTAATATGAAAAAAAATTCTAAGATATGAATAAAGAATCCATGAAATATCATTGCAATTACCTGGTACGGACATTGGCCCCATGCCCATGCTCTGCATGCTAGCAATGCTCATACCACTCGGTCCCATCATTGGAGAGTTCACACTGGCGACATTTACATAGAATGTAGTCAACTACAACGAAATGTCACATATAAGGAAGAGATATAAATTATAAGCGAAATATTTATCTTCTGCCCAAAATAGTGCAAACCCAAAAATTTAAAGCAAAGTCACGAGAAATTATTTGGGGTTGCGAAGTAACAGTATCGGGGTGGTAGAGAAATGTTTTTGAATATAACGGTGAAACTACGAAATTTATGTCTTTCATTCTTAAATAAAATTGAACTCATAAATACCCGTGAGATGGTTCCCCAGGATCCTTAGGACTATCGGGCGCATCCATAGAGTTCTGCTGGTCTTCTTTTATATGTTGCAGCAATTTATCGAGGTCGTCGTCAATTTTAGAGTCATCTAAATCCATGCGCACGTTTTCCTTAAAAAAGAGAACATAAAAATTGTATCCAATTACGAATTAAAAAAAATATTATATGTAAGAGTTTCCTTTTTCCATGCACAAACAGACATAACGAACGAAAGTTTCATCGCTTTCACTATCTAGGTAAATAAATATTTTTTTTCCATTAGCGTCCAGGTATTTTCCACCTAACAAAAAATTTGTTCGGCAACAAGGAGAATTCGGCGGTCGTTTCGAGAAAAAAAATTATTTCTAACCTCGCATTATTAAAAAAAAAATAGTCTTTAAAAATACTAAACACTACAACACAATCGAACGCATTTTCAAGATGTTTTTCGGTCGCTACGCGTGGAATACGTTGAATCGTCGCATCGCTGCTATAAATAAGATCCGATGCAATTCCTCGACCGACCTCCATCTTCGGTTTGAGATCGATCCCGGCGAATATGTCGTCGTCCATGTTGTGGTTGGTGCCGGAGCTGTTGGCCGGCGGGGCGACGGTGTGGCCGCTGCTGGACGCGGGCTCCGTCGGCGATATCAGGTCGCCTGGAAACGTTTGAACGGAGTTAAGAACAGCCCGCTGATCTACAGCGAAGATATTTTAATAATAAAGATATTTTATTTATGTCTTTTCTGTATTTGATATTCCTAAGTAATAATTTTTAATAAAAAAAACCGACTTCGATCCGAAAATTAAAAACATTGTTAATACGTAATTATATTGATTGCCCTCGATTTCTCTGGGTTGCCATCGTCAGATTCGGGTTCATGGTACCACCCTTGGGTCACCGTGACATCTCCTTTCCGACAAAATAGAATCATCAAATTCGGGCCATAAGCGACGAAGTTTTCCGCGAACATACATAAAAAAAAAATATATACGGTCGAATTGAGAAACCTCCTCCTGTTTTGAAGTCGGTTAAAAACTAACTTTAATTCGAATATAATACAACGTCACTCAGATGTACTGTGTTTTTATCGGTAACCCGACAACACGTTTCAGCAACCAATAAGGTAACAGGTTTCAATGGCATTGGCTGTTGAGAACACACTTCCGGCATTATAACTTAGCGCGTATGTGTAAAGGTGAATAGGGTTGAACATTATAACTTAGCGCGTATGTGTAAAGGTGAATAGGGTTGAAATGAAGTAAAACAAGAGTAGGAATACCTCTCGATATCAGCGTGCACATGTAAGCATCGTGCGAGAACACGTCCCTGCGGATGAGCTCGCCGAAGAGGTGCACCAAATTCGCGAACTGCTGCCTGTTTCCCGGTGGTGCGTTCGGGCTCTCGTCTGCAATTGAAAAATATCCTTACTATCCTTACTAACATTATAAACGCGAAATTTTGTATGTATGGATCGATGTTTGTTAGCCTTTCACGCAAAAACTACTGAATAGATTTTAATGAAATTTAACAATAATATAGCTTATACATGAGAATAACACATAGGCTATAATTTATTAAGATGATGTGTGAATTGTCCAAAATATAGGTAACTTTATTTAAGAGCTTTTCGCCCGCGGCTTCGTTCGCGTTGTAGCTCTTAAATAAATATCTTTCCTTAAAATTTTTTTCCATTTTAAAAATAGCCTATGTCCTTTCCCAGGCTACTATTGGTGTACCAAATTTCATTTAAATCAGTTCCATAGTTTTGGCGTGAAAGCGAGACAGACAGAGTTAATTTCGCATTTATAATATTAGAATGGATGATAAGTGTCAACTAAGTAGAAAAAAAATCAGCCATCTGCAAGATATTCTGGTGTGAAATAAAAAAGTCGTTGTTAATTCCCTTTGGCTGCGCCGAAGCCGCGGTTAACATCTAGTATCAATATAAAGTTATCGCAACAGCCTTACTGGCATGAAAATAATTTGACGAATAGTACAGGAAAATCTACCTAATACAGGGGCGTCGTTGTCCAGAAATCTCAGCAAGAGATTTTGGAAAATCGGCGGTCCGTTGTAGAGTCCGGTGCCCGAGCTGATAGACTCTTTGTCATCAGAACCTAAAAATTGTAATCGTTATACATATTATTGTAAAAAAATGATTATAAATATACATGGATATAAAAATTTTGAATAGTATAAATATTAAATGGTTATACCGTGTAATATTGTTCTTTCAGTTATTTGCAATCCTATTTGTGGGCAAAAAAATGACAATGAAAGCGCAAACGTTTTAAATCCTTGATTTTGTAGAAGTCAAAATGTAAATTCTACACTTAAAATTCCGGTCGCTCGTTGGTCCTCGTAACCGGACAAAACACGATGTCTCAGCGAAAAATATTTTTTTTTTACTCTAAGAATAAGGTTGAAATTCATTTACCGATCGCGTGATCAACAACCGCTTTATAAGTCTATGAATAAGGTTGAAATTCATCAGTGGTGCCATAGTAGGGGAAAAAAAACAGCTCTCTTACTCTAAGCTTAAGGTCGAAATTCATTAACCGATCGTATGATCACCAACCTCTCTATTACAATAAGAATAAGGTCGTTATTGATTTACGGTCGCACGATCACCAACCACTCTATTACAATAAGAATAAGGTCGAAATTCCTTTACCGGTCGCGTGGTGGTCGTGGTGGAGGTGCAGCAGCTGCTGGCGACGGTCCAGGAGCGCGGCGGCCGCCATTGCGCGGTGCTCGCCCCAACGCGCCCCGCAAACGGCCCACTCGCACAGCACGCGCACCACCGCGTACGAGCACGCCCACTCCTGCGATAAAACGCACCGAACTATGTGAAATTGTTGAAAAATTTTTATGACTCCGTGGCGTAGGTGCCAAGGCTTCGGCATCGGGGTTCGTGGGTTCGATTCCCACACGGGACAACTATTTGTGTGACCCACAGATAATTGTTTCGCATCTGGGTGTTTGTCCACGTGAAATTTATGTTTGTAAAACATCCTTACAACACAGGATAATGTTATTCTATAGTAAGGGCGATGTCTTAAAAAAATACAAGACATTGACAAATTACAGTATACTTGCAAATGAAAGAAATAAAATACACATAACGAAAAGGAAAATAAATCAATATTGTTCTTCTTTAAAAAAAAGAAACACTTCCCTTACTTTAGGATAACGCTATCCTGTGTTGTAAGGACGTTTTACAAACATAAATTTCACGTGGACAAACGTCTTGTCTTGTTGGACAAAATTAGTGAAGGTGACAGTTGATAGTCTATCACTAGGCGAATTGCGCGAAAGTTATTTCTATCTACGTCACATATTGCCGAATAACTTGTCTAGTAGTGCGAATACTTTATTCAAATGTTACAAGTATATAGAACTTACCGGATCTTTGGTATCAGTAGGTGAGTCTTTGGAAGGAGGTGTACAGTTAGCGAATACTTCTTTGTATAGAGTGTCCAGATTGTTGTTTGGATCGACGCGGTCGAAGCAATGTCGATCTAAAGCCTCGAGAACAGCTAAGACACGTGCTGAGGGCAAACCATTACCATACTGAAGTCTTTACAAGTTATATGTACACTTTAAAAGGTAATTAGATTTATTTACATTCATTTCTTTAACAATTCTCTATTATTGTTATCTTAACTTGATCAATATATTTTGATTGTATATTGTCTTATGCTATGCTTTGGTTACAATAGGAGAATAAAATATATATATATATATATATATATATATATATATATATATATATATGAAATTTCAAATTACTATTTCAAAGTCAATTATTGGAGACACAGGCAGAACTTATTATTTACAAAGAAAAATTTCAAAAATAACATAACATTATTTTATATTAAAACCACATATGCCACATAACTGATGAAAAACGAAGAAATATTGTAAAATTATTACCTTGAGAACTTGTTTGCCATTTATCTGTGCACCATTTGCTTTCGGCTTTCTTACTCCTCGCAGCAATTTCTTGCTCTGCTTCGTAGACCTGGCACAGAAAATTTGAAATGAAGGACAATTTAGAAAGAAGTTAGAACTTACTATATAGATTTTTTTATTTACAAAAAACATACCATTTTTCTATGATGTTCCGTTATAAGCGAATCCATGTGCGGCATGGGCAAAGCCGACGGTGGCAGCGGTAGCAAGTCGAGAGGAGAGCCTTGCATAGAAGAGTTGCAGCCAGACCAAACCATGGCAGTGGGGCACTCAATGCAAATAATCTGCCAAAATTGGTATTGTATTTAAAAGATAACACTTATATCTCAAAGCCACAAGTGGTGGCTGTGGTTAGTAGGTCGTTTAGGTGGAGCATAATTTTAGTCAGTCCTGCTGATGTTTTGATGACTTATGAGTCATAACAGCCCCATCGTGATCCATCTTTTAGTTAAAGTAAGAATATTTTTACGCACACATATAATATTTTAAGTATATATGTATAATGATGGCAACTTACAAATATGTATTCTCTTGAAAATATTGTGTATTGATTTGGTTGTTTAGAGACCATATCACTTGCTTTTGTAGTATGAATATTGTGTCAAATAGCTGCAGTAGTCAAAAATAGTACACCATATGATATCAATGACAATATCCATACTAATATTATAAATGCGAAAGTAACTCAGTCTGTCTTGCTTTCACGCCAAAACTACTGAACCAATTTAAATGAAATTTGGTACACAGATAGTTTAGAGCCTGAGAAAGGACATAGGCTATTTTTAATTGGAAAATTTAAACATTTAAGAGCTTCAACGCCAGCGAAGCCGCGGGCGAAAAGCTAGTAAAGAATAGTGAACTAATTCATATATTTGTAATGCTAAAGAACTCAACTCTCATCATATGTACTAGTATAAGCATGAATAAATTGACAAGTAACATGTAGAAAATTTTGATGTGCATTATTACACTAATTCATTTATGACCATTATAAAATAATTCCCATTTTTTAAATTGATAGATCCAATATAAAAAATAATTGATTGTCTAAAATAGGACTTAGTAATAAAATTTAAACTGATAAACGGATACCCTGGAAAATATGCATTTTCATTGTGTCAACATATTTGCACCTTTAAACAATTTAGAATTTACATTCACCTGTAATATACTGGCTAGCTGAATGATGATATCTCTGTGATAGGCACAGTTCAAAATTTCACCAAACCCAACTTGGACAGGGTTTAGGGCTGCCGTTATCACAGTGTTGAGTGCAGTCTTCGTATCCCTGGGGGGTGATCCGTTCTCTTCCTTTACTTGCACGTCCATCGGCTGCGTGGGATTGGGTGTGCCCATTGGATTGGGTGTCCCGATGGAATGACTCGGGTTCGGTGTGCCCTGGCTCTGATCGGCGGGAGTGGCTGAACGTTTGATCTGATTAATGTTTGGCTTCACGTCGCCGTTGGTGTTCTCCGCCGCCGGTGACATCGGGACGCCATTCGGCTCTGAAAGTGATGCAACGAAACGATTATTGCGACGTTAGGCTATTAAAAAATGTATTGATATTTTATAGTTCTACAATTTAAATCGCTACGATAATTAAGAAAAAATATGAGTACAGCATTCACTGGAGCATAGTGTAATTTAAGGAATAGGCAATATATATGTCATTTTTTTACTAACGAAAAACAAAACCGACTTCAAATATCTCGCTCTGTATTCATTTTATAGTTGATTTTCAAGAGTTTCTTAAGTATCTCCGGATCCCAAGATCCAATACCAATGAAATTAATATGGGACTACATGGGAAGCACCAGCTTTCAAATAAAAAAGAATCATCAAAATGGGTTCACTCAGTCAAAAGTTCTGAGGTAACAAGCATGAAAAAAAAAAGTCGAATTGAGAACTCCTCCTTTTGAAGTCGGTTAAAAAGAAACGCCTTTCAGCTATTCTTGACTTAGAAACCAAATGTCATGTTTTTTTACTGTAGCTACCAGTGTGGTCAAGTTTTCTACCCAACCATTTATGTTATAATTGTTTACCAGTTAGTTTTTCAGTTTTTGTTTTGTTTGGGTTGGTATTATACAATTACGGCAGATTTATGTAATAGTGGAATAATGATTATAAATTACAACACATACTACCATTTCCTTCGAGGTTTTTCGCGAACACTGCAGGCTGGTTGAGTGTGCGCAGTGTCGTGTCGGAGAGCACTGAGCAGATGACGGCGGCTTTTTTCGCGCACGTGGTTGCTAGGCGACGCGACAGACTTTCGCAGCACACAAACTCGCCCATATGCTGAAGGGCCAGCGGCAGAAACAACCTGTTACAAAATAATTGTATTGTATCTAGACCACCCATGGACATTTGCAACACCTGCAGGGTTGCAGATTTCTTTTCACCGTTTAATAAAGTGGGCCCCGGGTACCTCATTCACCAGACGAAATGCAGAAATATAACACTTCCACTTAACGCCGGTCTTTTGTGAGGTCGTGGTACGGAAGGACCTGCCCATTCGTGCAACAGCCGACGCCTTTGATTCAACGGGGTAACCATGGGATCGAATGTTGGCAAGTACCTCGTCGACTTCTCTTAACAGAACTCTAAGAACTACGCTAAGTTTTCCGTACTCTGTGGGGAAACCTGCTTCCTGAGCGCGAAAGTATTGTCTTGCGGAAGTCGTATGAGACCGCTAGGTCAATCCAGATATCTTGATCCAGTGTTCTTTCTCTCGAACGGACGTCGTAGAAACTGTAACGCTCGAACCATAGCCAGAGCTGTTCCATTTGACTTGACCTTGGATGGTAATAGTGGGAGGAAGAGGCGGCTTGGCTTTGTGTAGCTACACTAAGCTTATTTATGTTTTTCGCGCAAGCAGAGCTACTAAACTTTATGTGCGAAATCATTCTATTTCTATTCACTTCTCTAACAAATGAATTAAAGGATATATTACAGGAACAACTTGGCATAGCTTAAAGCAATATAATCCTAAAAAAGCGGATCTGGTAAAGTTTAGCTATAATTGCATGAATTTTTACCTCAGAAGACCATCCTCTGGTGCCCGTTTGTCAAGAAGTTCTATGATCCAGGTGAGGAAATCATGTCGATCTAGCAAACCCTCATCTAGCATGTATCTTGCAAGACGACAGCAATAGTTCCACAGCTTAAGGGCTTGTCGCCAATCTGTGGTATCACCGGAACTTAAGGCTGTGTAAAATAGAATTAAATTAGTTTTATAAATGATTTATAAGTATGTAGTAATGTATTTTTTCCGACAAAGGCTCTGTTAGAAATCACATTGGTAGGAAAATGAAATTATTAACTTTGGGATTACACATTTTGATATTGAAATTAATTCTCCTTTCAAAACTTTATATATCTAGCACATAACTATTAAAAATAAGTCTATGTAATCAATGAATACATACTGGAAGAAATTCCTGGTGAGTGCATTGAATTTGGCACAGTTGAGCTGTTAGGAGTGGAGCCACCTGGCTGATTACCAGATGAATTGTGACTAGGGGTTCCCTGGCCTGCATTTGAAAAAGTACCCAAATTAAATTGATGTTGCCAATATACAGTACACTACCTTTGGTATAACGTATATTACTTTTACAATCATAGTTTTATTTTTTTTTCCACATAAAAAATAATAGTAGTTACTATGACAAAAAAATTGACTCTATAATGGTATGGAATAGACATTGAGTACCTGACTGGGAAGGTGGTGTCTTCTCTGATGGATTGCCAGGAATTGCACTTTGATAGTGCTCTGCTAACTTAGGTATTTGATCTTTTAAAAATTTTATCAATGTGGTTGTCCATTCTGTAAATACAATGACAATGGTCCAAATGATGGTATGGTTTTGGTTATGGAAAAAAATAATTAATATTATATCTTACCTGTGGTAGGATCAGGTAATTGCCTTTTCTTAATCTTTGCCTCTGAAACTGCTACAGTATATGCCGAGCTTAGCTTAATAAACCAAGCAGCCCTTGGCATTGCAACTTGATATTCTGTGAGAGTGATAAATATCTCCTCTTTCTTGTTAAAATTTGGTGCTTTTTTAGCCAACAGTGACAGCGGTTTGCTGCCTGAAATAAAAAAAATATGACTATATTAATCATTGTTTGTCATAGGCATTGTTGTACATAAAAGACTTAAGATTTTCGTCAGTGTGGCAATCAGCCGTTTAGCTTAGTGGCTAAAGCGTCAGGCTGCGAATGCCATAGACTTGGATTCGATTTCCCACAGCAGTGACAATCTTTTCATACTTTTTCTACAAAAAATTTAAATGAGTTATTGTTTTACCTGCTAAATCCTTAAACCAAGCTTCTATTTGGGCTTTGGTACGAGCCGTAGCTGGCCAAAAATTGTCTTTAGGATTTACTTGCTGCCTCTTTCTTCCACAATCTGGCAGAGTATTGAGTTCCTCTTTCTTTGATAGTATACTTGAGAAAAATTGCCCTATCTGTAATACAAGTATCATATAACAGAGTATGCTCAGAATGACAAGAACACCAAGGAAAATTCTCATAACTGGAGAACACTGTAGCTATTTTCTGTTTCTTAAAACTATCCCTAAATATGTAACTAGATATTTATTTTCATTCAGATTTTTTAGCAAAAATGTAATGAATATGTATGATAAAATTACTGATAATTCACCTTAAGGACTTTTAAAATTTTATCACACTATGCTGGTCTCCATAGGGTTAATGACTATTAGTTAAATCATTAAGAACCATTACTTATATTTACCAGAAACTTTTTTTATTATTAATTGAACTAAACCAGCAATTTAATTAATACGAAAAATTGAAATTAGCAACATTAATAAGTTAAAAACATGAATTCATTTATTTATTAATTTATTTCTGTATATGGAAATTTCCTACTTTGATAAAGATTAAGTGATGTAAAGATTAATACCTTTGAGGCAGAATAGTTGAAATTTCTGGCAGTGCCGAATTCATCACTTGATTGTGGCGTAGTAGAAAAACCATGTTTAACGTTAGTAGATGTAAGCTCGTCCTCTTTTTGCCTAGGTTCTTGAGGATATACATCAGGAGGGCCCAAGCGAGGCCTCTTTAGCGGCCGCTTTTCGTACATTATCCCCATTTTATTAGAATAGAGAGATTTATCTGTAATAATACTGAAACATTAGCTTAGTGTTAAGAGACAGAAGTCACGTCACTAAGAGTTATTTGTAAGAATTTAATTAGTTAGTTAGTTACCTCTACTGAAATTTTATAAAAACATGATTACGCGTTTATATCGAATAAATACATTCTAGAACTTTGATTTGCTTTCTAATAAAGCAAGAACATTTGCTCGTAATCAACATACAGACATAACTTGAATAAACAATAAAATAAATTTGATTTTGACATATATATATTTCTCACAGATTATAAAGAAACTAGGCAGTAGGCAGGTAATAGAAAGTGCCAATGAAATTTTTTTGCTATTCTATCTAACAACACGATTCATAGCTGATACATATGTAATGAAACGATCCAAGGGCAAGATGGAAATTACGAAGTTTGAAATTTTAGTTTTACCGTAGAATTACTTTACTCTATGGTTAGAACTCGGCGTGGTGGCTTAGACCTATTCTAAGAGAACATATTTCGAAGTTGCGATTTGATCACGAGGCGATCATGAAACGAACGAAAATATTTAATATACGAGAGGTAGGTTATTTACGAAACACAAGAAAGTTTAAAAATCCCAATAAATTAGGTATCGAGTGATTGATTGTATGCAAATTCGAGAGAAATTAGAAGAGAAATTTGAAATCGGCCATTCGACTAGACTACATAGTCTCGTATGATTTTATCGTGTCCGTGCGACACTCAATGCCTGAAAACTGTTTTTATTAAAATCGTTCAGATCAGAATGATCTTCTCAACTCAAATGACATTTGAGTTGAGAAGACTCAATTATTACGATGATCACTGTTTCAGAAACCGGCCGTAAGTCTGACTGAAAAAGCTCCCCCCCCCCCCCCCCAAATTATTCGGCTGACCTATTATTAGAATAATTAATAGAACGTAGCGCATCGGTTGGCTTTTCTAACGAAAACTACAAAGAATGTATAAACGTCCCGTTATTATATATGCGACTCGTCGACCCAAAACCAATTCCTAGTTAAAGTCGCGCAAACAGAGGCGCATGGTTTGCTGAATGGTGAATTGTATAATTACCTAAAAATAGTAATTATGTATGTTTTCTTTAAAGAAGCGTCGATTAAATACTTTAATGGAATCAATACCCATTCAAATCCTTCAGTTAAAGCTTTCTGAACCCATCCCGCACCTCTTTGAACCGTGTATCAGAGATTACAATAACCTATGAATACATTTCGAAGGCTACATTAACACGCCAAAAGAAATTCAATTTGTCCGTCGCCGCACGACAACGCATAATCTTTTGGATGAATGGGTTAACGTCCGTCTATACCTCACCGTGCCTTATGTAGATTAATAAACACACATATGACGCAGTCGACGGGAAGTATGAGGTCCCTAGCAGCCAAGGGCGGATCCAGGGCGGGGGGGGGGGGGGGGGGGGGTCACGGGGGTCATGATCTGGGATGGGTCCAGGACCTAGGGGGAACACTAATTAAAATTGTGAAACATAATGTTTTTATTTTTTTTTGCCACTATATACATTTTATATAACTACTTTCAATATTTAAATAATTAATATTCAATTAATATAATATTTGTAACCGACTTCAACAGGAGGAGTTTCTCAATTCGATTGTTATATTTTTTTCCGATGTATGTACACCGATTACGTTGAGATTTATGATCCAATTTACGTGATTCTTCTTTAGTTTGATTCAGAATAGTTGCCATTTGGTCCCATAAAAATTTACCATAGCTTGGCCAAGTAGTTTTCATTTTATGAACATTTTACAATATCTTGTAAATTAAATTACGTTTTATCGTTATAATAAAATGGGCTCCGGCTACCTCTCTCACGAGACAAAACGCAGAAGTACTTTACGCCGATCTTTTGTGTGGTTTATGACGCTATTCTGTGATGTTCTTATGACCGCTCTGTAATGAAACGACTCAACCCCATCGAGTTTAGGCTCGTTTGATTCGTCTTCGAGTTCTTTGGTGCTAGATGGTAACCAGGGTCTAATGACAGAGCTGTAATGTGGCCATCGACTCAGTAATTAAGGAACACAACTGCTTAGAGTTTGATTCGTCGTAATGGGTGGACCGTTTTTGATGGGTGGTGAGAGGTCGTGGTATAACGGATGAGTATGCGACCCCATCTTTGGGAAATAGTTTGTTCGTACCATTTGTTATGAATGTGGATTTTGTCTTTGATTAGAGGGATGAGCGCTGAATATTATGAATGAATGAATGAATGAATGACTGAATATTTTTTTTGTTATTTATGAACATTTTTTTAACGTGGACGATGTAATTTTAGTTTGTATACGGCTATTTTAGGAGTTTTCATTTGTCGTATTAACCCGTTTCCCGATAGTCCCGTCTTATGCTACTTGTCATTGAAGTGGAGCCAGCGTGCGGAGTAGAGAAATTGAAAAATATTATAACCAATACGGCTACATAAAATCTGATAACGAAGAAATTAATAAAAAGAAATTTCAAAAATAACTAAGCCTACCAATACCTACTTAAAAAAAAATACTATACAGGGCGGCTTTTCTAAGTGTATCCGAATTGATAACCTCCTTCTTTTTGAAGTCGGTTAAAAATACTTATTTTTTACATGTGTCTATGATTATAAAAATTAAATTATAACTTCTTATCACTTGACCACGACTACGTGACTCCCCTCTGGCACCAAAGCTGGATCCGCCATTGCTAGCAGCCTGCTCAATACATGATACCCCCGGGTAACAGGCTTTTTAAATCCCTTGTGTCATGTTACTATTTAAAAGCGTCTGCAAAGATTCGTTAAATCATCGCGTAATGAATTGGAAAACTTTTTATTCCCAAAAAAATTGTTCTTTCCACACTTTCCACGAATTGTTGATTATAGTGACGCTTTTTTATAATACGTAATTAAACGTTTTTATTAAATTTTTAATAATTACGTAACTATGTAGTTTTTGTTAATTAAATGTTTTTGTAATAATTAACTTAATTGATTGGGTGACGTTATTACTTATCGTTAAATCCTCCTCCTTTTATCGACTCCTCGTCGTTAAATCACAATTTCAAACTTTTTTCTTCCTCTTTGATACGTTCCCCTATTGATGGCGGTTCAAGCCACGGAATATTCTCTATTCCGTTGTCCAAGCAGAGGGATTTTGTAGAGCCTCCCACTTCCCTTTCTCTAATATTCCGTCTTTTGTTATCAGGTATTAATTTACTCTATTACATGTTCTTTGATTTGGGTCATATATCATATAATAACCTATACCGTTAATTAAATTTAAATGTCAATCACGTAAACGTAGTGATTAGTGATTACATTCTCTTTGATGTCAATTGTCAAATCACATTGACACAACACATGCGATAACAGCTGTTATTATCATAATATTATCATTGTTGATAAGCCAAGTTACGGTTGTGTTGAATTAAATTGTTTATAATTCTTTTATAAAATGCCTCCTAAAAAACAGCCAGAGAAAGGTGCGAAATCGGGTGGAAATAATAAAAGTGGCGGGAAATCTGGAGGCGATACAAAAGGTTAGGTTATATCGTCTTAAATAGTCTTGAGAAATTTGTTTTAATTTGAGAAATATAAGCATAAGTTGTTAACTTTTTCAAACTAACTTGTCATAAATACCTTTTTTTCAACTTTGTACTCGTCGTTTAATAAAGACATTACTCACTTAATTTTTATTTTAGAACCGGCTACAAAAGAGAAAAAAGGTGGGACAGCTGTCAAAGTACGTCATATTTTGTGTGAAAAACAATCCAAATGCTTAGAAGCATTGGAGAAATTAAAAGCCGGACAAAAATTTCCCGATGTAGCTGCAGCATATAGTGAAGATAAAGCACGACAGGGGGGTGATCTGGGTTGGATGACTCGCGGTTCTATGGTTGGCCCCTTTCAAGATGCAGCATTTGCTTTACCAATATCATCGGTCACCAACCCCATATACACAGATCCTCCCGTAAAAACGAAGTTTGGATATCATATTATTATGGTTGAAGGAAAAAAATGATCGATATGGTTTTTGAATTTGAGTATTTTTGGGCCATTCTTTTACTGTTTGTTATGGAACGGATTTGTTGCCTCCAAGAACAATTTGATAAAGATTTTTCTTTATTACCCGATCCACAGAATTCCAATATATCACTTTCATCTGACATTGATAATTTTGCAAACCAAGAGTGAGTATAAAATTAACTTTAATACTTTGTGATTGCCCTGGTCAATTAATAATAACAAGTCTTTGGATAATTTTTTTTTAAACAGACTGGTTGCACATTTTATAAAAAGAAGAATTAAAAACCAGAATAGAAAAAATTGTGTTATAAAAAAATTCTCTTTATGGGTAAAATTCTAGAACATAATTTTTTCAATTACAAATATTTTTAAACAATAAAGAAACATAACCGAAACTTGAATTACCAAGTAAAAATCCTCAGTCATGCCTACTAAAGCAGAAAAAAAAATTAATGCTTGCTAAAAGAATTACATGTTCTGTACAGTATTTCTGTTAATATTTTCGCTTTGTTCAAGAATATACAGGATACCTACTTAAAATATTTTTATTTATAAAATAAGGTAAATTGTTTCTATATACTAGAATTCTACCCAATTATGAAGTTTTTTTATATAGTAGAATTTTGCCAATTATAAAATTTGTCCAATATCACCAGGTTCTGGCTTGGGATATAGATTCAAAAGATGTTTAAATGTGTACAAAGACAGCTTCATAAATATCTCAGCAACCCAGTTAATGAGGAGTAAAAATTTATTTTATAACACTAATTCTACAGTTTTAATACCATACCATCTAAACACACTAGAATATTTATGTTGTATAGTCCAATATAAATAAAATTGTGGGTTATCTATAGAACAGTCTTAAAAAAATATTAAGAACATGTTCATTTTAATTGACTTGGGATCTGTAAAAGATTACCACAAATATTAATAACTAATTTATGCCAGCATATAATTGCACTTAAACTAAATAAATGTGAAGGCAACATGTTTTGTTGCAGCTTAAGTTTGAAGTTAAGCTTTCTCCGGTTGTACCGTATGATGCACATTACAATCATACTGACAGTAATATTTTTCTGCAATATGTGCTTATGGTTCATAATGACAAACAAGGTGGGGTCTGGAAACCAACAGTATCAGTTAAGACTTACTTTACCATCCTCTTATGGATTGTTATAAATAAATTCATTTTGCTATTAAATTTGTCCTTTTTAACATTGCATTTTCGTTTCTTTTCTTATAAATTATTATACTTGACATTTTTATTAAATAAAAAGAATTTTAAATATTTAATATTGTCATGTAAGTAAACTACAGGTTATGTAATAAAGGTTTATTTCCCTGTTAAGTTACAATGCTTTGAACACTAGCTGCATTTCCTCACTGAATTAATTATGCTAAACTTTTGAGCAAAATTGGCCCTATTACCACCAGCCGCAACAATAAATCTGTTAAAATAAAAAGTACTATTTTTTGCTTAATACTCATTATTTTAAGGTCATTTGAGTATTCAGGACACCATGACACCAGGACAATATGAAATTATCGGTCAAAATCTTTTGCAAGTCATATGTATACCAGGTTTTGAATTATTATAAGTAATATAAACTATTCAAAATTAAAATATTGTTATTATTTTAACTATGCAAACAGCAATAAAATGTTAGAACAGTTATTACAAATAGACTTTTACTAATTTAAATTGTTTATAGTGCTAATCTTTGCACTTAAGATTGAACATTAAAATATGTAGAAAAAGTGCGAAAAGATTGTCGCCGCTGTGGGAATCGAACCCACGTCTTCGGCATTCGCGGCCTGACGCTCTAGCCACTGAGCTAAACGGCTGATTACCACACCGACGAAAATCTTAACGCATTCTTCCACATTGTTTTCCTAGCATTTGAAGCAATTGGAAAGACTTACTGCTCATTGCTTTGTGTATTGGATTTTATTTATTTTATTATAGGGCAATATACGTTACCTGGTACCATCAGACATTGTTACCAAGGGTTCAATAACAATTCGCTTCTTACTCTATATAAAGGTCAAGTCCGATTGTGTTTGGAATACTGCTGCCATATGACATGCTGCCTTGGACTCAGTAGAGAGGCATGCGGAAAGGTGGTTAAAACCAATCTCAATAGCCTTTCGTGCTGGCGCAGAGTAGCTAGCCTTTCGGTTTTCTACAGGAAATTTTGGAGAGCGTGCGTTTGAGTGGCACGATTTAATTTCACCCGCCCCTTTCCATCATCGGACAACTAGATCTTCGGCTGGGCTCCAGCCTTTTACTGTCAGTGTTCCAGCACAAAACCGAAGTGATTCGCTTCGTAGTTCATCATTCGTAGGAATGGGACAAATATTTCAATCATTACGTAGTTTAAAACAAGGTCGTCCCGCTGTCTGTCTGTCCCTATGTATGCTTAGATCTTTCAAACTACGCAACGGATCTTGATGCGTTTTTTTTTACTAGATAGTGATTAAAGAGGAAGGTTTATACGTATAATACATTGCACTCGTGCGAAGCCGGGGCGGATCGCATGTTATTAATATTTATGACCTAAGCGTCTTCGACTGAAGCGTGTTGGTCAAGAAGGAGGCTGCTGAGAGCGACTGATGCCCGGTTCCTATATGCAACGAACGGCCGTTGGTTACATACTTCGCAACTTTCATATTAACGACTTGTAGATTTTTGGATAAATATTTACGTCATTGTGGTTGCAGAGATGCTTGTTTTCCCTATTACTCATTTAGCCCCGACGTATCTACATCTACATTGTTTCATTTTAAGCAGTGCTTGGCACATCTATTGTTATGTCCTTTACAGCACACGCATAATTTTATGTCGCTATCGCTATATGAAATTTAAAGTTTTACTGTTTTCCCTGACGAAAACTGTAGATAAGAGAAGTAGATATATTCATCGGTGTGGAAATCAGCAGTTTAGCTTAGCGGTTCAAGCGCGAATCCGGAAGACGTGGGTTCGACTCCCGCAGCTGCGAAAAGCTTTTCATTCTCTTTTTTTCTTCAAATTTTAAAGTTTCATGAGAGATTAGCATCATAAACATGTAAAAAATGTCAAGATATTGCACAATCAGTTTGTGATCTTAACGCTTTCCTCATAATTCTTTCATCATAATCATAACCGCTTCAGTTGAGTGCCGCTTTGATGTACACTTATTAACATCGGGTAGTTAGGAACAAAACAAAATTGAATATTTAGCAGTCTTTATTCACAGACTTTAAATACTTAAAGTAAAACAACTGTCGTTGCAGTTTTGGACAACTTTATAGATACATCAATAAATATGAAACGTAATGAGGTAAAACTTAAATACTAATGTGGGGTCGACGTAATGATGTAAAGTTTAGAAAAAATGTATTGGAGTCTAGAAGAACACTTTGATTTTTTTTATTTGAGTGGCAGTGTGAAGTACATTGATTAGTGGCAGTGTTTTTAAACATTTTTTGCTTATTTATTTTGTACGATCAATTTACTCCGACATCCGTCGCTTGTAAAGTCACATTCAAGCCCAACACAGTTCGACAGTTTATCGGTAAAGTACAGTGACATTTTGAGAGAAGTAGTAGATAGAACAAGGATATCGCAAGTGTGAGTTTTACACTCGACCAACATTTTAAACTCGTAAGTTGGGGTTCGTGTATCTGACGTATTTGAGAAGAGCGTCGTTCTCCTCGCAGACGAAGGGCTTGCGGTGGTGGCAGGCTACGTCATGCCAGTGCACTCCGTCGTTGTAGAAGTTGTTTAGGATGGCCACGCAGTGTTCAGCAGCGCCTCCTTGGAGTAGCTCCTACAAAACGTTTCGATATTATAACTTTAGTTATTTAGATATGTATATAAAACCTTGAACGCGTTGCACGATTGAAAGTAAATTGTGCGATTGATTAATAAAAGAAAAAGAAGAAACCTAAAATTACAGGCATAGAAAGTCTTATTGATTAACATCTCTTGATTATATTAGGAGATATAGGAAATTAAAACCCGAATTAGAAGAGATGTCTTTCAAGGAATGACTTATCAATATGTACCTACATCTAATACTTAAGAGTTGTATAAAATCATGTTGTTATTTTATAAATTATGAACGCGTATTGCTGTAAGGGTAGGAAAAGCCTACTTAAGATGTTACTTAAATTAAAAAAGTTTATTAGCCATTATAATTCTCGGAATACGTTGTATCACTATATTACAGGATCAATATTATATTTTGTGCATCCATTACTATAATAACGTATTGTTCACGTCATCTTTACATCAAGGTGTAGTGAATTGCAATTTCACGGCATCGAGGTTTGCGCGGTCATTACATAAATAACGTAACCACGCATAATGCGTGGGGCCTTGAAAGCCGTTGGGGCCGCCGACAAACGGATGCGGATGGCCCGCACCGCACCACAGATAATATATGCGTATTGGTGATGCACATCTGCGGGTGGACACGCGACCGGCGAAAGTGACGCGCTAACGGAATCCGACGCCGACGCGTGCCGAATACCGATGAGCTTTTGCTGTTCGGGCGGTAGAAAGCGGCAGACATGCGGGTCCGCCCTTCGGCGAATATTTCGCAGGCGTATAAATATTTACATCGCTTTCGTTTTCGTTGCGTGACATCCGTCCCGCGGCGCTCACGGCGGTTTGCGATAAGCGTTACTTAATTTCGCGGAATAGGTTCCGCGCTGTGTGTAATGCCGCCGCTACGTTACTAGGGTTATGTAACATTTTTCTTATTTACCGTGCGCCATTGTCTTATCTAGCTAAATAAATTATAGGAATATTTTAGCACTTTGAGCTTGCAGTGGCGATAATCGATAAATCGGGTAACTGAGTATTTAATTTTCTCATTTCGTCCAATTCAAATAGTGTATCAATGGATGCCTTACCCTGTTGTCAGGCTGAGATTTGCCGATGCCGCCGCCTTCAGACCAGTCGTTCTGTTGGCGGTTGGTGGTAGGCGCGAGTTTCTGCAGTTCAGCGGTCCAGAACCAACCGTTGACTTCATTAGGGAGAAGGTCTGGACGGTTGCATCCCTTGAAGTCGCAAAGGCGACCCGACGTCCAGATGTACTTTACCTATAAAAAAATAGTAATAATGTTATGAAGGCACCTAAATACATTTAATTAAAGAGCTAATCACACGGTGGAAAGACGAAAGAATGGAAATCGATTCGCCGAACGAAAAAAATCGTGATGCTATCACTATCGGCTATATCCTATTCGTGCTTAGTTTTAAAAAAAATTTACGCATAAATTGCAACCTCATTGCACTATACCATTTGACTTTAAATAGTGAAAATAGATAAAATATTTCAACAACGATGGATAATAATGTCTCAAAACAGCTATGAGAAAAAATGCTGTGCTAAAGAAAGCAGTCGATATAACGACACATGTTAACAAAGTCAATTACGGAATACATCAATCAGGAAATAAAAAGGGTTTATGGTAAAACTTCTGTAAATGTTACTTAGAGATTTCTTTTGTCTAATAACAACAATAAAACATTTCTAACATAAAAGCTTGCAGTGCTTCAATTGAAATATTTGTCCAGGAATGTTGTTTGTACATTCAAAAAATTCCGTTATGCAACCAAATGCTACTATAATCTTGTTACCTTAATTAAGTTAGAAATGCTAATGGACAGCTTCAACGGGTTTTATGAAACTAATTCTAATTAAGTCCAAAGCAATCTCTACATGCAATGTCATTGCATTTTTTATCACTACGTAAGAAATATATATAATTGTGACTTATGTTTACTTTGTATCAGTGGAAAAAGTGAATGAGAACACATAATCCCTTATGATTCGCGTGTAATTTATAGCATTTAGTAAACAATATTCTAAAGAAACTTGCATTCAAATTGCCGCCTTTAGGTATCTTTAACCACAAATCTCAGTGGCTATATGGTGTATATTTTCTATCCAATTGTATACGTATAATACTAAATAATAATGGTTGAACTGATCGTTCAATTTACGTTCGATTGAATTTATATTCTACACCACTGATTTTATTTTTATAGAGATTTATGATTTATTATGCATATTTTTGGATTTGAAATTCACTTCTAAAGGTGATTTCATGATTTTTTTCTATCGAGAATATGTTTTGAAAACCATGGTCCATTAGAATGTAAGATCAAGATAAACATTTATTTTTTTTGCTGCTATAAAATGTATAGATTATGTTAAAAAATCTATTGATAAACGTTTTTTTACTGCATACAGTGCCTTAAAGAAGTAATACTTGTTTCTTTCACACTTTTTTATCTACTAATAGTATATCTACTAATAATGGATACTGTGATAGCCGTGATAGCTCAGTGTCCGGGCGCTCGCCTTTAATTCAATATACTCGAGCAACCCGAGTTCGATCCCCGGTGCCGGCACCAATGAAGTTTTTAACTTTAAATGCTGACTTATCACGTGCTCCGCGGTGAAGGAACTGCTGTTACTTTACTTTAATGGATACTGTATGTTTAACATGATGGCTAATAAAATAGAAGTAAAATTAAATAACATTGATGTGGATCGATAGATTGCCGAGGAATATGTGATGTAGGAGCTTTAGGTCTTTATTTTTGACGTAGTCCTGCAAGAGATTTACTTTAGGACAAAATTCGTGCATGTAGCACAAATTTACTCAATAGTTCGAAGTGTTATAGTACCTAAGATACAATTCAGGAGCCAGTCTTGGCTGGCAATGATTATGGCAAAATTAACTTTTTCATGTGATCAGCTGGATGGCAAGAAGGCGGTTCACTCGACGTATGTGATTACCCACATGTGTCGTAGATGTCCATCGGCGGCGTGCGTTTTGTGTTGTACTTTTCTTTATATTGATATTACCTATTCCTAATTACCCTATTACATTATTGACAATATTTAATTGAATTCGTATTGACAGATGTAGAGTAGTAAACAATCATTATATACGTCGAGTTCAATCTTATTCTCGTCGTAATATTACCCTGAGAAAAGTTACGATTTCATCTCGTTTTCATCTACTCGTACTCTACATCTACTACGAGTAGATGTAGAGTACGAGTAGACTACTTACGTAAGCGAATTACGAATCCAATCGGTACTATAACTATTGACACGATCGACAATGAGGAAATGGCGCTGGCAAAAAGAACACTTCCCACGAAACTAGACACCGTACTGTCGATAACAAACGGTGAAATCCGAAAGGGAAAACGTTCAAGCGCCATTGTCGTCACCTAAGCTCGTGTGTGGCATGATAAAAATAACCGTTGACGATCGAGTTCCAATTTTCGCTTTTTGAATATAGAAAAAACGGGTGCGCTATCGATGTTCGTTAAAAACGGCTGTTTTAAATTCGCCACGGATTGATTTTGAAACATGTCGCTTTCTATTCCCCTACGCGATTAGTTTCGTTTTGGAAATATCGCATTTTTGCGTCACGGTCGAATTAGTCGGCGACCGTTCTATTCTTCATTCGAACTTGTGACACGCGTGAACGTTTTGCTAATTTCCGAGACGCGTCATAGTCAAGCGGGTCAAGGATGGAGATTCATTGTCGCTGAAGCTGTAAGTTTCTCACTCGATTATCCCTAAATGCATGTAAATAAGTAAAACCACCTTTAGAATTTTAGACCAAACCGATTATGTCTCTGACGTGAGGTTCGTGTTCGTGAAATTAATTGAAAGGTTCATGCTACGAAGATGCTAAGATAATTAGCATTAATACGATTTTCTCACATTATATATGATTTATCAGCTATCTCTCACAAAAAAGTTACTAAAATTGTTTATTGTAAGAAAGAAATTTTCTGTATGAAATGAATTGTTATAAATAAATTGTTGAAAAGCGATATACAACCCTTAAAATACGATGACGGTTATATTCGACCAGAATAGGGTGAAGATATCTAAAGTGATCTACCTTGTCTTGAATGATGCGAGCTTTCACCCATTCGTTCTCGTCGCTGGTTTCCAACGAGACCAGGTCCATACAACGTTGCCGACAATAGTTTCTGGCGCTCAGCCAGTCCTCTTCCACGCCGCGGAGTGCGGGGTCTCTCCAAGAGAAGAAGTATCCTTTATCTATAAAATATAATACGGGTGAGATATTCATATCGCAGTCATGCTGACATGTTTGCGAGGTTTTATTTTAATGAGCTCTTTCAATTATAGGTGTCGCTCGTAAAATATTATTTCGTGATCGAATAAAATTCTAAGGTCACGGGAAGGTGTATATTTTTTATTAATAATGGGACGTACAACTAATGGCAATTCTATTTTTCATTTAAAATTGAACAATGAAAATTATTATGAATATATATTATATTATAAATCTGGATACATGTACATATTATACAGTCGTGAGGTAAAACAAGCATCGAGCATCGAGTAAAAAAGATTAAGTGAAATTGTTTTAACATGGGAAACCATATAGACGACACCGACAGTGGGAAAAGTTGCTTTCTTAATGTGAAGAAAAGTTATGTAAGGTAACAGATTATCCCACTTTTCTGTGAAACAGGCGTCGTTCTATAGAACATAACAACTGACAGGGGCAACATGCCTAAATCACAATTAAGGCCCATTTACACGATGCCATTTTCTTGTACATATAAGAGCAATAATTGAATGCAATAAATTGCGCGCAATAATTGTTTAGACCATTTGTTGTTTAGACCATGCAACTCATTTATTGCTTCAATTTAATTGTATACAACAGGCAAGAAACTTGCACCGTGTAAATGGGCCTTTAGAAGGCGAATCTAAATTAAAGTGAACAATCACAAATTTTAAAACAAAAAAACTAACTCGCCCGAACAGGGACTTGAACCCTGGACCCTTGGATTAAAAGTCCAATGCTCTACCGACTGAGCTATCCGGGCTACATGAAGTGGGTTCATAAATAGAGTTTAATTATGCATGGCATAATATGATTGATGATGACCTAATTAAAAATAAAGAATTGGTATACATAAACTTTTACTACCTACTTCTTCATTATTTTAAGTTCTAGAAATTTTCAGTTTGATATGTCAGTCAATGATGAGGTGCTAATCGTGTTAAAGATTCATGAATGCATTTAAATTATTTTCTTGGTTTATTACGTATGTAACATAATAGAATTTATTATATAATCTATAATAAGTTAAATTAAAAATATAATATTCGATCTTAATATGCAAAATAACGAAGAAAAAAGATGGATTTTGGATTCCACAAAATTTTAAGCCCACGGAATGTTATCACGTTGGGGAATAACTCAAATTCAAGCTTTAAAACTGGTTGTTCTATCTTACATCCGGGAGAGATAATAACGAGATAAAGCTTGGAGCGAATTGGTTAAGTGCTTCCGAGGATGTCGTAAGTACAAAAAAATTTCGTCTTAAGACTAAAGTGACGCACTGAGAACTTAACAGTTATGTTCCTTTGTCATTTATAATTTCATTTGGCTTTACAGTTGTTTTATATAAAACTTGTGAGAGGATAGATGAAGTTATTTGTAATATTGGGGATGTCAATCTCGTACTACTTTTACAGTTCAATCTAAAGAAGATGTCGAATAAATTTATTGTAATGTTATTTAAAGAACTATTTATATTTGTTAATTGTCAAAACATGTTATGGTCATGTTTATTAAATATTCATAAGATTATAATTTTTTAAAGAAATGTATTATTATTTCTTAAAAAAAAATTGTGAACAAAATTTTTGTAGAAATACGCATTATCAATACTTGTATTAACCGCAATCTCCGAAATAATATCATTTAGCAAGTTTATTGTTACTTTATTAGGTTTTCTATATCACTAATACCCAAATAGTGTGATGACCTTGTTTTATATTTTTAAATTTGTATGGAATTAACAAGATAATTGTTAAGGTGAATAATACCAGATATTATAAGTCTTTTTTTATTGGAGGCGGATGTACAATATAGTTGATATAATATTCAACTTAGCTCTTCGAATTTCATTGTAGCCTCAGACAGTGGTTACGTTATGCAGGAATAACAATTTGTTGAATATTTTATTTGTCGGCTGGTGGGTTTAAATACGGCATAAGATTATAGTTTTTGTGTACGACATCATCACACAAGTACGTAAGTGTGATCGCAAACAATTCAGTAACGTTTTAAGGATGTAAATACGACGGGGATTTCAAGTTTCTTAATAAGGTTGGTATTTATATGATTTTGTAGTAAATTAATTTCTTAGGAGTTTCTATATTCTATATTGTATAATAAATCAGGAGTATGTGTAGTGTCGATAACAGCTATAATTTGTACGACGTACTGTCCTTTTTGTGTAGAACAGAGAAGTTCCTCTAAAGAACACTGTGGACTATAGATTCTGTTCTATGATCTGAAATGTCTATTCGACCCGGTTGGCGAAAACCAATCATCTACTATGAAGGTTTTACTCACTGTCTGCATATCTTTCGTGGATGACGCGATTGGCACAAAGTGACGCCACTGGAGGTTCCAGGATACGCCCGTTGGGAAATTGCGCATTTGCCAGCGCTAGACCAGCTAGGACTATCAGTGCTCTTGTCTGCATTGTCTGTCAAAAATGAACGGGTAAGTTAATTTGCATAAGCTAATGTTATTCAATAAATTATGTTTTTATGGCACCTCGCGAATAATATGTAAAGGTGATTCAATAAAATGCCATCTGAATGGAGGCATACATTATATTCAAATTTTTATTCCATGTTATGATGATTTAATAACACCGTTAGGTTCGTTGAACGAAATATTTATGTAATGTCAGGTTTTACGCATTCTCAGGCTTTTGTGTTTACCGCAAAATTGGATAAAGTTGAATGTCAAGATCTACGTGACATTGATAGTGATCAAATCTAATTTCTTTACACAAATTTTTGCTATAAACGGTAGCTGTCATACCTACCGTTTCGTACATGTTTCGTACACGGTCTTCCAACATGTCATGTACATCATAGTGAATAGAATTTTATTTTTATTCCTTTCATATCGATGGAGAACTACTTTGATGCAAAGCATTCGTAAAATTGAAACTTAAATGAATAGCAGTGTTATTTAAAGTAGAATTCGTTTCAATATGTGAAATCATTATTTGCATACATATATTACGAATGTCCAATTTAAAATCAAAACGTGAAAAAGGTCACAATGTGGTATTAAAAAAATATTAGATACATTTTATTAAGGTCGTTAAGACCGGGTTCATAATATATAAACCACTTTTCACTATACTTGCAAATTTTGTGGCTTTACTGGTCGAAAATCTGTCTGCAGTTGTTTATAAACAAACTTTCTTTATTTTAATCTCTTATATTGCGCAAGCGTCGATGTAAGGAGTACCGGGATTAAAGACCGGTCCCGGGTCGAATAGAAAGTGACCTTGCCCCCATGACTAAGTAGTCTGTTCCTCTCCCGCCTCACAGTCCCCATGATCCTATAATCTTACAATCATGTTACAAAGTTGATTACAACAACAATAACGCACAGGGCCGTTGCCGGCCGAAATAAAAAAAAAATAGAAGAATATATCCTAAGGCGCTAGCTAGTGGCTTCTTGAAAAACTATAGGGAGGAGATACGAAAGAGGTTCTACTTACAATATGTTGCGTCTGCCTTCCGAATCGGTCACAAACTGATGCGTTGCCGGCTCGCGGCTGTTTTATATAGAGAAAACGCGCACGCATCATGATCCAACGTGCACCCTTGCAGGGTGGCTCTAGGCGTAACCTTAGCGGTAAATTGTGCTGACTAATACCTCAGGTTCCCTTACCGCGTGCAAGTAAAACATATCAGAATTTGATTTAAAAAAATGAAAAATAATTATACAAAAATTTTAAACATTACTATTTGTTATTGTGTCATTTATCACATTAAAATAATGAATTGTGTTTACGTGTATACTAAAAAGTTTTGAAAAAATCTATTTTACGGAATTTTCCTATCTGCCCCGACCCCATGGGCGACATATATCTAGTGTTCCAAATGTCAGGAATTAAAACTAAAATTAAAAACAGTAAAATCCGTTATTTATTTTACAATCGCTCGATTAGATTTAACTTTTCTGTGCATATTCCTAGCCATGTGAGTATTACTAGATTGTTCTGTTCTGTTTGTGACTTGGCGGAGCGTTGACAGCATACGTGTCGGCATTGCTAATCGTCTCGGCTTTCTTTGACTAGGCACACGTCGGACCCAGCACGGCAATTTGGGGAACTTGAATCGACACTAGTAACGGACGCTTGTTTTATTTGCATTTTAACGTCCGATTTACCCACAATCTGCTTAAATCACTATCACACATAGTATAAAACAGAGTCGTACCGCTGTCTGTCTGTCCCTATGTATGCTTAGATCTTTAAAACTACGCAAGGGATCTTGACGTGGTTTTTTACTACATAGAGTGAGTGATTCAAGAGGAAGGTTTATATGTATAATACATTTCACCCATGCGAAGCCGGGGCCAGTCCCTAGTAATAATATAAAAGAACAAGCTAAAGAGATGATGCAGCGTTGCGACTCGCGTTGTCATCTTGTTGTTATTGTTCTAAATGTCAGCGGGGAGAAATTATTCCGTTAAGAACAAACAAAAAAAGATGATTAGTTCCTTAAATAAGATGTTTTCGCATTAAGTACATTTATGAAAAATGCCCGTTTTGTACCGAATTAATGCACGCGAAGCAGCGAAATTTGACTCCTAAAACCTAGATGGCTCAATTTGTAAAAGTAAGGTAAAGTAATAGCTTGTATATGTACAATCCTGTAGAGAGGGTATTTGGGATTAGTCCACGCGACCCCATCGCGGATTGGAAGACATCACATATTATGTTCGAAGTTTTTTTTTGTTATTATTCCGAAAACATGCTGGTTTTCTCACGGTGTTTTCCTTTACCGCTGAGCACATGATAAGTCAGCACTTAAATTGTATTTAACAATTTCATTGGTGTCGACACCGGGATTGAACTCTGATTGCTTGAGCATATTGAATTAAAAGCGGGCACCCGGACAATGAGCTATCACAGCTCTTCACCGCCATCGTAATATGCATAGAATTAATTATATAATTATATTTGATTGCTGAATTATTTGTAGATCGATAACGTCTAATTATCTTCACAAATATTAGCTTCGTTAAAAACAAATATATTGTTTGATATATTAATAAACACGTGATTATCTTCAAACATTGTACAGGTCGAACATCTGGTTCATTTAGCCTTGATTTATATTTTTTATAAAGTAATATGGGCTGCTAATCGATAAACAGGTAGTTGAAATAGTTTTATATTATTTGACGATTCTATAAATTCAGTAATAGGATGATCTGATCAGAGCAAAATTATGGGCCGAGGCTGAATTTAGGTTTTGTGTTCTGTTCGAACCTATTTCTTTTTTATGTGAAAGCTGAGCAAGCGGTTCATCTGATGTTAAATGATTACCGCCTTCCACAGACATTGTAATTATTATGGTGTTATAACGATAATTTTTAATTGGCTATGAATTAACTGATGTATGACGAATTAAAACAAGTTTAAGTTACTGGAAGTTAGGGACCGCGACATCGGACTATGCATTCTGGTTTAAAGCACGGTCGTATGCATCAGTGAATATTCCGCTCGTAGTACGTGCAAAACTCATAGTCTTATTATTGTGGCATACAGCGATTGGCATGTCACGTACCACCGTGTACCGCTACGGGCACTTCACATATTGCCTTTTTAATAAGTGCGGTGAAATATATGATATCTCTATCTTTACCTGATTAGAGTCTAAGGAGGTTTCAGGGAGTTTCAAATTCAACTACAGCGATAAGAGCAGCGATATCCATGTAGGATACAAACCTAAAATCGAGGTTGCAAGCATCTTTAGTGTAACCGAAGGGTAAAACGGGATCCTATTACTAAGACTTCGCTGTCTGTCTCTGTCTGTCCGTCTGAAACTCATGAATCGTGATATTTAGTTGAAATTTTCACAGATGATGTATTTCTTTGCCCCTTTTATAGAAAATGGTACGGAGCTCTTCGAGCGCGAGTCCGACTCGCACTTGGCTGGTTTTTTTTATTCGGGTGGGTGATATTTCTACGCATACGTGCCCCTCGCAGGGGCAAACAAATTCAGTGAGCCCACTTGGAGCGGCCCTTTCGAGTCGGCGGCCCAAAGTAAATTGCTTTGGATGAAAATTGGATTTACTTGGGGACCAAGTCACGACTATTACGCGACTTTTGTCACTATATAGCGGGAACCCGGTCACAGCGGTTAAGTTGTAAGCCCTAGCCAATTCACTGCCAGTTACAGCTTTATAGTTCATGGGGTGATATACCTTTATATATATCTTTATTGAATAAAATTCTTGCTTGCAGTCAAGACTATTAAGGGTTCATCGAACGCAGAACCCGTGGCCTAGCCAGTACCCAGAAGCTTAAAACGACCCTCCACATTAGGTAAATTAAAGCACCAGCCTTTATATGTCCGATTAACGGACTTCACATAACTTCGAAACATTCAAGTTTGCACATGCGCGGCCTTATCTAATGTGGGGACATTCTCATACGTGCATTATCTAGGTACTGATCCCGGAATTTTGTACCTCCCCTAATTTCTTTCCTATGTCTTTGTAAGCATTGGACTGCGTTACGTCCGAGGACGTACTGGTTTAGTTTTATGATTTACTATGTGTCTATAGTGCTGTTGGGTGGGATCTCCGGTGTCCTTACCTGATCAATAAGGATGTTAGAAAGTAGTAGTTTCGTTCGTGTTTCGTTTAGGTTGATAATGCCACTTTTAGACTTGCAATGATTCTCGGCTCTATCGAAAAGCATTTTTGTTACATCTTTCTGTCTGGAATTCATTCGCTATTTTGGTCGACTTTCTCTGATACGAGGGAGCTCTAGTTACTACGGAATTTGTTTCGTACGACCTGAATACTTTTCCAGATGTACTTTGGAAACGTGTACTACAAAAGATATGCAAGCGTACTGCGTTATAGATCGTACGCAGGCCTTGTAGAGAATTGATCTAGCTGAGAAATAATAAAACTTTAAAATTATAACTTTCTAATAATATTTTGGATGTTATATAGGTACTTCTCTCAAAAGATCATTCAGGTAGAAATTAATAATCCTGCTTTTACTTAGGTATGTATATTCCTCGAAATTACAATTTTGAGTGACTTGCTTTAAAAATACGTTGGTACTAAAGTAATTAAGCAATTAACTCAAAGTTTGCCCATATTTCTACTAAATATGTAGTAGACTGTTCTGGCGGTATTATCTCTATATTGTTTGTAATTATACAACGGTAGAGATAACGCTACTATAATTTATATCCTAAAACATCCGTGAATATGCCATAATCAAATCAATATCCAGATATCCACTCGCAAAACTCGGCGGCGCGGCATGGTACAGAATCAGTTCGGACGCCATAGATTCTCGCAATAAGAATTATATACTCGTGCATATTGTAGATAATAACTTGTTCACATACATCAAATTGTGATATATCGCATTGATATATAGTTTTCAAATTACTATGCATCTTTTTATACCTTCATAATACTTTATAACTTATGACTTTCGCAAAGAAGATAATTAAGATTTTATTATTAAAGCAAAACGTTGGATCAGTGTTCGTGATATTTTGGCATGTATATAAATTTTAAGAAACAGTAAAACAAATTACCGTTACGAGGGGCGTAAACCTAAAGTTGTAATTTGGAGTTCCAACTTAACACAAGTTTTAATATTATTTATATTTCAAATATGATATAGCGGTATACTTGCCAAAATCCAGTTTATTATTTTGTAACTATATATTGGTAAAGCGGAGACTATACTTCTAAAAGTTAACAACGCAAACGAAACCTGTATGGTTTTGCGTAAACGTGGATCAAACTGAAGTTTCTGGAAATGGCCACTTCCACTAAAAAAAAAACGCGATTATTGAATTAGAATTTGCGATACTGGCATTTGTTTCTTTTATCGTAGTAGTATTTAGTAAGTTTTAATTTATCGCAAAGTGATTTTTTACGATTGTTGCTGTGGCATATAGGTGAATAAAAGAGTTGATAGTGACTTAAATATGCATTTAGTGATGAAGCCTCGTTTCATTTACTCGTTTTATTATTTTTCATTTATTTGTTCGTTTAATTTCCGTGACCCTGCGCGTGATTGCGTTTACTGAATTCAATGTTGGTACCATATGCCAACTGATCGCAACTGGCAACAAATTATCGGTCAGAAAACTGAATTGGAATAAGCCAAGGGAAAAACTTTTGATTTAATTTAATTTGACTATTGTTTTTGCGTTCAGTACGTAGACTATTAAAGCTTCAACAAATGTAGAATTCGTGAAATGGCCCGATCCCAGGAACTTGGCTCTCCGCATTGAGTAGGGAGATGACGCACGAGCCACGTTTGTGGACAGTAGCTTTTATGTCGGTTTGGTAATTCGCTACGTTTACTATCAAATGGTTGGAATGGTTTTCGGCTCCTACGATAATCCTTTTAGTTAGCTATTTACAGTATTCGTTTATGGTCGAGAGTGTGCAATTGCTATGTAGGTCAACGTTACGCTGATACAAGCTAGCACCGTTTGCGAGGGAGAACACATTTTGAATGATCTGAAGTTTTTAAAGGCGTTTAGAATAACATGACATTTTACTTAGCGGGTTCGTTATGCTATAGGGTCGGCCGGGTACGAACATGGCCCTGTTCCTAATGTTTACGATGTGAGTATTATAGGACAATCTGGAGACGAGTGATCCCAAGTTTATTGACTTTCTTTTTCCCAAGGAATCGCTTTGCCGTAGAAGGGTGATTTATGCTGTAGTTTATCAGTGAAAAACATTTTGCATGTGCCTCTGTAAGGATGCGCTCAATGGATACTGATTTATACGGAAGACCAGTAACGACTGGATGTCGAGTGACAGTCATTGGATGTCTATGATATTGTGACGAATCATGTCTGTACTGCTTTAAATCTGAAAGAAAAAACCAATCAGCAGAATGGATCTTTCTTTTTGAAGACTTACCGAAGAAATTTACGAAAAGTTGGAGAATCGGTGAGAACAGAATTTTTTTGGCAAATTATTGAAAAGCGGAGGTGAACGGATTCTACGGAGCTAACAGGTCCTCATTGAACAGAATGGTTCCAACGTTAGCAAAAATGTGAATAAAAAGAGGGCGTTTACTAGGGTGGGGAGGCGAGTATACTTCCAAAAACAATAAATGAATCATAAGTATAATATCTTATCTTATTTATCAAAATGTAGTTACCATGTGACCTAAATAATCATTGGGCTTAATAATTTCAGAATTGACTTCAAATATCAGACAAAAGGTGACAACGTCAAATAAGCACATAGTTTGCTATTAAGTATCTGCAAGTATTTGCAGATACTTAATAGCAAACATATAATATATGCTTACCATAACATATATTATATGTTTGCTATTAAGTATGAGAACAATAGTCGAAGTATGGTTACATGATAAGCAGATGTGACAAGAATTTTCTAAAAGAGCCAAACTATGTCAGCTCGAAGCGTTATGTAAGTTCCACTGTTTAATTAGTTTTTATGTGTACATTCAACGTAGTAGAGTTAACACTTATGGCGGTCTTTCGAAAATTAGGAATTTAACATTGTTTTTGTGATTAACAAAGAATTTGAATCGGTAATAATCAATTAAAGGTATTTTATTTTTAAGAATAACGCTAACATTCCTTCACCATCTTTTATTCAATAAAAGTGTCAATTGGTGGCATTATCATCCATTATTTATGAGTTATATAGAAAGTTTTGTTATGAAAAGATTAGATTTTTTTATTTGTCTATTTTTCGTCAATAACAGAAAACTAACATTTTAGAAGGTTTTTGGGTTATTAATTTGATGTAGATGTAGGTAATAATGAAAGTTATGGCATTCCGACAATATACACTTCTGCACAAATAATATCGAGAGATGGTCGCAATTAAACTGAATTTGACATTTGAAAACCTCATTGTTGTAGAAAAAATAGTAATGTAACACCATGTGATATCCCTCTGACTTCTTGGCTTGTCTGAAAAATAATTACTACATTCGCGTGGAATTAACTTTCAGTTATTGTGGTTATATCAGAATATACACATATTAATATATAGAAGTTACATCTTAATGATATACAAACTATACATACACTACAGACATAGATTTCCTCTGTTTTATAAAAATTAAAAGGACAGCTTATGTGTCGTGCGAGCAGCAGCAAGTTATAAAAGCTGGATTTGCTTTAACCTTTGCACTTCCAAATTATGATACAATATATTATTATAACATTTCCACTTCATGATGTTCTTGTGCGAGGCCACCCCTCCATTCCCCTGGATGAGCCTCAGCATTTGAGTGTCAGTAGTAGCTACCAAATATATAACAAATTTAAGACCTAATCACATATTTTTAAGAACGCCTATAAATCGACAATATCAAGATGTTCTGAACTAACTGGTTTTTGAATTTTTTTACATACAGTTACTCTTGCAGTGTCAATGCAATCCTCTGATTGGAATCCAGGACCTATCATAAAATTATTTATTACCAGGGATGATTTCATTTTACAAAATTTGATTCCAATCGGTTGACAAAAATATATGAAACTATATATCATGTAGATATAAAAATAAATTGCTAAAAAACCCAAATATTACGCTCGTTACAAGAAAAAATAAAAGATGGTAGGAATGCCGACGGATTTTTCAATATCTTGAAAATTTGGATATGCCATTGATATTCAAATTTGTAGAAAAAATGGACGAAATGTTTTTGGTGTCGTCGGCAAAAAGGGAAAGTTCTACATCTTTGACACGCGGCATGTCATTGGTGTAGAGAGTGAACAAGACTGGGCCCAACACCGACCCTTGGGGCACCCCGGCTCGAACGGGATGCGTAGTCGAACACACGCCCTCGACGCGATAGCGAAAGGTCCGATTACTTAGGAAGTCCCGTATTATGCATACGAGACGGTCGGGCACTCCAAACCCGTATAACTTGTATACGAGCACGTTGTGCCAGACTTTATCGAACGCCTTTGCCACGTCAAGGAAGAGTACTCCAGTGTTGAGTCCACGTCGGCGTTTAGTTAGAATGTGCTCCGTGGTGGGTACATGAGTGTTTGGCTCTGAATCCAAACTGCTGTGGGATGGGGAGCCCTTTGGTGTCCATAAGGGATCTTAAGCGGGCTAATTTTAATCTTTCAAAGATCTTTCCAAATGTTTTGAGGAGACTTATTGGACGATATGAGGTTGGGAGAGTGGCGGGTTTAGAGGAGAGAGGAACCCTATGACATCAGCTTCCTTCCACTCGGATGGGAAGAAGCCTTCGGTTATGGCCGCGTTGTAAATTAGTACTAGTATCTGAAGGAGGCATCATGAGATGTAACTTCAATTTTTATAACATTTTGATTTGAGCTCGAGGGCTCCCGAGGGATCCTCGGCCCGGGCCGTCTCGTTATTATTATAATTCTCACCGGTTTGGGAGGCCAACAAGCTCTTAGGGCGCTTTGACCCACGCTCCATGGAGTGACTAGGCTCAAGGGCCCACGACAAAGGACCTCGGCTTGGGCTGTCACTCAATATCCGTTTATCATTCCAAGAGGAGTCTGAGCCGGTGCCCGAGAGGGCTGGACCTCGGCTCGACGGGTAGCTATAGTCTGACTGGGAGAATTTTTAAAGCTATCATTACTACCACTTCGGAAAGCGTTGGCGCTGGGAGAAGAAGTGGCGGAAGAAAGTCTAGCAACGCTTCTGTCATTAACGGGGGAAAGCCTGTCAGGTACGTGGCGGAACCGTGTATATGTATGCCGCATTCGCTGGCGAGTGCGGTATGTTCTAGTGTGTTCACGTAACTGTTTAATCCTGTCGATGGCGATAGTCGTCTCATCGTCAGGGAAGACGAGGATGTTTCGTAGACGGGACGGGTCTGTAGGCGACGGCACCTACGACTAACGAATTGGGGTCGCTTCATGATGTGCCTCCGTATAGTGTCAACTTGACCTAAGGAATCATGGGATGTCGCTGGTGTGTAGGGAACAGAATCATAAGGCTGGGGAAACCACACGCGACTGTTCCTCTTGTAGTCACCAAAGTGATGATTAGATAGAATGTGCTTCGTAAGGCGGTGCGCTTGAAAAATTTCACTTCTTTAGGCCTAAGTTAATAAAAAAGAGAGTACCATGCTACGATTCGTTTACTCACCTACTTAATTTTAGAAATATACTTTATTGTCCTAAGTTTTTACTACCATTTAATCATATTCTTAATTGTAAACAATCTTGTAAAGTATCTTTTGCCCAATTTCACAAAAATTGTCAAGTATCATTTTTCTATCATAACGATTGATGACATTTGCGATGACAGATTTGGTGAATGAGTGAATGTGATTGTGAAGTAAATATACTTTGAAATTGAAATAGTTTGGCAAAGTAAACTTGTACCTATTGATTTTTATTTATAATAGGGTTTCTGTGGTATGATAAACATGTTTTGTTGTCTCAAAGGATGCATGAATGGATTTACTTTGACTCCAAGCGTACCAATACGGATAAAAGATAACCCAATTCAACTGGATTCCCTACACATGGGTATTTAAATTCATTATTTTATCGTTGTAAAAATAAAGTATAATTGAAATAGTGGTAAAAATGTTAAATTTTTTTTAAAATTTTTTTGCTAAAGAATAATCAATAGAGTGAAATCAAACAGGCTGAAATGAATCAATAAAATTTCCATAGAAAAGTGAACTTCAAAGCAGTCTATTAATACAGGAACTGTACATGATGAAAGCATTGATATTTTTTAAACAAAAGGGAAAGATAAAAATGATATGATATAGCACAATGTACACTATTATACTTTTATGATAACTGATCAAGGAAATTTCATTTTTTTGAAATATTTAAAAAGAAATCTATTTATTGTACAGGCCATGAAGTTGTATTAGTCAAAAATGGCCAACGAGCATGTGGGTCCGGGTGCACTCTAGGTAGTGCACCATTGGTACAGAATAAGGCCTACTTTGAAGTGAAATTGCAGCAGGGTGGAGTGTGGGCTGTAGGCCTTGCTACCAGGGACACAGATCTAAACAGAGTTCATGGTAAATATTAATAAAATTATTTAACTTCCTAGGAAAACTACTTTATGTATTTCATTGCTTATTGCTAAGTATTATTTTTAAATCCTAATAAATAAAATATTTCAGATTGTTTAATTTATGTAGTTCAAAACATAAATATAAAATTACCATTGCAAAATAAATTTAAAGAAAACAGTGTACAGTGTAGACACCGATTAATAATAATAAATTAAATAATGTTGACTACACTTTTCATATTAGATTTATAATCTGTAAAGCATCCCAAAAAGTAGAATAAATTTAAGTAATAAACTAACTACTCACTTTATCTAACAATAGTAAAATTTCTAAAAGATGAGCATAATAGTTATCTTTTAAGCCTAATTTATAATCACAGTGTATGTTATCATTTTATAGGTTCTAATAATGGAATTGTCATTGATAGATTTGATATTCATTCCATGTACATGCTACAGGTCAAGTTCGCTCACATTGTATATAGGTCACATGAGTTTAAAATACTAAGCCAAATGCATTTCAAGTTATGTAATTTTGTTTTTGTAATTATTAATTTGTCGTTATTGAGAACCTTTTGAAATAACTCAATACTTTTATTTCGATGTTACAAATGTATAAATTCATCAATCTTTTATTTTATGGATCCCCACAAAAAATTATTACATTACAATTTAAGTAACAATAACTTTCATGAACTTGGATAGATCTTTAAAGCATTGTCCAAGAACTTTAAATATACATGGATTTGATATTGAACCCATATTAAACCCGAAGAAAATGCTTTTTCTTGTTAAATATTTTGCACTCATCCAAAAACATTTGTAACTATGGGAAGTTTTAAATAAACATGAATAATATTGTGGAACCTTGCTGATTCTGGTAGATGGTAGGGCCACTCAACAGTTGTTCTCCGTTGCATGAATGGGCAGGTCCATCCGGGTAAGTACCACAACCTCACAGAAGACCAGCGTGAAGTGGTAGTGTTATAGTTCTGCATTCCGTAAAGTGATTGCGTCAGCCGGGGCCCACTTTATTATAAGGTGGCAAAGCATATGCAACCTATGGGTGAAGCACAATATTTGCAAATATCCATGGGCAGCATCAGGCATTAACATCAGGTGAACCGCCAGCTTGATTGCCAAAAAACCAAATTGTAAATTCTAAACTGGCAATCTAACTTCATATAAAATATTCTTTAAAAAGATTTAAATACAGAGATAAGGATAATAAAAACTAAATATAAAAGTTACATTTTACTTAACTTATTAGTGCAGTAGACCTATTAATGTTGCAAACACATCAATAAGGTAAATCTGTCCTAATTTTTTTTCCATAGTTATATTTTTGATGGCAAAAGTTGTTATGATTGTTTAAAGGGCTTGAAATACATTTTCAGGTGGAATGGATAAAGAGTCATGGTGTCTTAACAGTGACGGTACTGTGCGACATGACAGTGTGGAACTCTATCATTTAAGGCCTGCCTCAAGTGAATCTCCAACTACTGAACTTTTAGTGACTACGGAATCACCACACCGCAATGAAAGTGAACAGCCAGAAAGTGAAAAAGGGACAGAGAGTATAGTTGCAGCTATGCCAGTAGAGGGAGATATAATAGGAATTGCATTTGACCATGTAGAGATGAATTTCTTCCTAAATGGCAAGAATATGGAGATACCAATTAGGAATATTAAAGGAACTGTGTATCCTGCACTTTATGGTAAAAAAAATTACATTTACAAATTAATGTTAAATTAGATGTTATAAAATATATTTACCATAACAAATTTTCAAGCACTTGCATCTTTAACTCTTCACTGTCTTATTCTTATACTGGACTCTCTTATTTCTCCATGCGTAATTATCCTAAAATAGGGAAACTTATAGAAATTGCTGTTTGTGTTTTTTCAACAGAGTTTTTTTGTCAAACATTTTTATTGCATAATTAATAACATAGGACACACATGCAGATGATGCATTTTATATACATGCCTGCTCTATAATATATTAAACACTTAACTTTCTTTTTCATTCCAGTTGATGATGGTGCAATATTGGATATCATTCTTGATAACTTCCGATATCCACCACCTAGCGGTTATGAGAAGATAATGGTTGAACAATCCCTACTGTAAAGATCTATTCAAAGTAAACAATTATTTTTGTGTGCTTTTTGAGACCGTCGTGCTATGACGGCTGACCAGTTGTTTCGTCGCAGGGTTTGAGACTGGTAATATACGCTATTACTATATTATGTGCTTCGAAATTGTTACTAATGTACATTCTTTAACAGCTTTCCTCAGAATTTTTGTCATAGAAAATTTGTAATTATTCCATTGACACGTCTGTAATCTTCTTTCTAATACAAAATTGTATTTTAACCTTATTTGTAATAATTTGGTCTAACATGATACATAAAGATAAATTATTTTATGATTGATTTTGATAATTTGATAATGAAGGAAGGTATGAAATATAATTATTTAACTGTAGAGCATGTGTGTGATGTATTATTACACATTGCAAAAGAGGAGTGGGGGCAGAGACTAAGGGCCATTTCATAACAGTATTAGCATGTTTAGTTTCAAATTGAAAGTTTTTTAAGAAAATATGTGAGATGTCGGGCTTGGAACAAAGAACCTTTTGCTGTGTAAATAGTATACAGGCAAAATTAAAAAATTTAAGTTTTTGAGAGTAAGGAAATGAGAAACCATTCCACTTTGTTTAATTAGCTAGAGAGAATAAATTGGGTTGTTGGGAATCGAATGGAGAGGGTCAAACGCCATCAGTCGACTTATAACTCCCGCAACCTTCGTTACAAAAAAAGCACTATTGTATAAATTTCCTTCGAGCGCTATTTATCTTCTTTTTTCTCGAATTATAACGATGTATAAATATATAATATATATACAAGCAAGGTAAATGTTAAGATAAAAGGATTAATTAAGACTTTTATTCAAGGGACTACTAAACATGAAATAAAACTATTCCTACTAATTTAATCGTATCTAAAATCTTTAAATACAGGTTGTATTGAAGCCTGAATTATATCAAAGGTTTTAAATGGTTAAAATAGTTTTATTCAAAAAGGCCATTTTGTTCATTATGATCTATCCTGCAAAAATTATCAAGTCTGGCTTTTTAAAATGTATTAACTACTGTAATATTCATCTACAATTATTTTGCTTGTTGCCTACTTCATTGGCACACCATAAGGTATATTTTGTAATTTCGGTTAATCTTATCTGTACTTGATTTATACAGAAAGTTTATATTATCCTTGGATACGTCCAGGTGGTTTTTTTAGTTTCACAAAATAAATTAATCATATTAATCACCTTACAGTATTTCGATGTTTAGTTGCATTTTTAATTTTTATATTTTAATTTATTAAAGGACCATGATTCTGGTAAACATTGCTAGAATCCCCATGTCTTAGGTTTTGTCTTTTTACTATAATTTAAAACATAGCTTATTATATTCCTAATTTATAGCTGTTTAAATATACAAATTTTGGTTTTTATAATGTTCTAAAATGTACAATACTAATAATGCCTTGTAATCACATGCCAGTGCGTTTATACATCAACATTTGTAAGTACAATTTTAATTAAATGTAAAGTGTAAAAGAGTTCCTTAGTTGACCTTGATAATGTATAAAATTGAATAGTGAATTCTTCTATTATGCGTATATATTTCAGGCAAATTACTTTTTAATTTTTTTTTAATTATTTTAATTTCAGGTCAGTAAGCCGTACAACCATTAATGTTTAATTTAAATTATAATATGTTATTGATTTAGAATATTAATGTTTCATAACACATACCAACAATATCAGACAAGCAATTAAAATTAATTGTATTTAACATGAATTGTTTTTCAAATGGTTTCAAGATTTTATTATGAAAAAAATCATCCGTAGAATAACATAGAATAATTCACATTATTATTTCATATTTTATTATAGCTGTTTTATAAATAGATATTTAAATAGATTCTTTTCGGATGACTGGGCCAAATAAGATATTTAAACGTTCATCATGTTTTCCGTCCTGGTAAACATATTATATTAATAAAGGAAAATAATTATGTGTAATAATTATACGGAATAAAAGGAAAATAATAAAAAAATTATCCCCCCGGCAGTTCCCTTTGTTAATTAAATAACTTTGAATTATAGGTAATTGTCAAAGAATTGTTATTGCCGCCAATTTCATCATGTGGCTTTTTGGTTGTCGGTGATGTCGCTTTTTGGTTGCCGGTGTGCGTGTACCTACATCGTAAAAATTTTACTCATAATTTTTTCAAAACACGGCGAAAGAAGTAAAACTTCAAAAAGTTTTAGTTGAGTTATTTCAATAACATTTACGTCCTTCCATTATCTTCATTGATAGACGTTTTCGATTTAAGTACTATTTTGTTATGAACTCTTGTAGAAGATACACAAACTTAAAAAAACCACAACTTTCAAATGTATACATATAAGTATTGGGGGTAGTTTATAGATTTACTGGCAACATATTATACTTTAATAATTTTGCGTAACATAATTATGCTGTAATATTCTTTTTTATTTGCTCTCTAAATATACTTGAAAGTATTGGTTTATGGTGTCTTCATGTGTACGCAAACGTCGAAAACAATACCCTAGTTTTGAGCGATTTTCTTTATATTTTTTAATGCTAGGTATATTTCTTTTGTAACTATGCCAGCATGTCTAAAGCCCGATTTACACTGGTCAAGTGCTTAGTACAGTGTAGTAAACAAGTATAGTGAGTAAGTACAGTAGTGTAAACGGTCGGACAGTGGCGAGTCAACTTGGCTTGCAACTTGACCGAAATAGAATCGCTTTCAATAGTGCACCCCTCGCGCGTCCGCTCAACCACCGCGAGGCACTTGGCCCGTCACTTTCCGAAGTGTAAACAGTGAAATTAGTACAATGGCCAGCGACAGGCAACAAAATTTAACGTATTGCTCGTCCGCTTCGATATTGAAATGCCACTGTTCTTGCTGTAGTTTAAACAGTCACTTGTCCGGTTCCCGCCACAGTATTTTTACTCGCCACTCGGTCTTACTTACACTACTGTCCTTGACCAATGTAAATAAGGCTTAAAGGTATGCAGATAAATCAACATTTCCAAAAGTTATATATTCTTAAATATATTTTATTGAGGAAAATAAAAAATCAATAATTATGTAAGGCTATTAGTATCGAGTATTAAATGATCCTTCGAGATGTAATATTTTTGCGTGTTATAAATGTTATATGTAATTGATTACTCAGATTGTTATTAAAATATGGTTATGATCAAAAGATATATGAAAATTTGAATAAATCATTTAATTTGAATATCAATAGGAAGGACCAGATCCCTAAGTGAGATGTAATTTGTATCTGTAGTTGCTACTATGTAATTTCAGTGATTTTATGGTATATTGATTAATGAAAATAATTTTTTCTTTTGTAATTACCCGTATGGAGCTCCAGAATTCTATTTTCTAGTTTCTTCGTGATCCGAACTGACGAAATAGTACCCTGTGACTAAATCACAAGACTCGATTGTCTGATTATTTTAAAACTATGTGGCATTTCAAAGAGACGTGATACTATTTTTACAAGACGTAATTCGTATATGCCCTTAATATTTTTTTATTTATAGCCCTAAACTTAATGTGTTTTATTTCTTATTTTCTCGAATTTCTTAATTTTGTATTTTTTACCAATATTATTCTTCCGTTAATCGCGAAGTGTTAACGAGTTTTTTTTTTGTACTGAATTAGATTAAAATTTACATGCTATTATAATTTTAATGTGTCAAATATACTGATATGTATTAAAGTTTATCGAATATATGAACTAATCAACTAAATAAGAATAAATACTATACTCTAATAAGTTTTGTTTTATTTTCCCACATTTTTTGAGAAAGTTGTTAACAAACAAAGTGAAAGATGCAACTTTTTGTGAAACATTAAATAAACATTGATACGAATTTCCGAATCTGTAAAATGTAATAAAATATTTGGGACATTTGAACCACTCGGAAAGCGGAATTAGTATTTTTGTAAGGATCTAACATTAATATTTAATAAGAAGTTTATTTTTGTGTATGAATGTATACAGCGTGTCGTTACCACCGCGACAATAAATGAACACACATATAGATGATAGCTTTTTAAAATTGTATTAAACATTTACATTCTTTAAACATCAATATTTACCGAGTTATTAAATTTTCCAAAACAAACAATTTTAGAAAACCCTTACCTATAAAACTATAACGTAAAGTTCATTTGTAAAGGTCACAAAGCATATGAATGTGTTGAATGAATTTAAAAGAGACAAAACATACTGTTAGGAGAGGCTTGTAATATGACGACGTGGCGCGAGTTGTATAGGATGTTACAAATTTTGTTTCTTTTTTACTTTTTGGAAAATTTAATAACTCTGTATATATTGATATTTAAAGAATATAAATGTTTAATACAATTTTAAAAAGTTATCCCCTATATGTGTGTTCATTTATTGTCGTTTTTGTAAAGACACGCTGAATATTCCGTCATTCCGTGCTGGTTTACTAACGGCCCACAGATTATTATCATACAATTGGAGCCCACAATAGTTCGTACATCATTAGAAATATTATAACGATCCTAGCAATTAGATACAATAGCTACTTACTGGATAAGTATTAGTAATATATATTATTTTTCTTCTGTTGGTTTCATCACCAGCAGTATAGATTCTATGCATTTTATGGCGGTAGCATTGTATTGGCCTTGAAAGTTTTTGTACTAGTGAATGCTATTGCGGATTACTCCACTAAGTGCTCATTCATTATTTATAGAGCTAGGCTAGAGCGTCAGGGCGTGAATCCCGAAGACGTCGGTTCGATTCCCACAGCGGCGAAAAACTTATCGTTCCTTTTTTCTACAAATTTTAACAAAACATTTTTCCTAAAATTAATTGGTAAATACACATCACTAAACTAATAACTTATAAGCAATAAAATATTATTTTATATAATTAATTATTTTGTTTGCTATTGAATTATCGTATCCTAAAAACTCACTTAAATAATAAATTTTGTGGTATTAATTATTCTTATTATACCCGACTACTTCATGTCTGCAATTTTTAAATTTAATCATGTAATTAAATCTAGAAAAACTACCTCTGGAGTACAGAATAGATAAAAATATGATGACTCATCTGTGTCGTAGTACGTTATCAAAAAAGAGGGGGGACGCCAAAATGTTAAATGTATGTACCTGCGATACTTATACTATCAATATGTTTCGGTGTGTCGTGGTTACATATGCTTTTGTCATCTCCGTGTACGGAGAGGGTCGTTCTGAGCGGTTGGTTGAAACACCGCAAGGCCCAATTCGAGGCTATAAGGATCCCCAGCATGAGGTGTACGTATTTTACGGGATTCCGTATGCCACAGCACCGACAGGAGTCGATAGATTTAAGGTAAATAACCTCATATTTGCAAATCGTCTTAGTTTATTGTGCTGCGTTTTGTGGAATCTTATCATCAAGATTAATCAGATTTCTTATTTATTACTGAATTAATATGTATGAAAAAAGTTCTGTGGTAGGGCCACGCAACAGTCTTTGCTGTTGCACGAATGGGCAGGTGCGTCCGGCGAAGTACCACGGCCTCACAGAAGACCGCATGAAGTAGGAGTATCACATTTCTGCGTATTATCTGGTGAGTGAGGTAGCTGGGTGCGTCCCTATTAAAAGGTGGAAACGCATGTCAAAACCTACCGGTGTTGCAAATGTCAATGGGCGGCGCTTATCACTCATTATCAGGTGAAACGCTAGCTCGCTTGCTGCCTTCTCATATTAAAAAAGTATAACATCTAAAAATTCAGTCAACTGGTTCATGCCTACGTGTAAAAAACTCGAATAGAAATTACTGAAAACATTATCGTGTTATGTTTTTACCTTATCATTACCGTGACTAAGTAATGCCAATTATTGAGAACAGGTTTTTTGAAATTTTAAGTTTTATGTAGAAGATTACTAAAATAAAATATGAAACTATAAAAAAAGTAATGTATTAATCATAAAATAGCGGCACCAAAGAATATTAATTAGCTTCTTTCTTATTTTTAGGCGCCCCTACCGCCTCCAATATGGTTGACAACATTTGAAGCTACTGATAGGCGGATAATATGTCCACAAATCAGTTATATCAATGCACTTCCTCCGAACACAACGCAACAAGAAGATTGTTTAATTGCAAACGTATTTGTTCCTGACACAGAAGCGAAAAATCTGCCAGTCGTGGTATACGTACACGGTGGAGCGTTTCAATTAGGGTTCGGCAATTTCTTCACGCCTAAAGGACTAATCGAGAGCAAGAAGATTATTGGTGTGACATTTAATTATCGTCTAGGAGCGCATGGGTTTCTTTGTCTTGGTACAGAAGGTGCGCCAGGTAACGCTGGCATGAAAGATCAAGTAGCGTTGTTGCGATGGGTAAAAAAAAATATTTCCAGTTTCGGCGGGAATCCGGATGATGTAACGATTGCCGGATACAGTGCGGGCTCTACTTCCGTAGATCTTTTGATGTTGTCGGAAATGGCAAAAGGGCTATTCCATAAAGTTATCGCTGAGAGCGCCGCAAATATCGCCGCTAGCGCCGTTCAACTAGATCCCGTTCAGAACGCTAAATCTTACGCAAAAGCTTTGGGTTTCGATAACGTTGAAGATATTTATGCTTTGGAAAACTTCTATAAAACTACCCCTTACGACATTTTAACGTCTGTAGACGTCCTTAATAGATTGGATTCTACGTTTACATTTGTGCCTTGCGTGGAACGAGATACTGGTGAAACCAGATTTTTAGCCGAAAATCCGGTTAGTATTCTAAAGACTGGGAAATATCAAAAGGTCCCTATGTTATACGGGTTTACCAACATGGAAGGATTGTTTCGGGTAATGCAATTTGATATTTGGAAAGATAAAATGAATGAAGATCTGTCATCTTTTATACCAGCCGATTTGAAATTCGCTTATTTTGAAGAGAAACGAAAAGTGACGGAAAAAGTAAGGCAATTTTACTTCAAGGGCCAACCTGTAAGCGAGAAAACTATTTTGGGATATATTGATTACTTCTCAGATATCATATTCGTTTATCCCATGCTAAGAGCAGCTAAGCTAAACGTGGAGGCTGGGAACAATGACATTTATTTATATGAGTATTCATTTGTGGATGAAAATACGCCATTCGTACCTCACACGAAGATACGCGGTGCTGCTCATTGCGCCCAAACCGCAGCTGTTCTTGATGAAATGAATCCGGCTAAAAGCGTTACAGATGATATGAAAAAAATGAAGTATATTATGAGAGAAATATGGGGTAACTTTATAATTACAGGGTGAGCACATGCACTTTGAAGTTGTTGAAATAATAATTAAATTTCTATTTTGCATTTACAATCAATTTAAATTTTAAGGAAAAAAGTCAACCCTTTTCTGTATAAATTATTTCTAAAAAAAGCGCTAATTGTAAAGTCTTGAGTAAAGTACAATTATAATGGAATTTAAACAGATATGGTTGTTACGACTAGAAATTTTAGTATATAATGTATTGTTTTATATTGTTATACTTTGAAATGTTTTCAGGAAACCCGTTCCCGACGGCTCTACACTACCGCAATGGCCTCCCATGTACGTTAACCGAAGTCCCCATATGGCCCTTAATAAATCTTTAGAACTAAAGGGACCAGCGCTACAGGAAAGGGCACAGTTTTGGGATGAAATTTACCAACTCTACTACAAACCTCCTTCGCCGCCGCCTAATCCAATGACGAGGCGTACTGACCTATAGTATGGTTTAACCGGATTAAAAGAAATATTTACATTTTCATTAACAGTTGAGACCTTTGTTGCGCCATGTAAATATTAAATAAAGTAATAAAAAACTTGTGATGTTTACACGTTTTTGAATTACTCCTAAAATCTATTGAGTTAACCGAGATCACATTCATGTAATAAGGACATACGTAACGTATAAATGTTGCACAGTATAAAGCTAGCAAATTCAAATAATGAAAATTCCAAGGCCATAGAGCTGTTAGTACAGTTAAAAGAAAGATAAGGAACGGAGCAAATGACGGTTCTAACAAGACGTCGTTTTTTTTTGAAAGCACGAGGCGGCGCGTGAAAATGATTCACCACTCACTAATAATTTCGCGCATTCGATCACAAAATCATATTGCTTTATCAGGCAATGAAGAGTCTACTTGGTAGGCGGACATCACATACAGCACTCAACTTCTCATTGATCGCTCACGCAAACCCAGGTGCAGTATAAGGCATTCCGCCTTGGCTAAAATTATTCGGCATGGATTAAATATGCACTAAGTACCCACAGGCATTTACTTGGAGCTCTCTATAGAAAGATGATAGGTCCATACGATAAAAAAATGTTCCGAGGCGCCCTATTGCTAATCCGGTGATTTTAGCCGTTCATTTCTTGCGCTACATACGACGTGGAAGTTATCGTATCTTTGAAACAATTATACCTACGGCGAAATGTTACGCATTACCATAAATATGTGTGTTCAAATGCAAAACTATCCATTGGCACTATCATTCTCCTAACAATCGCTCAATATTAGCAATGGAAGAATTGTATTTCATAGAAAAATGGCGATAAATTGCTAGAAAATTTTTGTTTTTGCCTCCTGATCGTAACGAAACATGCTTTAGTTGAATGAAAGTATTTTACAAGATTTCGCGCTTATTGGGTTCATCTTTGATGTTGTCTGAGGATTGAAGGATTTGAGGGAAAGGTTGGAGAATCTTATTAATCAAATTCTTAGGTAAAAAGGAAACATATTACTTCAAAAAAATCTAGATTTATTTTAATATATTCTACCGTTTAATACTAATAGAAATATTATTATTTACTATTCATAAAATATATATAAAAATATTTATACTCATGGAAATTATTTGAGTTTTCATTTACTTGCTAATCTTAAATCTAGGCTAATCTAGGCTTTAAAGGGCATTGTCCACTTTGTATGGGGGTTTTGGCTTGGAGTGAACATTCACTGAGAATAACAACGATGTGTAGAATTAATAGATTTATTCAAAAGGAATTACAAAAATAATAAAGTTTTGTGTCCAGGTGTTTCATAGTTTTTAAAAAAAAAAATTATAAACAGGGCTTTGAAATATAATATCGAATTTAGTTTTCATATTTTTTTATTAATCAGATTCATAAGTTAATAAAATGATATATAAGAACCGGGCAGGTAGATTTACAGACCAACCAAAACTCATGAACCAAATAAAGTATATTATATGGGCACAGCAACCCATTGTCCGTCGACCCACCATGCAGTTGCAAAAATATTGTTTTATAATACCTGTCTGTTATATTATTTTCATATAAGTTATAAATATAATATATTTTTCTGCTGATACACGACACCATACATTCACAATACCAAAGAGAATGTAATCACTACGTTTACCTCATAGATAAGGCATATATACTGAATACAAATATAAAACAAGACATATATACAAAACAAGACATATATACTGGTTTACCTAGTTACACGATCTACTCCCGTTCCTGGCCCTTTGTTCCTCAATAACGCTTAGTTAGCGCCCGCGGTTCCCACGCATCGTAACGCGAAGTGGAATGTTCCGACGACGACGAAAATGCAGAGGCAGCAGTTCCAGCCCTCGTTTCTTAGTATTAATTAAGTTTAGTCGTAAGGACAGTCTGTATTAAACATCCGATTGTATCACTCACTTGTAATTTTTAATTAACATTAAATATTAAAAATCGATTAAGTGTCTTTTTAAAAAGCAAGTTGCACCTTCCTCAAACTTGACTGGCGCAGCCGGTAGGATTTTCCGAAAGTTTCGCGAATATATACGGTCGCGTTCGCCCCAAACTTGGCGAAAATTCGAAAAACCGTTTTTATGCGTACGAGGAAAATCCGTCGAACCAAAACAAAAATTCGTCTCCCGGGGAAGCGCGCAAATTGGGTGTCGGAGCAGACTCAGGAGGACATGGGACCGAGCAGAACAGCGTGAGTAAACCTTTTCACTTCCTGCAATTTCCTTTGTCTTTTCCAACATAATATCGCATTATAATTTATAGAATTTTTTTTTGATTTTGATTTACACAAAATAGGTAAATCGCTTAGCTTACTACCATATCTTTACCCATTTGCACAACTCTGCAAGTCAAAAATTTTAGAAATAAATTTAAAGTTAAATAACATTGAAATTGTATAGAAAGTAGAGATAGGTTTTAGTCATTAATTTTGTGAATAAAATGGAGTTCCGAGCAATTCCTAAAGAGGTGCTCTCACTTATCCCTAAATACGATGGGGACGAAAGCCAGCTTAACCTGTTCTTATCTAAATGTGATTACGTGGTTGGTGGAAGCGTGATAGTAGGAAACCACGCCCAAGATTTGTATGTTTTTCATGCTGTGTCTAGTAGACTGACGGGTAGAGCCGCGACTTTATTAAGCGATCACCCAAACATTACGTCTTATTTAGCCTTAAAGGAAATTTTAACGCAACATTTCGGCGATCCTCGTTCGGAGGAATGTATCGCGATCGAACTAGAGACCCTCAAAATAAAACCATCGGAAACATATATTCAATTTTGCCATCGAATCCAAAATGTTAGGAGTTCACTTTTTGCCAAGGTCAACAGATTGCCTGATGAAGGGATCAAGGCTGCCAAAATGATTGTGTATAATAATACGGCTTTAAATGTTTTTCTGTATAACCTCCCTGAGGATATGATTAGAATTGTAAGGCTAAAAGGTTGCTCTACATTAGAAAACGCACTCAGTATTGTCACAGAAGAGGTAAACTTCAAATTCCAATACGACGCCAAAAGCAAACTTTTGAGACAAACCGCCCAAAATTCACCTAATACATCTCAACCGGTGAATCCAAAACCAGCATCATTCAACTTAACACCACACGCAAATAATAACTTTAAATTTGGAATTCCACATAATAATTTCAAGTTCGGCATACCCCAAAACGTTAGTCTTAGACCAGCTTTCCAAACAATGCAACAACCAAGATTCACATTCCAACAACATAAGCCAACTTTCCAAGCAACACAGCAGCCGAAATTTGGGTACCAAACACCAAGGTTTCCATCTCAACAACCAACCTTCACACCACCCACACAAGGCTATCGTTTCGGAATTCAACCACAGCGCCCATCTCAAGCCCCTAACCAACGACCACCATTCCAATACGGTGGATTTAAATTCGGGATACCCCACCAACAAATACAGCCTCGAAAACATGATGATGACGTCACGATGCGTACCGCCCCTGTTAGGCAGAACCTTCTTGTGAATGAGCTTTACTACGACGAGCCTATGTATAATTATGACTATAACTATGACTCATATGGAAACGGTGCACCGTACTCCGTCAACGAATGCAATTATATCCAAAATACCGACGAAGTAAGTCTCGCATACCAGGAAAATAGTTATGAAGAAAATACCCATGACGAAATACCTGTAAACTCGGAAAATTTTCGGGAAACGGCCTCGACGGATGTGGAGAAATAATAAACCTTAATTATTTTAACAGCATCCAAAAATTACCACACATAGAAATACCTGAAATAAACTCTAAATTTCTTATTGACACGGGAAGTTCGCGTTCCTTTATAAGTCCCGCTAAAAGTTAAAGAATACTTTAATGATTTTAGATACTATGAACCTTTTAAAGTTATTAGCACTCATGCTCAGAGCACACATGATGAAATTATATACATACCATTGCTGAAAACTTTCAAGAGCCATCTCCACCAAAAATTTTATGTGTATGACGTAGACAAACGTAACGACGGGTTAATAGGATCTGACCTTTTATCCAAATTAGGAGCAAACATTGACATGCGTAACCAAATGTTGGTGACCCACAACGCGTATATTCCTATAATATACGACCCACCATATGAGATCGAGATACTACCACGAACTGAGAGGAAGATTAGGATTCCCACTGACTTACAACATGGTGAAGCATTGATAGACTACAAACAATTTCAGGAAGTCGTCCGTATGCCAGCCGCACTTGTAAAGTGCGAGAACTACTTTGCTGAAACGGTCATACAGAACGCTTCTGAAGTAAAAGCCGTTATAACTTTTAAAGAACCTTTTCACGTAACCATTTATAAGAATGAAGAATGTGAAGTTAACTTTATAGAAGGTGACCTTAATACTGATTACCTACTGAAAGAAAACTTGAAAAAATTACGACTAGACCACACAAATAAAGAAGAACGCGAGTATATTTCTAAATTATGTTATGAGTATCGTGACATATTTTATTGTGATAAAATACCATTATCATTTACTAACCAAATAAAGCACAATATTAGGACTACCAACGAAGACCCAATCTACATCAGGCCCTATAGACACCCGCCTGCTGTTAATCAAGAAATTCAGAAACAGGTAGATAAGCTTTTGACAGATAATGTAATAGTTGATTCCCACTCACCTTGGAGTGCGCCCGTTCATTTGGTGCCAAAGAAATTAGATGCAACTGGAGAAAAAAAATATAGGATGGTCATCGACTATAGACGTCTCAATGAAATAACCGTAGACGACAAATATCCATTGCCAAATATAACAGATATTTTCGATAAAATAGGCAAATCCCAATATTTTAGCACCATAGACCTGGCCAGTGGTTACCATCAAATTGAAGTAAACGAAGCAGACAGGGCAAAAACGGCATTCACCACACAGACAGGACATTACGAATTCAAAAGACTCCCGTTCGGGCTCAAGACAGCTCCTGCAACATTCCAGAGGGCAATGGACAACGTGCTACGAGGACTTCAGGGTATACATTGCCTGGTATATCTTGATGACATCATAGTGTTCTCTAACAGCCTGCAAGAACATATCGACAAACTCAGGAAAGTTTTTGATCGACTCAGGGAAACCAATCTCAAAGTTACCTTAGATAAATGTGAATTCCTACGAAAAGAAGTTCTATACCTTGGACACACAATTACGAAAGACGGCTTAAAGCCCAATAACGACAAGATAGAAGCTGTATTGAAATTCCCACTACCACGAACGTCTACTGAAATTAAGAGTTTTCTTGGATTGGTAGGTTACTACCGGAAATTTATAAAAGACTTTGCTAAAATCACGCAACCTCATGTCTAAAAAAGAAAAATAGAATTGACTGTACAAAAAAAGAATACATAGACGCATTCGAAAGATGCAAGGAGCTCTTGACAAATGCACCGCTCTTACAATTTCCAGACTTCTCCAAACCATTTATTCTTACAACGGACGCCTCGAATTATGCAATTGGTGCTGTACTATCCCAAGGACCTATAGGCAGCGACAAACCGGTAGCTTACGCGAGCCGTACTTTGAATGACGCAGAAACACGCTACAGCACGATCGAAAAGGAATTCCTAGCGATAGTGTGGGCCACAAAACATTTCAGACCTTACCTTTACGGACAAAAATTTATCATATATACCGACCACAGACCACTTATGTGGGCCAAGTCAATATCAGAACCGTATAGCAAGTTAACAAGATGGAAACTGCGGCTTGCGGAATTTGATTATGAAATAAAACATAAGGAAGGAAAACAAAATTGTAATGCCGACGCTTTATCAAGAATCAAGGTGAACGTGTTAAGTGAAGACGACGACGCGTCAATGCAGGTGAACGTGGATGAAAAGGAGCAAAAACTCAAACGCTATATTGCTGAATTAACTAGTGAAATAGAAAAATTGAATCAGAGGAACGCAGCATCTACGTCATATGAAAGCTCACCGACCCCGATAGAAATTTCATCCGACTCCGATGAGAATACCTTATCCATCCAGAGCAAGAGTAGACAATCTCCATACTCCATACCGACTACAAGTAGTACTGCAACTGTATCTGAAGGACGAGATGATATGAGTACCATAGATACAATTCATTCAGCAAAAGATCTTGATACAGATGGTATGCTTATATTACAGGAAGCCATAGATACCAAACCAAACCAAATACTCGTACATACATGGAATATAAATAAAATATCCGTTAAAGACTTATCTAGGGATAAGCAAAAGGTCCTGGAAATCCACCTACCCCTGGACAACCCAGAACTAATTAAAGGATTTCTGAAAAGCTATATAAGACCCAAAATAAAATACTTTCTTTACTTCGAAGACCCACAGCACCGCAAACAGTTCTCAGAAGCAATATTGAAACTTTTTCAGAAAGGAACGGTAAAATTCTACGAATGCACAAAGAGAGTAATATATGTGGACGACGAACAGGAACAGCGCGACATCATAATTAAATACCATGCAGGCAAAAATAGTCATAGGGGTATAAAGGAGACTTTACTGCACCTTAAACGTACGTTCTACTGGAATAACATGAGTCAGACAATAGCTAGCATTATTGATGCATGTGAAGTTTGTAGAAAAATGAAATATGATCGTAAACCACTGAAACCGGAATTACAATTAACACAAACACAAAATAGACCATTCCAAGAGTTATTTATCGATATCTTCTCGATTGACGGAAAGCAGTATCTCACAATCGTGGATGCCTTTAGTAAACTAGGTCAAGCGATCGAAATTAATAACAAGTCCACACCTGAAGTTATTAGAGCCTTAATAAAGTACTTTTCTTTATACGGAACACCCAATAGAATCAGTTCAGATCCTGGTACTGAATTCAATAACACATTAATGAAGGAAATGCTCTCTTTTTAGAAAATGGATCTCCACATAGGCACTCCTCATAACCCAAACTCCATGGGGGTAGTCGAGCGATTTCACTCCACCATCATAGAAATATATAGGATTGCTAAATATGAACAAAAGATAACAGATGCTGCATCAGTTATGGCATACGCCATAATGTCCTATAACCACACAATACATTCTGCAACGGGTCTCACCCCATTTGAAGTAGTTTTTGGCCACACGGAATCAAATAACGTATTTCACGTCGATTTCAACAAGCAATTTACACAACAACTCGTAAAAGAACATGCCCGACGAACGAAATACTTATACAAATATCTCACAGATAAGATCATAGACTAAAACAGACGGAAATAAAGAAGCGAGGTGGTGATACAAATTTCGACATAGACATAGGTGACACAGTGTACATAAAAGGGGTAAACACTAGGCGCGGCAAAGATAAACCACGGTATCAAATGGCTCAACTTACTGGAGTCATAGAACGTAACGTGGTACCCATCACTACGAATAATAGGAACACCAAGGTACCTATTAAAGATATCAAACGCCCTCCGCAGGTTACTCCTTCTGGTGGTCCAGACGGGAGCCTTTCTTCTACACCGGGTTGACAAGAACCCCGGACTACTACCTATTAAAGAAGGACAAGCCCTGGTCAGCCATGACGCTTGGACACTCATTAAAATTTTAGTTTTAGAATTATTATATGAGGAACTAGAATCCGATATGAATAGTTACGTAAAGTTAAAAAGCCAGATCAAAAACTGTTTTGATAGTAGAATATTAGATTCGGACCTTTCCGACGTCGAAACACAAACCGATTATGTCATGAACATAACTATAGAAAAATTTAAACAACTAAACCCATCAATAAGATCTAAGCGTGGTTTGCTAAATCCCCTTGGCTCATTAATTAAGACAATCACTGGCAACCTTGATAACGATGATGCTGTAAGGTATGAAAAATTAATTCAGGATGTTCAGGCGAAACAAAACACTTTAAACATTAAAATAACAATCGTCGCTAAATTGTTGGGTTCAATCCCAAAAATAGCAAATTCTACCAAAAGTAATTTTGTAAAAATTGAAGAAAGCATTCAAGATATTATTCACAAATTAAACGAATCAAAAGTTTTACAATCGATTAATAGAGTTGTCCATATCTATAGTGCTTTCCTCAACCGATTTCAAACTCTCTATCTAAGGCTAAATGAAATTGAAACGGTCATTGCTTTTGCCAAAGTAAACCAATCAATAATAGATACAGACGAACTAATAGCATTATTAAGAAAAATTGAGAAAACCGACAAGCTTGTGTTTCCAGCTAATATAGAGAATATAGTAAGAATAGAGCAATCTATAGAATTAAAAGCCTACGTAAAACAAAATCAGATAAAATTAGTCATGCAAATTCCTCTAATCAGAAATGATGTCTTTAACTACTTTAAATTGATTCCCGTACTTATCTATAATACCAGAAGCGACCTTACCTCCCTCATTATTCCTAAATATCCTTATATCCTTGTGAAAGGGTTGAAAGCAATGCCACTCTCCCAGCCATGCAGCGAGATCGACGAAGCCCGCTTCCTATGCTTCGAAAATAATATACCACCGATGGAAGATGACTGCATCACTGATCTCATGAAGTTTTCCACAAACATTACTTCCTGTCAGCCAGTATCCGTGACCATAAATAACGTAAGAACATACCTGATACAACCAAACCGATGGATTATTTATGCTAAAACAGAAACACTGTTGACCAAGTATTGCAACGACGAAATTTCACAAGAACCTGTTTTCGGAACTTACCTATTAACCATAGACGACGACTGCGAAATTAGAATAAAAGACCTCAAGCTGAAGAAACGCCAAAATCGAGGAAAAGAAATATCTTATCCGAAGTTCCCAAATATCCAGTTTCCGACAATTCAAGCAAACCCAACGCCTGGTCTCCAGAAACCCGTAAACCTAAACAGAGTGGACCTTGCCGATATTCAGTTCCTGAATTATCTATTACAAAAGAGTGGAAGTGAATTTAGTGATAGTGAAAATTATAATAGTATGGTTAATCCAAAAAGCATTGATGTAGGGAACATAGCATTCTTTGTAATAGTGGTATCGTGTATTGTACTTTTAGCTTTTAAGAATAGTATTAGGAAAATATGTAATCGTATTTTAGGAAAAACTCGGGATCATCCCCACCCTGCGGATAATCCCGATCTTGCGGAGGGAGGAGTTACACGATCTACTCTCGTTCCTGGCCCTTTGTTCCTCAATAACGCTTAGTTAGCGCCCGCGGTTCCCACGCATCGTAACGCGAAGTGGAATGTTCCGACGACGACGAAAATGCAGAGGCAGCAGTTCCAGCCCTCGTTTCTTTTAGTATTAAGTTTAGTCGTAAGGACAGTCTGTATTAAACATCCGATTGTATCACTCACTTGTAATTTTTAATTAACATTAAATATTAAAAATCGATTTAGTGTCTTTTTAAAAAGCAAGTTGCGCCTTCCTCAAACTTGACTACCTATACAATACCTACGAACAAAGAGAATGTAATCACTACGTTTACGAATAAGGCAAATGACATTTGTCAAAATAACAGTCACAACTCCAACCAAAGTAATGCCTAATGTCGCCATAAAAATCGTAACCAATGAACAATTTTTTTTAAATGATTTTGGGATTTTCTTATCAAATACATTGGCAAATATTATTCAAATACATTGGTAATTGAAGTTGATCAAAATAATACAATATTAACTTTAATTCCTTATAAATATTTATGTATAAAAATGCAGTGCCACATGATTTCGTGACTTATTTACCAAATTATTTTTACCACAAATAAAATCTAAGTTAATAAATGTGAATAATAATAATATTATTTTGATTGATTAAAAAGAATATTCATAGATGTGATTGAGATTTTTATACTGGCAAGGTAATATTTTAAAATGTCGACAAGACTTTGTCAATATAAATACTCATTATTGGATTTTTTTATCAGTTTGAATCGATACAACCGAAAAATACTAAATATTCATGTTTTATTCAGGCAGATTTTTTGGTATCATTGTTTTTATTTAAGAATTCTGTTCACGTGAAGCCAAAAATGGACAATGTCCTTTAAATACTTGATAATGCTTAATCAAAATGAAAATTGCTTTTTATGGTTTCTGCACATATGGTTTAATGGACCAAAGCTTAGAAGCGTCGACTTTCATGATTCGAAAAAATTGCAGTCGCATATAAATCCATTATTTATGAGCTCACGGATCAACTGAGTTCAGTGAAGTCTTTTCCTTATACATAATAAATTTGAAGAAAACGGTCAAACATTTACACACAAAACTATCAATATGTTTTTGCAATCGGTTTATTATGATTCTGGTAATAATATGTACTTATACGTAATAATAAACTTGCTAAAAATATTTCGAAGTCCACCAATCTGCAGCCTTATACGAATCGCATGGTGGCCAATGTTCTAATGACATCTGTACAGAGGAGGCCTTTGACCAGGAGTGTGACTAGTTCTTTCTTCATTATAATTTGTACGTAAAACCAATCCCATGGTAAGTAACGTCTCTATACCAATGAGAAGGACAAATGATAACAAACAATGATGTTCAATAATATAGATGACGCATGCCCATACTACGTGGTGTTAAAATATTTTTACGCTTTAAATTATATTATGACATATGTATATATGTTCACGGTGGTGGGGCCACGCAACAGTCACGCTGTTGCACGAAGGGCAGGTCTATCCGGGTAAGTACCACGACCTCACAGAAGACCGGCGTGAAGTGGAAGTGTCATACTTCTGCGTTTTGTCTGGTGAGTGAGCCCATTTTATCAAAAGGCAACATCTGCAACCCTACGGGTACGGTCGACAAAAATTTATTTTTATTTCTATTTTGTCGAAATTAAGTCGTGTGTACAGTACAGCGTCTGTCCGGTCCGCTAGTTTAAATATATATTTTTTGCACTAAATATCTTCTGTCCCGGGTTGACTGGCAGGCAAAGCCTAAAGGTATTAAGCTCGCTCTTTATAGACTTAATAAGGCAATTGCAATAAAAAATAAATAAATAACAATAAATAAACGTTTTAATGGTCCTATAGGGTGAAAGTTGGTATATCATTTAACGAAAATAATATACTAAAATTGCTGTCAATATTAATAGTTATAATTATGCATATATACATGGTAATATGGTAGCTCGAGTGATGCACTAAGAGCTACTGCCGTGTTGACTTCCGCATTAATATACAAGTAATGTATTAATAAAATCTGTTAAGCGACTTTTTTGCTAAAATGATTTTCCAGAAAGTATTAGAATACAGATAAAGAGAAGACAGAAATGTAAAAATGTGAACTAAAAGATAAACAAGACGTGGAGATCAAGAGAGTATAGCTTGATTCTCTACACCTATATCAGTACAACTACTATTAGTAATTTAGCGAACAGCAACAGTTTATTTTCAGCATTCAATAACGTTTAGCAAATAGTTATCGCATAGTTGATATTGTTAGTTTGTATCTTACGAGTAGAGGTGATTTATAGAATTTATATTTTATCGTGGTTTGTACATTATCCCCATGCCAGTCATCTTGTTATTATAAAAGTTAATTATCTTTAAAGATAATTCCAGTAAATTTTAAAAGAAAAATTATGAGTTATAATGATATTAAGAAATGAATCTGCAGCTATACTTAATATGTTAAAAGCAGTTATGTTATTACTGCCGGCGCTAATATTAGTGCACTTGTAATTTGAACGCATTGCACATCTGTTATTGTCAGATATAAATTACTTCATCTGTCAGCATATAATCAAAATTACATTTGAACGGATGAAATGAATTCTTACGATATAAGAAGATTATAACCTTTTCACGATTACTTTTCAGAATAAAAGCGTAGATAGTATTCAGTGATCATCATACGTTCATGATGGTCAAGCACGCTATTTTGTTGTCATTCATGGTATTGTATATAGCGGCGTCAGTTCGAGGTTTAGAAGCTGCTCGCCTTGTGTACACATCACAAGGTCCCGTACGGGGATATAAGACACCCGGAGAGAACATCTTCATTTTCTACGGAATACCCTACGCTACCGCACCAACAGGCTCCGACAGATTTAAGGTTGTAATGCTTTTCATTTATTTTTATATCAAATGTAGCGATGTCAAGCTCTTACGTCTTCTAAATCCTATCGGCTAGACAATTATTGGTATCAGGGATTTAACATGCATATTTAAATCTAAGATACGACAAGTGGTAATGTTGCCGCCTAATACTGGCCACAAATAATAATAGTGGTCACGAGTTATAAATATATATTTTTTTAAATAAACTGTTTTTCAAGAAATGCTTAAAACTTAATTTTAATTAATCATTGGATAATATATTTTGGATACATTGCGCAGCATTGGATATTTTGGTTTACCAAGAGCGGTTCGCTGATTTGTATAGTGATTGGTGTAGTGCAATTTTATTTAATATATTTTTTCAATTTAGGCCCCTCTCCCGCCACCTCAATGGACGGAGACATTTGAGGCCGTAAACATGGACATAATCTGCCTGCAATTGTCTTACTTTCCAATTGGACTCGAACAACAACAAGAAGATTGTCTTGTAACCAACATATACGTACCTGACACTGTTGAAACTAACATGCCAGTCGTTGTATACGTGCATGGAGGTGGCTTTCAAATGCTATACGGTGAATTTACAACTCCCAAACGATTGCTCAGGGAGAAGAACTTAGTTGTGGTTAATTTTAATTACCGTCTAGGGCCGCACGGTTTTCTGTGCCTAGGTACACGAGATATTCCCGGTAACGCTGGCATGAAGGACCAGATTGCATTGCTCCGATGGGTCAAGAATAACATTGCCAAATTTAATGGAAATCCTCATGATGTAACTGTTATTGGATACAGTGCAGGATCGGCTGCGATTGAACTTTTACTGCTATCTCCTTTAGCTAGGGGACTATTCAACAAAGTTATACTAGAAAGTGGATCGGCCCTTGCCCCTTTCAGCGTACAAATGGATCCAATTGAAAATGCTTGGGGTTATGCAAAGATGTTGAACTATACAGGTTCAAGTAAAGGTAACGATATCTATGCTTTGGAAGAATTTTATAAAACTTCTTCTTACGACATTTTACATTCAATAAATGTGATGGACAGACCGGACTCAACGTTTATATTCTCTCCTTGCGTTGAACGCGATGTGGGTGAGGAAAGGTTTCTAGATGACGCCCCAATAAATATTCTCAGACAAGGGAAGCAACAGAAGTTACCGATATTGTTCGGATTAAATGAAATGGAAGGATTACTTCGAATACCGACTTTTGATAAGTGGAAGTATGGGATGGAGGAAAAATTTTCAGATTTTTTACCTACTGATTTGAAGTTTAATGACGTCAAAGAAAAAGAACACGTCGCAATGCAGATTAAAAAGTTTTATTTTGGAAATAAAAGCGTCGGTGAAGAAACTATTTTTAGATACATAGATTATTTTACTGATGTGATATTTGCATACAGTACACTCTGGGCTGTAAGATTGCATGTGGGTTCAGGAAATAATAATATCTATTTGTATGAATATTCTTTTGTAAATAGCGAAGCACCTGTTGTGCCGCACACGCAAATACGCGGTGCAAATCATTGCTCGCAGACTTTTGCAGTACTTGATGGAAACTTCACGAGTTTGGAAGAGGACGCATTTCCAAAAGAGTTCGTAAAAATGAAGAAAATGATGCGAACATTGTGGATAAACTTTATAATGACAGGGTAAGATTAAGTTCATAGGCAAATGTAGTTTTTTAACTACTAAATCTAACCTAAATTCCTAATATTGCTTACTACTATTTATCTCTATGCCGCAGGGTAATTGAATTATAATACAAGGTATAAGTAAGATGTATTTCACGTCCCCTTATGGCGTTTGATATAACACAAAAAAAATAAGACAAGAAAGATAAAACACAAAAAAACTTAGTTTATTTATCATTTATAAATGATAAATAAACTAAGTTATATGTATATAAACATTTCAGTAAACCAGTGGCAAATGGATCAGACTTCCCCCTATGGCCACCGGTTGACGTAAACGGTGGTCCCCATATGCTCTTGGACACTACGATGAAACTGCGAGGTCCGTTGTTGCAGCAACGGGCTTTGTTTTGGGATGACATCTACGGCAGATATTATCGCACTCCAGTGCCCCCATCAACCCCTCCACTGAGAAAATAAGATGCCTAATGGTATTGGTAATTAATACTTGTGGTAAAAAAAAATTAGTCGTGCAATGCAATTTTGACTTTATGATGACTTTATAATTATCTTGTTTTAATATGTACTGTGTATTGTTTTATTAGTGTTGTGTATACTTTTATTACTTTTTTTAGATATACTTATTTTTCCTATAAATAAAATGTTTGCAACGAAATATATTTAATAGTGTTATTAAAACATAAGTATTCCTAATTAAAAATATGTGAAAATTGAGAAATAACTATTTCACTTGCGCCCCGTTTGCATTTATTATATTCCCCCCGCTCGCACCTACGGCCGATTTTCATTTTGTGTCTGATAAAATGTAAGAATTATTTATCGAAACTTTGATTACTGAGGAAAGATGTTTAATAGTTTTTCAAATAATATAAATAAAATTCAGCATTCATAGTAAAATATAAGTATAATTACAACTTATTTTAGTTCAAGGGTGTCTGACATGCGGTTATAAGTGCATTACGTTTCTGACAATTAATATTGATTTTTTAAGATTTTAGTGTGTGAATATAGTCGTTACTGTAATATATAAGAAAAAAAACATATGTGGAAGCCTCTATGTCTATAGCACAGTCGGTCACGTGCCGCTATTAAAATTGGCAAACTTAACATTTCTGAGATATATATTTTTTGTTAATTGTGGTATATTTGGTGGTTAAGGTATTTCTTGGATACACAGCTTTCAAGGTGTATTCCTTTACCACCATGTACATGGTAAATGATGATTGTTAAAGAAATAAAGGTGTTCAGAAAAGTTGCATGAGAAAAAGTTTTATTTTAATATAATATTGAAATAGCAACGACGCTATCGAAAAGGAACAAGAAATGTATTGACATGTATTGGGCACTTATTGTAATTGCAAATTGAAACAATGTCGGGGGAAATATTTGAAGCGGCGCCGCATTGAATGCTATCGCAATAATGAAGGGGCTGCCTAGTCGTTGCGTGGAACAGGGTTTTGTTTGGTGGCTTTTGTGCTACGGTTTTATATCAGCAACGTTCGTTATCAACGCCGTACAACGATATAAAATTTAAAACTTAAAATAATAACAATACTTAAGATTAAGTTATTTTTTAAACAATTTTATTTAATCCAAAATTGAACAAAGCTTGCACTGTGGATACTAGATACCTAAAATCATAATTAAATTTAATTTTCATTTGTTAATTAACTGTTTGATAACAGAATGTAATTATTAATGCACTCAACTGCATCATGATATTCGCACCCTGCATAGAACAACGTGAAATCTGCAAAATTGTAATTGTTCAGGACGGCCGATTCAAATTATAATTTTTTTTATATTGGTCATAATTTTCTTATAAATAGCAGTTGCTATTACAATTTTTGAGATTTGTAATATGATTAGGTATATAAACAAACAGTGTACTTTTTGAATGAATAATTATATAAATTTAGGAAATATGAGGTTTCAAGTGTAATAGTGACGTTTTCCTAAGGAAAATGGCAAACACTAATGGGTCACAAGATCACATAATATACACGTTTATATAACGTTGTTCAACGGAACATTCCAAAAAATAATAGGTCACACGTTCATTTATAACGTTGTTCTACTAAAACTCAGAAAATATGTATGACATAAACGCATGAAGCACTGTTTTCAACGAAATATCCATAAAAAAGTGGGTGAATGTGCAATAATTATCAATTGACTCTAATAGAGTATATTACACTCGTCTGTTACATTAGTAAGGTTAGCTAGTCAGTACAAAAAACACTGTCTAAACGTACATACGTCCTTGTACTGCGGAGCACAAATCACGATTCAGAATAGAACGTTGTTCTATTCTGAATCTCAATTGTCAGAAGAAAAAAAATTTAATTTTATCTAAAAGCATAGACAATAATTAAGACTATCCGACGATAAAATCAAATTCGTTTTATGTGACCAAATAACGTTATTCTACGCACGGTGCGATTTAGAGACCTTATCCTCTTTTAATCATATTCATTATAATAAGCAGTTTTTGGTAAAGAATGAGATATTCACGGCACACGATAAAGTAATGATTTTTGTAGGTACTCCAAATGTTTTTCATTTGTTCACCAACGGCTCTATGTAGAGGTTTTTAGAATAATTGCGACATACCAGTTTGTATAATTTTTAACATTGGTCTGTAATAACTTCAGATACAACAGAACATTTTTACTACAAATACTATTAACGTGTTTTTCTTGTCTTAATCATTTTTCAACTTCTGGTGTACGTGCATATAGACGAACATGAAAACTGTAGCAATAGCACCGTGAAGAAGTGGAAGTTGTTAAAAAAACATTTAAAAGAGTTATACTGACGACTATAAGAAGTATTCGCATGTTCCTACATTCCACTGAAAAAGTTGAAAATAGGGCGTAAATATAAAATGATACGTCCGTACATCTATGTTGAGTGTCGGTCCCAGGTCACCGAAGTCTATTTAAGCACTGAAACATTGCTTTGGTTGAAACACTTTTTTTTTTCTTCTTTTAAGTATCGAAAACTTGAGAAAACGAAATAAATAGCGACATATTACGTAACTTAATTTGCTCAAACATAAAAGAAAATTTGCTAAAATAATATTTACTATAGTTTAATCTCTGAAGAAAACCTTTTTTTGTGTTCTTTTTGTGTTTCCCACTGTTCTTCCGATGGAGTTTAAACTTTCACTAGTTATTGGTGTACGATTAATAAATAAAGAGTTACATTCCGCAATGCAACAGTCATTGTCATTATATTTTGAAAGATTAGGATCGCAGAATGTGAGCATGATGTTCAAGCATAATTTTATAGGATGTCCCAAAATTAACGTAATACAAACCCTGAACACTCAGTTGGCATATTATTCTTTTTTACATTCTTTTTTAAGGGTGCCAACAGTTTACTGGAAGAGTGATGACAAATCAAATCTTGCGTTAAATTTGGGACACCCATTATTTTACGTCTCCGTGCAACAGAAATTCGAATAAAAATATAATATGACACAATTATAATACATTTATACATTATTTCCTATTTACTAAATACAAATATTAATTAATACAAAATATTTTTAACCAAGATCTTTAATATGTAGCTGATAGGTACTCAGAGTTAAATAGAACCGTCAGGGAGCAGATTAACGTCTCTACAAGTCTTGGAAGCAAATTTATCTCGAAATCATGCACGTTAATCTATGGTTAAATATAAAAAATATTGACTACTTGTACGCGTACGACTATGTGTAGGATTCTGGCATAACTTAACAACAATTTTCAACCGACTTCAAAAAAGGAGGAGGTTCTCAATGTGGTTATATATGTTACGTTTGTCACCTCAGAAGTCATTTATGAAACGATTTAAAAAATATTTTTGGATTGGTTTCGGTACACCTCCCATGCGGTCCCCTATTCATTTCTTTTGTGTTGGAACCTCAGATTGCGGGGATGCGTCAGGGAATTTTTCAAAATCTAATAGAAAATGTATTAGTGCGATATTTGAAGTAAGCTTTTTCAACAAAAAAACTTATTACAATATAAAAAAAAAACTTGTTACGGATTACTTGACAAGCGAACAGACGCTGATAATTACCGCTCATGGACTCGCATTAAAAGAGGAAGTGCAGATGCATGGGCAAAAAAATGATTCTCTTTACTTTATTTTACTTTAGCCGATGTTTTTGCTATATGTTCGTAGACTAATGAAGCTTCATCGAACGCAGAACTCGTGGGCACAGAACCCAGGAGCTTAGTACGACCCTCTGCGTTAGAAACGTATGTGCTTATTTTAAACGGGCGTTTACTGGCTGGCTGTGACCCGCGGGCCATTGAGGTTCGGTGCAAATTATGAACCCCATGGCTGCTGACTGCATTAATCGGAGGCTGAGGGGCAGTGAGAATCGTAGCATACTTATTAACAAAAGCAATCACATTGAGGATGTGAAAAATATCGTTTTAAATGTGCACAGTAATACTGGAGACTTGACCAATAAAATATTAAAGTACTCGTAATCTAAATAGATAGCACTATCATCAGTTACGCTACTCCTCCGTAAATCGGGATAAGATAAATAAATCATTGCAGCAAAAATAAACTTGTAAATATAATTTTAATGTTAAGTTATATAACAAAATATTTTACTTTATTCAAATTGAAAATAACAGTTAATGCTTTTTATGTTGTCTTATCGATGATGTTTTCGTTTTTATTTATTTATTTATTTATTTATACTTAATGCACACAAAATATGTACAGAGGCGGACTTAATGAGATAAGCATTATCTACCAGTCAACCTTTGGTTGGTACAGAGAAGTTTAAGTAGGTGCATTGATTGTAAAAGAAAAAAGAAAAAAAGAGATTATTGAGAAAAAAAAACAAAACAAATTTATAAAGTATATTGCATAAAATACTATACTGGGCATATAAAGATAATAAAAATAATACGTACAATATATTGCAATAATTATGTACATATAGAAAAATAAACGTAAATAAAAATAATAAAAAATAAACTTATATGATTAACGATCCTGTGAATCTGTCGACAATTCATATTAAAAAAAATATGAGTGCATAAAACCAGAACGATGAGAAGGACACTGGAGAAGATGATTATGCGTTAAGCGAAGATTTTTATGATTGGCTGAGCAAAGATATTTAAAGAGTGGTGATAAGTAAGGAGTAGAAGAAGAAATAAGAAAAGAATACAGAGTGGTCAGTGCTCTTAAGGAGCGGCGTTGGCAAATAGGTTGAAAACCATTGAAGTTGAGAACGATAGAAAGACACATGGTCATACTTACGAAGATTGAACCCACTGAATGGTTTTAACAGTGGTAGTGCCACGCAACGTCCTGTTCGAATGTGCAGGTCCATCATGGTTAGTATCATGACCTCACAGAAGAGCGGCGTGAAGTGGAACTGTTATACTTCTGCGTTGCATATGGTGAGTGTGATGAACGATATGTGAATTTAAAAT